CGGCACTTCAGGTGAGCATTCGAGGCGGCGGCACTTCAGGTGAGCATTCGAGGAGACGGCACTTCAGGTGAGCATTCGAGGCGGCGGCACTTCAGGTGAGCATTCGAGGCGGCGGCACTTCAGGTGAGCATTCGAGGCGGCGGCACTTCAGGTGAGCATTCGAGGCGGCGGCACTTCAGGTGAGCATTTGAGGAGACGGCACTTCAGGTGAGCATTTGAGGAGACGGCACTTCAGGTGAGCATTCGAGGCGGCGGCACTTCAGGTGAGCATTCGAGGAGACGGCACTTCAGGTGAGCATTCGAGGCGGCGGCACTTGAGGTGAGCATTTGAGGAGCCAAGGAGGCGGACACTTGGCTCGTGGCAAGGAGGACACTTGAGGCAAGGAGAGGAGGAGACTGCAGAGTAGCAGGTGTAGTGTGGTGCGGTATGGTTTGGTATGGAGTGGTCTGGAATGTTCTGGTTTTGTGTGGTGTGGTGGAGCGAGGAGGACGGGCGAGCGTGGTGGGATGACGCACGGCCGGCAGCCAGTGGCGTGTGGCTGCCTCCTACTCGCCCTGCTGACCACCCGCTCAAGGCAAGGAGGGCACTTGGGGCAAGGAGGTAAGCATGCGACTCTTGGGGCTCGAGGCAAGGAGGACACTTGGGAAAGGAGGACGAGGCAACCAGGCGGCACTTCAGGTGAGGGGACGAGGTGGCAAGGAGGCGGCACTTCTGGCAAGGAGGCGGCACTTCAGGTGAGGAGGCGGCACTTGAGGCGAGGAGGCGGCACGTCCGGCAAGGGTTGAGGCGGAGGAACGTGAGGGAGTGGTTGATGGGTTGGACGAGGGGATGCATGACTGGGATGCTGTGGTAATGAGAAACGGAGAGTAGCGGTGGGAATGTGAGGCAGAGAGGGTGGGGCCCCCTCTCGTAAGTCCTCACGGCGGCCCCGCCCATCGCTGCTCCACGTCCTCATTCTTCAGCACTGCCCTCCACGCACCTCCTCTTCCAGCTTTGACGCCCAACCTGACCTGCACTCCGTCCTCTGGTTTTGGTGTGGAGTGGAGTGGTGTGGTGTGGTGTGGTGTGGTGTGGAAGCAAGGAGGGGGGCGGCAGCATGGACGGGAGTCAACAGCATCATCGACATGTAAGTCTCTGCTTTGGCAGGTCGGAGGGGAGTCAACACCATCACCGACACTCATTCCTGGTAAGTTTCGTTTCCAGTTTCGTTTTTTGCATCTTTGTTGTCTACGTGCTAATGTCGCCTTGTGTTTCTGGTTTGGCCAGGAAGGAGTGGCAGGAGGGGAGGGGAGTAGAGTGGAGCGAAGCAGCATAGGAGGAGGAGGTGGAGGAGGAGGAGGAGGAGGTGGAGGAGGAGGAGGAGGAGGAGGAGGAGGAGGAGGAGGAGGAGGAGGAGGAGGAGGAGGAGGTGGAGGAGGAGGAGGAGGAAGAGGTGGAGGAGGAGGAGGAGCGGAGGAGCGGAGGAGCAAAAGCACTCTTCTGTGGTAACCCTCTTCGCTTGCCATATTTCTGTTTCTGTGAGCTCGGTTTGCCTATCTTCCCGCCTTGTGCCTACCTTCTGAATTCTGTTTGCCCTTTAAAGGCTTGCCCTGATTCTCTTTCCCTTGCTCTGTTTGTCCCGTTCTCTTTGCCTGGTTTCCAGAGGAGAAGAGGAGGGCGAGGAGGAGAGGAGGAGCGGCGGAACAGAAGCACTCGTCTCTTCTCTTCTCTGGTAACCCTCTTCGCTTGCCATACTTCTGTTTCCGTGAGCTCGGTTTGCCTATCTTCCATCCTTGACTCTCTTTTCTGAATTCGGTTTGCCTTGAAACGGCTTGCCCTGATTCTGTTTCCCTTGTTCTGTTTGTCCCGTTCTCTTTGCCTGGTTTGTCCAGAGGAGAAGAGGAGGGCGAGGAGGAGAGGAGGAGCGGCGGAACAGAAGCACTCGTCTCTTCTCTTCTCTGGTAACCCTCTTCGCTTGCCATACTTCTGTTTCCGTGAGCTCGGTTTGCCTATCTTCCTGCCTTGACTCTCTTTTCTGAATTCTGTTTGCCTTGAAACGGCTTGCCCTGATTCTGTTTCCCTTGTTCTGTTTGTCCCGTTCTCTTTGCCTGGTTGGTTTGTCCAGAGGAGAAGAGGAGGGCGAGGAGGAGCAGAGGAACAGGAGCAGTCGCCTCTGCTCTTCTCTGGTAAGCCTCCTCTTCTCCCCTTAAGTTCATTTTGCATTGACTCTGTATGCGTTGCCGTTTTTCAGTTTTTGTGAGCTCAATTTCCCTACTTTCCTTCATCTATCTGCCTTAACACTGTTTCTTAAATTCTGCCTCTTCCATTACACAGGAGATGCAGCAGAGGGGGCGAGGATCGGTCGGTTCTGCGCTTCTCTGGTAAGCTGATTTGCTAAATCGTCTTGCTTTATCGCCTTGCTTTTCTCCCCAACTGCCTGCTTTATCGCCTCAGAAAACTGACTGCTGTTTTATATTTCCTATCTTTTTACAGGAAGAAGACCGAAGACTGAAGACCAAAGACCCCCTCACCCCCCCCCCCTCTCCTCCCCTCCCCTCCCCTCCTCTCCCCTCCCCTCCCCTCTCCTCCCCTCCCCTCCCCTCCTCTTCCCTCCCCTCCCCTCCCCTCAAGTTGATATGCTCAACATGCGTGGGGAGCACTGAAGACCGCCAACGGTGGCATCAGGTGGAGTGCGGCAGGGGAGTGCTAACGGCGTTAGGGCTGGCCTCCTAACGCCTGAAGCGCCCCTGTGTGTGGGTGCTCTGATGATGGATGGCGGGACGCTGCCTGAAATCGGATGAGCCTCACCCCGCCTCCACCTGGGCCGGGCTCTGCCTGGTTTGAGCGAGGCTTGAGAGACGTTTCATGTCCTCCTCGTGCCACTGCGGGGTTGCGGAGCGGAGGTGGACTGCACGGCACACCAGCAACGGTCGTGGTGGTGGTGGGTGCTGTAAGTGTAGCTGCTTTCCGTGCTTTCCTTGCATGTTCATCTCCGCTGTTTCCTTGTTTGTTGCTTGTTTGTTGCTTCTTTGCTATTTCCTGGTTTGTTGCTTGTTTGTTGCTTCTTTGCTATTTCCTGGTTTGTTGCTTGTTCTTCGCTGTTTCCTTGTTTGTTTCCTTGTTTGTTGCTGTGCTTGCTTGCTTGCTTGCTGTTTGGTACTAACCCCCCGTGGTCCCCATGCAGGTCCCACACGAAGGGTCCCCACCTCAACGTGGTGTGTGGGTGTAACACAAGGGGTTAACCCCCCTAGTGGCCAAGAGGGGCCCAGAAGACCAAGAGAAGACCGTGGCGCGCTTTATTATTGCTTTAATGATTGTAGATTTAGATACGGTAATTGCCTAAATAACGATAGATCTGCTTAGGTTATAAATCACACAAATACGTCCCAGGAAGGACATTCAGCAATAGGTGGTTAAACATGCACCAGAGAAGCATATAGCAACATAGCTGATAAACAGGATCATCGATGTAAGCATGCAAATATAATTAATCATGCAACAGAGACATCCAGGCCCTCAGATTCGTTTTTGGCCTGTCTGATTCGTCAGACTAGTACACAGTTTTAGTCTGAAACTCCCAGAGTTGGTATTAAAAAATGGCTGAAATTTCAGAGTCTCTAAAAAAAAAAGTCTGAACATTCGAAATCAATGTATTCAATGTTCATCAGAAATGTATTCAATGTTTCATTCACCTGTTACCGAAACTAGACTAAGGGGATTTCGGCGAATCTGCAATGTCAGACGCGAATCTTGTGTCAGGGCGAATCCTATGGTGATTGGGTGAATCTTGTGGTGATTGGGCGAATCTTTTGCTGAGCGAATCTAGTGATGTGACAGGGCGAATCTGCAATGTCAGACGCGAATTTTTGGTGATTGGGCGAAATTGTTGCGCTATGACGGCAAAAATCTGTGGTGTCCGTGCGACTTTGCTATGATTGGGCGAAATTTCTTTGCTGTAAGGCGCGGATTTGCTGTGTCAAGGCGATTTTGCGTTGACAGTGCGAATCTGCTGTGACCCGTGAAGTCCGAATCACCAGTCAAGAACTCGTTTGTACTCTGAATTCATCAGAGTACACTCCCGAAAAACTCTGAAACGTCAGAGTCAGCCTATAAAAAAAATCTGATTTTCACAGAGTTGAGGCAATAAAAAATCTGATTTTTACAGAGTACACCCTAAAAAAAATCTGAAATCTCAGACTAAAACAAGCAAATCAGACAAAAAACTCTGACTTCTGGGGGCCTGGAGACATCCCTTTCATGGGACATTGCGACTGGTACTTCTGGCAGACAAAACCTAGGCGCACTGTTCTCCCGAGTGCATGGATGCTTGCTTGATATTGAGATGTGTACCACATTCTGAACTTTGCTCACATATTCTCAGGCTGATTGAGTCAGCATTCTGGTTGCTCACACCATGACTTGCATGGAAAGGTGGGCGGCAATGATACGGGGCAGCGTGCGCGGTACGGAGCGTGCTACGGGGCATGACAGGGCGTGGTGTGCTATGGGGCGCGCGGTACGGGCTGTGGGGCGTGACGTGACGGGGCATGTTACGGGACGTTTTTCTAGGATAGGTGATGACCTCATAGACTAAACTAGGTTAGAGACTGGTGATGACTTGATTCTTTTTCAGAAAACTAACTCATGGCAGGCGCAACACTCATGAAATTATGCAGATACTCAGGGATGTAGATATCTACGGTTTCCTCATTACAAGTTGGAAAGAAAGAATCGGGTGGGCCAATCCCAACCAGGGTTTTTTCACAAATCAGGCATAAAAGACATGGGAAGAGCAGGGCAGCCAAACAAAATTTACTATGAGCATGATAATGACAAATTATTGAGTGGAATGTCTGCCATGTTCCTGCAAGGCACAAGAAGAGATGGAGAAAGGCATATAGAATCAAACACATGTACAGTACAGGCATGTACAGTATTCCATTTCAGCTTTGAGAGCACATCAAACTAGCACAGGAGTCGAGATCCATTCATTCCAACAACACCATCCCCAGCAGCTCACCTATTTAGAGAGCAGTGAGATGAGCTCAGCCTTGGTGTCGCCACGCACGCCTCTCTGGCGGGCCAGCGCCCTCAGCTCGCCCAGCGTCTTGTTGGCCAACGATGAGGCTGCGATGGGCGTCGCCCTGTGGGTGATCAAGGGAGGGGACGAGGGGAAGAAGTTAAGGATGGTGAGCAGGACTGGTAAAGGGTTTAAGGACAACACATCCATATGACAGGTCAGCTCCCTCAGCTCGCCCAGCGTCTTGTTGGCCAACGACGAGGCTGCGATGGGCGTCGCCCTGTGGGTGAGCAGGGAGGGGACGAGGGGAGGAAAATGGCAAGGATGGTGAGGAAGGGGTTCACTCAACCTTATGGCACATGGTGGAAGGAGTATGGCACGGGGAGGAAGGAAGGCAAGGGTTGGGAAGGAGGAAGGCAGACGGAGGATTGCACAGCACAATGCCTGGTACTCTTAACAGCCAGAACTTACTTGGCAGCACCGTTGCCAGCGGGAGCAGCAGCAGCGGCAGGAGCGGCCGCAGCAGCAGCAGGGGCAGTAGAAAGGGCCTTAATAAGCTCCGCCTTGGTATCCCCCCGCACGCCCCTCTGCCTGGCGAGCGCCCGCAGCTCCCCCAGCGATTTGCCCTCCAGCCCAGACGCTCCCCCTGCCGCTCCCCCTGCTGCCGGCGCAGCGGCACGAGCAGGCGGAGCAGCAGCGGCCCTGGGCGCAGCAGGAGCAGGGGGAGCAGGAGCGGGAGTCCTGCCTCCGTCGAACGTCCCCCGGGAAATGGCATCCGCATTGGCATTCCCAAGAGCCGCCTCGTTAAGGTAGGTGTCAGCAAGCTGCACCCGCTTCACGTTCTCCTGCTCGGAAACCAGGAGGTGACCGTACTCCAGGAGAGTAGACAGAGGCATGCTCGGCTTCTCGAATTCCGGAGGGCCAGAGCGCGAGTTGACCAACTTCTTGCCCATGTTCTCAATCCCGATCGACCCCACCCAGTTGCGGACCAAATCGTCGTACACACGCGCGCGCAGCGCCCCGAAAAAGTCAATGGATTGGCCGGGGAAGGTGTCCACGAGCTGGACGACGTCAGCCTCCGACACGTTGTCTTCTTTAAAGATTCCCAAGCACACGCCGATGCGGTCGTCACGCGTGGGCGCCCAGTAGAACTTGTCCATGCGTCCGTCGCGGATGAGCGGCGCGTAGAGCGTTGAGAAGTCGTTTCCGGTGACGATGATTGGCACGCGGTTGATCTCCTCCTTGTTGTAAATGCCAGGCATCTGGTGGGGTTCAGAGTGGTTAGTGCACAAGGGAGAAAGCAGAAGGAAGAAGAGCGGGGAGGAGGTGAATGGAGTGGCGACATAGGGTTAGAACGATGATGGGCACGCGGTTGATCTCCTCCTTGCTGTAAATGCCGGGCATCTGGTGGGGGTCGGAATGAGGGGAGAAAAGAGGGGGATTGAGGTGACGACCATGGGCAAGCGTACAAACCCGCTCGTGCGCACCTGTGATCTCTGTCATCCCATTTCTTATCACTAGTTGTTCAGTTATTCACTAGCGAGCTGCCAGGCGATTCGGTGGAATAGCCGTAGGCTCCCCAATCCAGCGCGATTCAGGGTCCAATCCTCTCTTGAGGCACTCTCGCCACAACCTCGAGCTATCAGGTGTTGAACAATCCTTAAAAACCAAGTAATGCCGCCATGTGAGCTGTGCTAATCAGTGCCTGCCGCGCGAAGTAGGAGCCTTGAACCTGGACTTGCCTTTCACTTTCGCAATCCCTCTACTGTGCGCCTCGCAACTTTCACCATCTAAAGCTCATTTATTCAACGGGGACGAGAGAGCAGTGTCTACTAGCCTGCGCCACTGGCGCTAAGCACGCTTAACTAAGCAGCCAGGCGTACCACTCGTAACCAATCACTGACAAAGAAAACACGCCCAACAGAACCGTCGTTACCACTGTCGGAGACGCGCGGCGTACCTGGACGTTGGTGGGGTTGTCGGCGATGTTCATGAGCGTGGCGTTGACCATCTGGTTGTTCACCGTGTACTGCGTCGTGCCGCCCATGCGCCCCGCGCCCGCGTCGAGATCGTTGATGAACAGCGCGCACATCTTGCCCTTCTTGATCAGGTCCGACGCCTCGCGGTAACGCTGCGGGAGGAATAAGAGGGGAAAATCGAGACGGGTAGATAAGACGGGGGATGAATGCAAAGTGTTGCCACGCGGCGGTGGAACATAGACGCGGTGTGACGATTTAGGAGGCTGGAACACGAGGCGAAAAGCCGCCGGGAATCAAGAACAAAAGTCTCGGGCAGTTGATGCTCAGTCGCACTAAACGGAGGGACGCAACGACTAGGCGAGATAACGACCAGGCGACGTAACGACAGAGCGAGAAGGGGAATATCCTCTTGTCAAAGGGATTTCTTGCGGCAACGCGACGTGCTCTGCTCACCTGGCGAATGAGCTTAGCGGGCTCTCCGGCGTTGCCGCTCTCGAGCTCTCCCGCAGAGATCATGATGGGGTTGATGCCCATCTTCGCGAACACCAGCTCGCACTGTAACGCGGACAAAATGGCATATGCGGATGGAAGCGGGTTAGACAGCCATACTAGAGGAAATGCTCAAGCGTATAAACATGTCACTACAGAGGAATGAAACTAAGAAACTACCAGGAAATGACACAGCATTGCAAAAAGGATTAGAGGAAGTGGAGGGGCGGGGGTGGGAGGGAGGGGAGGGGGACGGCGAGCAATACAGAAGCAGCTATTACTCTTCGAAGTTGAAGATAAAAAAAAAGAGGGAAGAAGGGGGGGGAGGGGGGGGGAGGGGGGAGGGGGAGGGAGGAAAGGGGGGAGGAAACCCAAGGCGTGGAAGTCATACCTGGAAGGACTTGCCCTGGCCCTTGCCACCCCAGATGCCGAGAATGAGCGGCACGCGGATGTTGGGCAGCGCCATGAAGTTTTTGCAGATGTGCACCACCATCTTGTCCATGAACGCCGGCGCGATGTACAGCCCCTCGGCGGTCACGTTGCTCAGACTGCGGAGAAGCGCAAGAAGAAGGGGAGGAGAAGGATGGGAGGGGAAGGGGGAGGGGGAAGGATTGGAGGGGGGACAGTGGGTGGGCGGGGTGAGTGCGAAACGGGGAGCAACGAGTGGCTTGTGAGGCGCCGGTAGCAGTTTTTGCAGATGTGCACGACCATCTTGTCCATGAAGGCTGGCGCGATGTACAGCCCCTCCGCCGTCACGTTGCTCAGACTGGCGGGTGGGGATCAAGAGAAGGAGGGGAGCGGGAAGAAGGGGAGGGGAAGGAAGGGGAGGGGAAGGAAGGGGAGGGGAAGGAAGGGAAGGGGGAAGGAGGGGAAGGGGGAAGGAGGGGAAGGGGGAAGGAGGGGAAGGGGGAAGGAGAGGAGGGGGAAGAGGGGAAGGGGGAGAGTTGGTGAGGGGTGAGAGCGGAGTGGGGAGCAACGAGTCGCCAGGCGTCTGTAACACGCTTTGCAGATAAAGCGAGATAAGGTTGCTAGCAGACAACGAGAAAGATAGATAGTCAGGGCGCCGGGCTATAGATAATGAGAAAAAAAGCTAAGATAATAAGAAACAGACTAGACGCATACGAAAGGCAGAAGAGACGCGGAAACGATGCAGAGGGAACACGCGGGACGTACTTGCGCTGGCCCTGGCTCTGGTAGTCATAAGAGCTGAGCACGGCGGCGTGCGTGCCCTGTCCCCACCCGCCCTGGAACGCCGCGTCCACCATGCCCTTCCCGCGCGTGATGTCCTGCTGATCGTCGGAAATGTCGCGCCCAAGCCCCGCCCAGCGGTCCTCCGCCATGCATGTCACGCGCGCGCGGCCCGCGGGGGGAGCTCCGGAGAGCTTTGCGCCCGAGAGGGTCGCATTGCTGGAGAGCTGTGCGGACGAGCCGAGCAGCGCGGATGAGGCAATCTGCAGGCCGATACAGGGGGAGGAGAAGCAGAAGAGATGGAGAGGGAGGCGGGAGAAGGAAGGGAAGACGATGAGGGGAGTGCGGTCAAATGAGAACCGTGGAGCGTATGGCAAGGAGAATAGATTATGCAAAAAGGACGAAACAAGTTGTCGAGACGCGGAGTGAAAACAAGAAAACAAGGTGACGACATCATCGGGATAGAGGTTGGGATAGCGGACCTTGGCTGAGAGAGTGGTGGAAGCCATGGTGTCTGCTACGAGGTCAACACAGACGGAGAGCTAGTAGCGAGTGCACGGACGACAATCGCCAAAAAAGCCGGGCGAAGGCGAAGAGAACGAGTTACTCGCGGGAGCAAACTCGAGTCAAGTTGGCGAGTGAAGAATACGCAGTCAACACTCTCAGAGTTAGCAGACTGGGAAGACCAAGGCAGTAGCAGATTGAAGAAGAGGTTGGTGGGGAATGAAGAACCAGCTGATTGGCAGCCATGGCTGCCTGCCTGGTGTCGAGTTGGGCCACCACAGATGGTGGATGAGAGGATCCACCAGATGCCACGTCGGACAGATGCCACGGGACAAGGAGGGCTCTACGAGCACCACGGTCAACTACAGACCACGACGGCTCTCGAGGACCGATGAGGAGGAGGCTATCCGCTCTCGGATTTTGCCGCGTGGCAGGCGGTTCGATTCCGGGGAAATATCAGCCACAAGTGCTCGCTGAAACATTCCATCGGGCCTTGATTCGGGACAAGCTTCGGGAGCCACTAGATGGTCCATTTTGAATCTGGACGGACTACCAAGGCAGAGCTGGCTAGCTGGACACATCAAAACCACGTCAGCGGTTCCTGCGTGGATAACGAAAAAGAGTTCTTCAGGAGGTTGCTGCCCGAAAAGCTAAATTTTCAACTTGTGTGCTAGTTCGTCTTTCTGTCCCCCCAAAAAGCAGTCGCTAGGCAAACGGCCGTTCGTGAACCTAGACCCATTCCGTCGGCTCTTTGTCCGATGTGGAATCTGCCAGCATGGCCCAACCATTCCGACAGACGCTCTTTTCCAGGCTCGCCACGCTGGCAATTTGATCTATCACCCGTCTGTCGTCAATCCCAGACCAGCAATTTCGTTGGGGGGCACGTGTGGTGGAGACTGAGACGAACCTTGCCCAGTAACTCGTCCGCACCGGAGCCGCGCAATTCCCTGGGGCTCCCACGCATCCCCGCGAGACTCGTCGGCGCGCATGCCATGCCCTGCTGGTTTCCGCTTTCCCCCATGCATCTCCCACTACCCTTCCCCACCGTATTCAACACCCCTCCTCCCAAAGCCAACTGCCAAAATGCCAGCGGATTGCTCCATGGTGTAGCGAGGAAAAGCGAAGTGGATAGGCACGGAAATCTCAAGGCGAGAGACAGCTCAAATTGAGGCGAGCTGGGCATTATTTCGAAAATTGTCTTCTGCTCGCTCGTCTGCCTTTTCTGCTCTCCGTTGCTGACAAGTTAGCTCGTTCCTTCATCACTTCTTCGTCAGCTTCGTCAGCAAAGAGCAGCCATGGCCGCCGTCGCTCAGAAGGTACTTGTTCTCGTCAGATTAGGCCTGATTGACGTTACCGTTTAGGATTAAGCTCCTATTGTGAGTCACAGATCGGTCAGCATGCCGACGGCCAGAAAACTTGAAGAACCACAGTGATGGCATTAGGCGTTTTAACTGCCATCATAATCCCCGCAATGCCGCCTTTCTCCGTCCGTTTTCAATCTCTAACAATGCTATTCCATCTGCACATACGTCTCCGTTTCCCTCTCTTATCTGCAGTCCGCCTTCCTGGCAGCACCTGCTCTCTCCTCCATGGAGCAGGCACGCTCAGTGTCCATGTCGGTCTCGCTCCCAGCGATCCAGGCGAAGCAGCAGCGTCGGTCACTCGTCGCTGTCGCGGCCTTGACCGCTCGCGACCTGCAGAGCAAGTCACTGGAGCAGCTGCGCGCCATGGCCCGCATGAAGGGCATCACCGGCAACAACAAGGCCCAGCTCATCTCTGCCCTCACCGGGTGAGTGCTACTGCTTCCGCGAGTGATCCCCGTCCAGTAGCTGCTGGATTTTATGGGTTTCAGTCCGTCAGTGCATCATGCTTCCGTCCGCTTGTTAACCAGTTGTCGGCTCTTCGCATCGTAGTGTGTCCTTCCCTGGTTATTCGCAACTTTAAGCTCGCTCATAACTAAATGTCCTGAATCTTGTCTCTATTCCTGCCACTCTTTTAATATACCTTGCAGTGGTGCCGCCGCATCCAAGCCCTCATCGTACGCCAGCGCTGCAGCTGTCTCTGGCGACGAGGCGCTCCTGCAGAGCAAGACTCTGGGTGAGCTCCGCGCGCTCGCCTCGGCCAAGGGTCTCCGCGGCGACACCAAGGCGGAGATCATCAAGCTGCTCCTGTAAGCATGGCCCCCCGGTCCGTCGTCATTCTTGCATTTTTTTTTTCTCCTGACTCTTCTCTACTTTTGCCAAAATATTCATTCCGGATACTCTTTTCAGTTATGTAAGCCATTGTTACTTGTTTTACTTGCTAACGACCCTTGGTTATTCCCAACCACAGGAGCGTCGGCGGTGTCACCCCCGCCCCAGCAGCTCCCGCCATGTCCTTCTCCGCGGAGGCGCTCTCCCCCGTGGTCCCCACGACCCAATCCGTCTCCGACTACCAGCGCCGCCTCCAGACCAAGCCTATGTCCAAGCTGCGCGCCGTTGCCCGCATGCGCGGAGTCTCGGGGACCACCCGCGCGGAGCTGGTCGCGGGGCTTCTCGCGTTCCACGGCGGTGCCGGCGCTGTTGGCGCTTCCCCCTCCGCGGTCCAGGGTTTCGCGCAGGACAAGCCCGAGATTGTCGGCCAGCTAGAGAGCCTCGCGTTGAGCGAGCTGCGCGCGCTCGCTAAGGCGCGGGGAGTGCGCGGAGACACCCGCAAGGAGCTCATCAAGCTCCTGACGTAAGTACACTCTCTTATAATCCCTTAATCCAAACACGAACTTAAAGCTTGTATTGCTACCAAAGCCTTCGGACGGTGAACAATGTGCTTTTTACTGACGTGTCCCCTTATCTATTGCAGTGGCTCCGCCGCCCCCAAGGCTGCTGCCGCCGCTTCCTACACCAACGGCAGCGCTGTGGCCTCGTCCTCGTACTCGTCCTCCACCCCGTCCTACTCCGCTCCCGTGTCATCCTCCGCGCCGTCCCTCCCCAGCGCGAGTGTCCTCGCCACGAAGCCGCTCGCGCAGCTGCGCGCCATTGCCGCCCAAAGGGGTATCCGCGGTAACACCAAGCAGGAGCTGGTGAAGGCTCTGACCTCGTAAAAAGGGAATATTTGGGGAAGCTTATGTTATTTGTATGCATTTAGGCCACCACGAATTGTCTCCTTTTTTTTTTGGGCTCTAGAGCCTTCAACCATTAAATATTAAAGCTTTCACTTGCTGTTCACAATATGAATGGGGAGAGGAGGAGGTTGATTTGATACCCTATGGTTAGGGAAGGAGGGGGAGTGGGCAGGGCACTAGCTCGCATAGTGACGTGATGTTCCAGGACGTTCTGATACCGTAGTCTCACTCCTGCCCTGTGCCATAGACATCACGAGAATCACTTCGTGTGCTCCGACATGTTCAGCTTGCCATTGTCACTGAACCCACTGGTACCATGAGGGCAATATTCATGGTTTGAATCACAATTGCAATGTGGGGAAAGGCTACTGTTTATCGTCTGAGCATAGTGTTGTGTTGTGGCCTCCAATGCAGAACAATTCAGTTGGATGATTAGTCCCAGGTGGATGCTTGCTTGCGTCCGATGTGATGTACAACAGTAATTGATTTGCCAGACGACATCACATCAGATTCTGCCTGACAACTGAAGATTGCCACAGCCATAAGTCACACTTTCCATTCAATGATGTCAACATGCTTTTCGCACACCCCAACACGTCTGACCCCAAAGACAAATGCAAACTGAAGCTTTAATGCCACTCAGCTGCATTCACATATATACAGGACAGGCTTTCATGCTGCACTTCATGTCTCATACTGCACATCATGTTTGCACCTGGAAGCACAGACGGCAATGCAAAACAGGCATCAACAACCATCAGGAGCTCCCACGGAGCATAACAAGAAGCTGAGCATGCAACAACGATCGATCAGTCACACAAGTCACACATCCCGTATGTGTCTGTCTCCACAACGACAACCCTGAACTTCAATGGAGAGATGAGAGTGACTCGTCGTACCTGGAAGAGTCCTCCTCCCTTCTTGAGCAGAAAGCCCGCTTCATTGAGGCTGTCAATCAGCTCATCAATAACCAACAAACTCAGAAAGCTGACTAATGAGCCGACTCAAGAGTGATGAGGGTGACTCGTACCTGGAAGAGCCCTCCACCCTTCTTCAGCAGGAAGCCCGCTTCATTCAGGCTGTCAATCAGTGCATCGAGATCCGGCACTCTCAGACACATGTCATCCGCTAACTGGGCCAGCTCCTGCCAGGCATTGGGGATGCGGAAGTTGGGCAATGGGGGTATGGAAGAAGACCATGAGGCACGGTATGAGCGCTTCGAGGTACGGCACTCTGAGACACATGTCGTTCGTTAACTGGGCCAGCTTCTGACAGGCACAGGGAGAGTCGGGGAAGTATGAAGGCACGGCATGAGGGCGAAGGAACTGCTTTGACCCCATATAATCCCTTGAGGTGATACTTGAAACAAACCTTCCTGGAGAAGCATGTCTTGATGGCCTGCTTGTCGGTGCGCTGCAGGGCTGCCAGGAACCGCTTTGACTACTTTGACTTGCTCGAGGTGACTTGTGATGTGAGTGGTGATGTGAGTGGTGGTAAGAGTAAAGTAGAATTTCAAAGTCAGGACAGACCTTCCTTGAGAAGCACGTTTTGATGGCCTGCTTGGCAGTGCGCTGCAGCGCAGCCAGGAACCGCTTTGACTCCTTTGACTTGCTCGAGGTGACTTTTGTGGTGAGTAGTCATGTGAGTTGACTCAAATGTTGAAAGCCAAGACAGACCTTCCTTGAGAAGCACGTTTTGATTGCCTGCTTAGCCGTGCGTTGCAGGGCGGCAAGGAACCGCTTTGACTCCTTTGACTTGCTCGAGCTGCCGCCCCGCCCCGCGTCAATGTTGCCCGCCTCGTCTGTTAGCTTGTCCAGCAAGCACTCCCCCATCAGCTCCACTGCCTCCTGGTGGCACAGGGAAAAGGGAGAAGGGAGAATAATGAGGTGTGAAGGATAGAGCAGAATGTATGAGTGAAGAGCCCGAATCATTACATGTCTATGTTGCCCGCCTCGTCTGTGAGCTTGTCTAACAAGCACTCCCCCATCAGCTCCACTGCCTCCTGGTGGCACAGGGAAGAGGGGTGGAGAAGGGGTGGAGAGGGGTGGGTGGGATGTGGCCGCCTCATGAGTCAGCTTAGATAGCAGGCACCCCCCCATCACTTCCACTGCCTCCTCGTAGTGTTGGGAGGATGGACTAGGGGTGAGGGGCAGGGGGATGGCGGCGGTGGGACGTAATTGCCTTGAAAGTCAGCTTGTGTAGCAAGCGTTCCCCCATCACAACCACTGCCTCCTGGTAATGGGGGGAAGAGGGAGAAGGGGAAGGGGTGGGGGTGAGAAGGATAGGGTGGGAGAGGAGTTGTGTGTGGTGAAGCACAGTGCAACACATTCCACCCAAACACCGAACCATCCCGTACCTGGGCATCAGCCTCGGTAACTTCCTCCCGCAGCTCCACACGGGCCCGAGCCTCGGCAAGCCGGACGAGGCTCTCCAGCTGGCGCGCTGTGATTGGAGGGCCGTCCATGGCGCGGCTGTGCTCCCTCAGCCGCAAATAGAACGCCTTGATCACTGCACGCGCCTCCTCTGAGAGCCTGTAGGAAACGCGCGGCAGCAAGAAGTAAATCGGATTGCAGAAGGGGACAACAAGGGTGGAAACGCGGTGGTGCTCCCTCAACCGCAGGTAGAACGCCTTGATTACTGCCCGCGCCTCCTCTGACAGCCTGTGCAGCAAAGGGTGGGATTGCAGCGAGCGAAACGTTGGTACAGGGTGTGATTGGTGGGCTGCCTATGGCTCGGCTGTGCTCCCACAACCGCAGGTAGAACGCCTTGATCACTGCACGCGCCTCCTCTGACAGCCTTTAGCGGAAGACAAAAAGGGGTAAAAGTTGAATGTCCTCCCTCAGGCGCAGGTAGAATAGAACGCCTTGATTACTGCACACGCCTCCTCTGACAGTCTGTGCAGCGGGTGGCAAAATGAGGTAAAAGTTGGGTTGTAACGGGAGAGAAATAGGGTGGGAGCGCAGCTGTGCCCCCGCAATCGCAGGTAGAACGTTTTGATCACTGCCCGCGCCTCCTCTGACAGCCTGTAATGGGTGGCAAACAGGGTGACAGTGGGATTTCAGGGGAAGACAACAAGGGTTGGATCGCCGCTGTGTTCTCTCAGTCGCAGGTAGAACGCCTTGATCACTGCCCGCGCCTCCTCTGACAGCCTGTAATGGGTGGCAAACAGGGTGACAGTGGGATTGCAGGGGAAGACAACAAGGGTTGGATCGCCGCTGTGTTCTCTCAGTCGCAGGTAGAACGCCTTGATCACTGCCCGCGCCTCCCCTGAGAGCCTGTAGAGCAAGGGAGAACAAGGGTGGGATTGCAGTGAGCAAAACAAATGATACAGGGTGGACGGACTGTAGAGCCGTCCATGGCACGGCAGTGCTCTCTTAGCCGCAGGTAGAACGCCTTAATCACTGCCCGTGCTTCCTCTGAGAGCCTGTGAAGGGAGCGGCAAAAAGGGCGGGATTGAAGAGCTGCCCATGGCTCGGCTGTGCTCCCTCAGCCGCAGGTAGAACGCCTTGATCACTGCCCGCGCCTCTGTAGGTGGACAGGTGAGAGAGGGAGAAGTCTGAGGTACTATGGTGGGATGCACCTGGGGGAACTAAGTGCGAGCATAAGCAATGTATTGGCGCAGGCGAGCAGGAGGGAGGGGGAAAGGGGAGAAGTATCGAGCAGCAGAGAAACGCGGGTGGAAACGTTGGGAGAGAGGGAGGTGCAGGTGTGAGTGAGACGCTTCAAGACACAACAGGGGGCAGACACCGCGAGTGAGAACACAACGCACCTGGGGTGCGCGTGTGTGCGAGGTACTGGCGCAGGCGAGCAGGGGAAAAGGAGGAGAAGTCTCAGCATGTAATAGGTGGGTGGACGCACCTGGGGTGCACGTGCGTGCGGGCATAGGCAATGTACTGGCGCAGGCGAGCAGGGGGGAGGGGGGAGAAAGTGCGCGCAGCAGAGGAGTGCATGCGAAGAAGTGGGACTGAGACGCTTCAAGGCTCAATAGGGTCACACACCGCTAACGAGAATGCAACGCACCTGGGGTGCACATGCGTGCGGGCATATGCAATGTACTGGCGCAGGCGAGCAGGGGAGAGGGGGGAGAAGTTGCGGGCAGCAGAGGAGCGCAGGCGGAGGCGGTGGGAGAGGGGCAGGTCGAGGTGCGATGCATGGCCGTCCGTGGCTGATGGGGCCGTGAGGAAGAGATGGGCTGGTGGGGTGGGATGCGGTTTGAGGGGGTGGGATGGGGGGGGTGTGTCAATAAAGATGGGACGGAGAGAGAGAGATCGAGGTGCGATGCATGGCCGTCCGTGGCTGATGGGGTTGTTAGGAAGAGATGAGCTGGTGGGGTGGAATGGGAGGGAGCGAGGGGGGTGAACGAAGAGAGGAAAGTTGAGGCGGTGCGAGAGAGGGAGGTCGAGGTGCGATGCATGGCCGTCCGTGGCTGATGGGGCCGTGAGGAAGAGATGAGCTGGTGGGGTGGGATGCGGTTTGACGGGGTGGGATGCGGGGGTGTGTCAATAAAGATGGGAGGGAGAAAGAGAGGTCGAGGTCGGATGCATGGCCGTCCATGCCTGATGGGGCTGTCAGGAAGAGATGGGATGGTGGGGTGCGATGCGGTGAAGGTGGGGGTGTGAGAGTTGGGGGGGGATATTGAAATGTGAAGATGAGATGGTGAGATGGGATGGGATGAGAGAGGGGGGGTTGTTGACTGAGAGGGGAAGTTCGAGATGCGAGTGCCATTACTTGCTGAAAAGGTGATCAAGGGAGTTATAGTCTGAATGGAGAGTGGACGAGACAAAAATGGTACGAGAGGAGGAGATAGTGCGGCAGGCAGTGTAGCAGAAAGCTGCTTTTGGATGGCGTGGAGCGAGATGGAACGCCTACATGCATCTGCGGGACACCCAGGCAACACAGGTGCCCCACATACATGCATGTAGTGTGGCAGGCAGTGTGGCAGGCAGTGTGGCAGGCAGTGTGGCAGGCAGTGTGGCAGGCAGTGTGGCAGGCAGTGTGGCAGGCAGTGTGGGGACGACTTACAGCTGCGTTTGGATGCCTTGGAGCGAGATGGCATGCCTGCATGCATCTGTGTCTAACGAGGTGACGTTGAGAGTCAACTAAAAAGGCAGTGCGGGGCTGAGAAGGACTTACAGCAGCGCTTGGACGCCTTGGACCGAGACGGCATGCCCGCATGCATCTGCAGCAAGCAAGCACAGGCAACAGGTTGAAGGAAATGAAAGGCTGGTGAAGGGAACTCTCGCCTGGAAGCTCTACCACATGGCTCTAGCCCATATACGCTTACCCCCAACGTTCAATGGCATTAGAATATACACCTCTACCAGATATTAACACCACATACCTCACCAGATACGTAAAACACATGCCACAACCCACCCGCATGCTTCTCCAGCCTCTCACCTGTAGCACGTGCTCCAATAGACGCTGGTCTGTCTGGCGGTCTAGGAGAATCCAGGAGAATGAAGATCAGATCGAATCTAGGCAGCAGGGCGGCAGATAGCTTCAGATACTTCTCACCTGTAGCACGTGCTCTGACAGACGTTGGTCCGTGTGGTGGTCTGGGCGGTCCAGGAGAATGAAGATCAAATCGAATCTTGACAGCAGAGCGGCAGACAGCTTCAGATTCTCGTTTAGTGTGCGCGCTCGACTGGCACGCAGGGGAAATGGGAGAGGATGGGAGGGCAAGGGGGGCGAAGGGATGGGCCAGGAGTATGAAGATCAAATCGAATCGTGACAGCAGGGAGGCAGACACCTTCAGGTTCTCATTCAGCGTGCGCGCTCGACTGGTGTGAGAAGGGGATGGGAGAAGATGGGAGAGGATGGGAGGGGAAGGGAGATGCCAGTATGGAAAAGAGAGGGTGGGGAAAGGAAGTAGCGGAACAATGAGAGATCAGGCGGACATGAAGGAAACACGTCAAGAAGAGAAACAGAAAGAGAGGAAGAAGGAGCGATCCGTTATGGGGGGAACGGAGAGAGAACACCATGGCTGGGACCTGTGAAATAACAAAACTTTGGTTGCAGAACACGAGGCTGACAGCTCGTTCCTCGGTTCTTGGCGCTCACTTGTAATGCCCGCAAACGGGGTTAGCAGCAGCCAGCACTGCAGTGCGCGCACTGAAGTTTGCCAGCAGTCCTGCCTTGGCCACACTCACGCTCTGCTGCTCCATGGCCTCCAATAGCGCCTGGAAGAGGGGGAAGCAGGGGAGCGAGAGGGCGAGGTGGGAAAGAGCAAAGTAGAGATGACGAGGGTGCAGATGTGAGACCTGCCTTGGCCACACCCACGCTCTGCTGCTCCATGGCCTCCAATAGCGCCTGGAAGAGGGGGAAGCAGGGGAGCGAGAGGGCGAGGTGGGAAAGAGCAAAGTAGAGATGACGAGGGTGCAGATGTGAGACCTGCCTTGGCCACACCCACGCTCTGCTGCTCCATGGCCTCCAATAGCGCCTGGAAGAGGGGGAAGCAGGGGAGCGAGAGGGCGAGGTGGGAAAGAGCAAAGTAGAGATGACGAGGGTGCAGATGTGAGACCTGCCTTGGCCACACCCACGCTCTGCTGCTCCATGGCCTCCAATAGCGCCTGGAAGAGGGGGAAGCAGGGGAGCGAGAGGGCGAGGTGGGAAAGAGCAAAGTAGAGATGACGAGGGTGCAGATGTGAGACCTGCCTTGGCCACACCCACGCTCTGCTGCTCCATGGCCTCCGATAGCGCCTGGAAGAGGGGGAAGCAGGGGAGCGAGAGGGCGAGGTGGGAAAGAGCAAAGTAGAGATGACGAGGGTGCAGATGTGAGACCTGCCTTGGCCACACCCACGCTCTGCTGCTCCATGGCCTCCAATAGCGCCTGGAAGAGGGGGAAGCAGGGGAGCGAGAGGGCGAGGTGGGAAAGAGCAAAGTAGAGATGACGAGGGTGCAGATGTGAGACCTGCCTTGGCCACACCCACGCTCTGCTGCTCCATGGCCTCCAATAGCGCCTGGAAGAGGGGGAAGCAGGGGAGCGAGAGGGCGAGGTGGGAAAGAGCAAAGTAGAGATGACGAGGGTGCAGATGTGAGACCTGCCTTGGCCACACCCACGCTCTGCTGCTCCATGGCCTCCAATAGCGCCTGGAAGAGGGGGAAGCAGGGGAGCGAGAGGGCGAGGTGGGAAAGAGCAAAGTAGAGATGACGAGGGTGCAGATGTGAGACCTGCCTTGGCCACACCCACGCTCTGCTGCTCCATGGCCTCCAATAGCGCCTGGAAGAGGGGGAAGCAGGGGAGCGAGAGGGCGAGGTGGGAAAGAGCAAAGTAGAGATGACGAGGGTGCAGATGTGAGACCTGCCTTGGCCACACCCACGCTCTGCTGCTCCATGGCCTCCAATAGCGCCTGGAAGAGGGGGAAGCAGGGGAGCGAGAGGGCGAGGTGGGAAAGAGCAAAGTAGAGATGACGAGGGTGCAGATGTGAGACCTGCCTTGGCCACACCCACGCTCTGCTGCTCCATGGCCTCCAATAGCGCCTGGAAGAGGGGGAAGCAGGGGAGCGAGAGGGCGAGGTGGGAAAGAGCAAAGTAGAGATGACGAGGGTGCAGATGTGAGACCTGCCTTGGCCACACCCACGCTCTGCTGCTCCATGGCCTCCGATAGCGCCTGGAAGAGGGGGAAGCAGGGGAGCGAGAGGGCGAGGTGGGAAAGAGCAAAGTAGAGATGACGAGGGTGCAGATGTGAGACCTGCCTTGGCCACACCCACGCTCTGCTGCTCCATGGCCTCCAATAGCGCCTGGAAGAGGGGGAAGCAGGGGAGCGAGAGGGCGAGGTGGGAAAGAGCAAAGTAGAGATGACGAGGGTGCAGATGTGAGACCTGCCTTGGCCACACCCACGCTCTGCTGCTCCATGGCCTCCAATAGCGCCTGGAAGAGGGGGAAGCAGGGGAGCGAGAGGGCGAGGTGGGAAAGAGCAAAGTAGAGATGACGAGGGTGCAGATGTGAGACCTGCCTTGGCCACACCCACGCTCTGCTGCTCCATGGCCTCCAATAGCGCCTGGAAGAGGGGGAAGCAGGGGAGCGAGAGGGCGAGGTGGGAAAGAGCAAAGTAGAGATGACGAGGGTGCAGATGTGAGACCTGCCTTGGCCACACCCACGCTCTGCTGCTCCATGGCCTCCAATAGCGCCTGGGGGAGGGAGCGGGGCGAGGAAGAGGAAATGAAAGAGCCAAGTAAAGCTGGAGGGGGTGAGGACGTAAACGAAGCATTGGCCACACACACACTCACGCTCTTCTGCTCCATTGCTTCCAACGGTGCTTAGACAGAGGGCGTGGGGGGTGAGGATGGAAAGAGCAAAGCATAGATGAAGAGGGTATAGCTGTGAGAGCAGCCTTGAGCGCAGTCACGCTCTGCGGCGCCATGGCTCTTAGTGGGGAGAGTTGGGGAAGGAGGGAGAAGCGGAGCTGGGTGGGTGGGAGGGAGTGGAATGAGACATGTGGAAAGCCAAGAGGCGCAGGAGGAAGAGATGCGTATCATTGCACACTCCATCGATTCTCTTATTGCTCACGGCGTTCCAGCATACCTCCCCATAGCATGCTACCCACAACTCGCCCACCTGTTGCTCGTTGCCCATCTTATCAAACTCGTCAATGCAGCACGTGCCCTGATCCGCCATCACCATTGCTCCTGTGAATGATGCAACGTGAAGGGACGAGTGGGAGAGCGAGTGAGCGGTGGTGGTTTCAAGAGTCTTGAACAGTCAACTCGTCAATGCAGCATGTGCCCTGATCCGCCATCACCATTGCTCCTGCAGGGGAAAGCAACGGGAGAGGACGACAGGGGAAGAGAGTAAGGGTGCCGTCCCAGCGCCAAGCATCAAGCGCCAAGCATCAAGTGCTTCACGTTTCGTCAATGCAGCAGTGCCCTGGTCTGGCTCGACATCACCGTTGCTCCTGTGATGCGAGATGGAGAGGAGGGGATGACGTGAGAGAGGGAGATAATGAGAGAGCTCTTCTGGCATCGGGGAAGAGTCACCTTCATCAATGCAGCATGTGCCCAACGGGAAATGCAACAGCAAACACGAAGGTTGCCAGGCCGCCCCTAAACCCTTAATAATTTTACGATGCACTACACCCGACAACGCACAACTACTGCGCCCATTCCCCCTTGCGCGCCCTTCCTAACTACCACCAACCAATCTGCTTCAAAGGCGTACTCTCCACCAGGCCATTACTGACCACTGCCCCTGTGAGCCCCACACAGGAGGCACTAGACCACCCTGCACGATGCCATCGCTTCTGCACCCATTCCTCGCTCCCCCGCATTTCCTAACCCACCACCAATCTGCTTCAAAGGAGTACTCTCCACCAGGCCCATTATTGACCACTGCCCCTGTGAGCCCCACACAGGAGCCACTCGAGCCACAGTGCACCCCAAGAGAACTGTGACAGGTGCACAAACCCTCCCCACCCCATCTCCTATCCCACCCCACCACCAACCTGCTTCGAATGCGTACTCCCCGCCAGGCCCGTCCTTGACCACTGCCACTGTGAGACCCACAGAAGAGGCGCCAGACCCGCACACGTACACCCCACGAGGCGCCACAGGCACTGCAGCACCCATCCCCTCCCGCTCGCCCTTCTTACCCTCCCACCACCAACCTGCTTCAAAGGCGTACTCCCCTCCAGGCCCATCCTTGACCACGGCAACTGTGAGCCCCACAGAGGAAGCACTAGACCACCCTGCAAGATGCGATCGCTTCTGCACCCATTCCTCGCTCCCCCGCATTTCCTAACCCACCACCAACCTGCTTCGAATGCGTACTCCCCACCAGGCCCGTCCTTCACCACGGCCACTGTGAGCCCCACAGAGGAGGCGCCAGAGCCACACACATACACCCCACGAGGTGCCACCGCTGCTGCTGCTTTGAGCAGCTGGCTCTTGCCCATGCCTGGATCTCCTGGACGGTACAAGTGAGTGAGAGAAACGAGAAGCTTGATTAGGTTTAGGTGGCTAGTGGGTCAACTTTTTTTATCACCGCTTCTGCTGCTGCTGGCTTAATCACCCCATGCCTGGGTCGCCTGGATGGCACGAGTGATTAAAGAACCACAGGATAAAATGTGTGGGGACATGGACACTGACTATGCTTGTTTCTCCACCTAATGACCGGATTGCAGTCACCCTTTACAGTTGACACACTTTCCCATGCCATGCTTGGGTTGGCAAGAAGGGGGATGCTGGGAAGGGGGTGGCGAAAAGGCGGGGGGTGACAAACCTTCCCATACACCAACATAAGCACTTACCCACTAGCAGCGCGTGCACATCGCCCCTGACTGGCACGCGGTTGGCATCCCCTTCATGCTTGCGCACACCTCCAAAGAGCGACAGTATAATGCCCGCTGCGAGTGAGAGAGACAGGGGAGACGGAAGCAGGGAGGAAGAGGGAAGCAACTGCAGGTGCCACTGTACCACGGAGAAACAAGGCGTGGCCGTAGACGAAATGGCAGAAGGAGTGCACGATGTGCTGACACAGATCACCTTCTTTGTCCTGCACATGGCCGTAGACGGAATGGTGGTAATGGTAATGGTAATGGTAGTGGTAATGGTAATGGTAATAGTAATGGTAATGGTAGTGCTAAAAGTTAAGGTAAAGGTAATGGTAATGGTAATAATGGTAATGGTAATGGTAGTGGTAATGGTAATGATAATTGTAATGATAGTTGTAATAGTAATGGAAATGGTAATGGCAATGCAATGGTTATGATTGGTAATGGTAATTGTAATAATAATGGTAATGGTAGTGGTAATGGTAATGGCAATTGTAATAGTAATGGTAATAGTAATAGCAGTGGTAATGATAATGGTAATAATAATGATAATGGTAATGGTAGTGGTAATGGTAATGGTAATGGTAATGGTAATGGTAATGGTAATGGTAATTGTAGTGGTAATGGTAATGGTAATGGTAATGGTAATGGTAATGATAGTGGTAATGGTAATAGTAGTAGTAATGGTAATGGTAATGATAATGGTAATGATAATGGAAGTGGTAATGGTAATGATAATGGTAGTGGTAGTGGTAATGGTAATAGTAGTTGGAATGATAGTGGTAATGGTAATGGTAATGGTAATAGTAATGGTGATGGTAATAGTAATGGTAATGGTAATGGCCGTAGACGGAATGATCAAGTTGAGTGACTAACAGGGTTCAGAAAGTCAATCCAACCTTGACCTGCACATGGCCGTAGACGGAATGGCAGAAGGAGTGCACGATGTGCTGTAACAGATCACCTTCTTCCTCATGTCCTCCTCCCCCAGCTTTCCACCGCCCTTCCACTCGCACCAATAGCAGCACACGACGGAGAGCGAAGAGCAGGCAAGTAATCGCACCTTTAACGAGCACATGGCCGTAGATGGAAGGGCAGAAGGAGTGCACGATGTGCTGAAACAGGTCGCCCTCGCCCTCATGCTCCCCCACATACTCCAGTATGCTCCTCATGTCCTCCTCCCCCAGCTTCAACACAGCATACTCCAACATGCCTTTTGAGTAAACTCAACAGTCGCCCAGAGAGTCAGCTCACCTTTAACAAGCACATGGCCGTAGATGGAGGGGCAGAAGGAGTGCACGATGTGCTGAAACAGGTCGCCCTCGCCCTCATGCTCCACCACATACTCCAATATGCCCCTCAGGTCCTCCTCGCCCAGCTCCACCGCCCCTCCACTCGCACCACCCGCAGAGGGAGGAGAGCGGAGAGCAGGGGTGGCAGTTGCAGCAGTGGTGGCGGCGGCGCTTGGGGTAGTGGACTGGGAGTTGGCGTTGACGACAGAGATGGCATCAATGTAGAGCTGGAAAAGGCATTGTTCTCTCTTCTTGGACCGCCCTGAAATAGAGGGGCACGTGGATGCACAAGCGCATGTGTGTGTGTGTGTGTTTGAGAGTGTGGCTTGTGAGGTGCCTCAAAACTCATTGACAACGGAGATGGCGTCTATGTAGAGCTGGAAGAGGCATTGTCCCCGCTTCTTGGACCGCCCTGCCATGCATGGGAGGGGCGCATGCCATGCACACGTGTGTATGCCTTGGTGCTCTATAGAAAAGCACATGGCTGGAGAAAAACGCATGACTTCTGTTTCACTAGCAATAATTTCTATCTAGTAGCTCAACACTTCCCATTCCTCCCAACCCCTCACCTCCCCCCACATCCAGTTCGCTGTTGATGATGACAATCTCACACACCGCCACCACGTCCCCCAAGCAGACACATGCCTTTGAGCCAACTCAGAACCCACTTCCCACTCCTCCTATCCCGCCCCTCACCTCCTCCCATGTCCGTCTCATTATTGATGATCTTGACAATGCCACACACCGCCACCACGTCCCCCAGCACACACAGAACTTTAAGAAAATACAATACCTACCTTCCACTCATATCCCCTCACCTCCTCCCACGTCCGTCTCGTTGTTGATGATCTTGACAATCCCACACACTGCCACCACGTCCCCCGGCAGGCACGCATCCGCCAGGTCCTCCCTCAGCTCGCAGTCAACCACCCGCGGCATCCTCCCCATGTCCTCTCCCCCTCCCGTGCCGCCTGTCAGCTCCTGAAGACTGCACCTCGGAGGAAAAACACAGGAGAGAAACGGGAGAAAATGGTACGAACATTGTAATGGCGCGTGTGAGACAGACAAGCATCCTCCAGGTCCTCCCTGAGCCATCCCCCCTGTTAGCTCCTTTAGACTGCATCTCGGAAGAAAATAAATATATACAGATATATACATATATATACATATATATACATATATATATACATATATATATACATATATATATATGAGATAAATATCAACGGAATGTGTCTGAGATGCCAGAGAATTGAGCTAGAGGGCGAGTGCAGAGGAACGGGAATGCAGACACTTTTCATGGTCCATGGTCCAGCAGGGTTGGAATTGTGGACAAAGCCGCAATGGTTTGTGGCAAACACGCCCCACTCACCGTATTGTCTGAAAGTTTATTTTCCGGGCACCTGCCCGGTTTTGCAAGAAGGTGCGGTTGCGGCAGTTGTCATGACCGCAAGCAGTAGGCTGGGTGAAACGGCCGTCAGGGAAGGAGAGCGAGGTGATGGCGCCGCAGCGAGTGCAGGTGAAATCCATTGCCACCACTAGAGGCCGCAGTGGACCCACCCGCACCACCGTCCCACACACTGTCACCAGCCGATCTGCGTGAAAGAAAGAGGGGATGGGAGGGGAGGAGAGGAGAGGAAAGGAGAGGGACGGGTGACAACAGTGAGGAGAAGTGAACTTTCAAATAAATTATCCACCTTGTGGAGGAACTCCCACATTTCCACAGGCAACCAAGCGAGGCGATAAAGATGCAGAATCGTTGGTTGCAAAACAAACAACCGAAAACCAAAATGGTGTAAGCTACAGATCTTCGCAGCTAAAGCCCTAACCACCATGTATACAAACTGATACAAATGCGTCTGACATAGACAGTAGGTGAGTCTGCTGAATGCTCTCACCAAGGCTGCTGGCTTTGAGCTTCTTGAATCCAATAATCGAGTTGGAGTGATCCAACAGCCTCACAGCCAGGCGCAACGACAACCAGATGTACACGATTGCTACCGAGTCTGCTGAAATAATAGACTCACCGAGGCTGCTGGCTTTGAGCTTCTTGAACTCGATGACTGAGTCAGTGTGGTCCACCAGCCTCACAGCCAGGCGAGAGGAGGCGTGCTGTGAGGCACATGCTGACGCAGAGGGAAGGGCTGGGGCCTCGATCAGGCCTCTCTCCAGAAACATCTGGTACGTAGGGAGAGGCGAATCCGTTAGTGGACACAAAATTCACAAGGGGAAGGTGGGGCCTCGAGCAGGCCTATCTCGAGAAACATCTAGCACAGAGGGAGAAACAAGTGGAGGAGACTGTGTGAGGGAGACAGTGTGAGGGAGGCAGTGGAGGAAGAGAAGCATGCGATGCTGATCGTATAGCTAATCATCAGCGCACGTACATGGGTGATGAGAACGAACACGGTCAAGGAGGACTTACTCAGCAAGGCACCAACCGCAAACCAGCAACGGAAAGGACAGTACACATACAGCGCAGCACAAAAAAATATCCTTTTGCTACCCTCTCCCGGTGAAGGGAGCCATACGGCACGGCTACCTGACCACAACTGCAATGACACACAACCTTGTTTCGAGTGTGTGAAATAACCAACATCTTACTGAAGGCACCGTACCTCAGTGGCAGCAGCACCGAGGCAGGCCAGTGCTTCCTCAGGCGCTGCTTCAAGCGCTTGAAGCAGCAACTCCGCAGCTGCGCCCAGATCACTCTGGCCAGCGCTGCACGCAGGCTGCAGATGCTGCTTCAATGACTCCATGCTGACCGTCCATCTTGAAAACAGAGACAGCTCCTTAGGATCGGCCTGTGTTTTGGTAGGTGGGAAGCAGGGATGAGGTATGGTAAAACATGTCAATGAAGGCACCGCGCCTCAGTGGCAGCAGCACCTGGCAGGAGCTGCTTCAGTGACTCCATGCTGCCCGTCCATCAAGAGAACGGAGACAGCTCCTTACGGTCGGCCTGTTTCAGGTGAGAGGAAGGAATGAGAATGCGGTGAGGGTGAGCTGTGGCCGTTAGATAAAAAATGCATGCCAAGGCTGCCATTGCACCTGAGATTGTCAGTCGCAGCATCGAGAAATGTCAGTCAATGCATTAGAAATGTCAGACAGGTTATCAGTCATCGCTGCCACTGCATCCGAAACTGTCAGTCACTGCATCAGGAAAAGTCTGTTGATGCACACCGCTGCATCAGAATGTGCCTGTTATCAGTCTCATCATCCAAAAAGTAATTGTCATGCATCCACCTGTTCTGAGTAACGGATATCAGTCAGTCATTGCATAGGGAGACGTCAGTCACCACTGACGTCCGAAATCGTCTATTGTTGCATCAGGAATCTCCTACCGCTGCTACAAATGTCCTCAGGTACTACCTGCTGCAGCAGCTGCTGGCCTTTCTCCGTGAGGAATCCGTCAATGAGCGATTTTATGAGCTCGGCTCGTCTGTCCTCGGGAGAGAACTCCTCGCTAGGGAAATAAAGCGTCCAGGAAATTGGTACACCAGACGCCTGAACGGCAGGTCTATTGAGGACCTCCATTGAGCTCGTTCGGACGGAATAAGATACTCAAGCAACGAACAGTAGCGATCGCATCGCACGAAATCGCTGTTTGATGAAAAGAAGATCTACTTCTTCACGCCTGGTCTACAATTCTCGAGGGTAACGGCATGATGTCTGGAAGGATACACGCCGCAGTAATGGGAACAGACGATCGTCGGATAGTAAAAAGGAGAATAGCCAACTATGAAAGAGGATTAGGCAACTATGAAACCATGTGTATCACTGTCTGGGTGCTTGATGCGACAGAGCAAGAAACGATTCGACAGAATCTAGGAGGTCCTGAGAATGAGAGTTCGCAGGTTAGGAGCCATGTGCGTTGGGATGGGTACGGCAGCTTCATGGTTACGCTATTCCTCGTATTGCTGTAAGAAACTTTCACCGTACTGGAACACACGGCAACTCTCGGTAACATATAAAACCAGGTCTAACCCATCTCGAAATTGAGCTCTTCAGTGTTTTTCTATTGACCTGTACAACCAACCCTCCTTGGGAATTGGGTAGGATTTTCACCACAGCCAACACGCAAACGAAATTTGGATTTTTCCAAAACGAGGATAGATGAACACAAAAATTTGGATTTGAAGTGTGAATCTCTCAGGCAGCACAACAGCTCGCCAGAGTTCCAGCTTCAACTGTGAGATCCATACCACGAGGCCCATGACAGCAGTCGACGCGTGGACACCGATATTCGAGTGAATATGTGAATGTGGATCGGTCCAATTTCTTAACAGACGTCTGATCCGATCTTGTCGGAATCCAACCCGAGTTTATTACAGGCGGAATTGATCACCATCATGAACTATAACACCTCGCTACCCACTGGGTCAAAACGAGGGTGTTATTTGGCGCAGCGGAGTGCCCTTAACACAGCCCACAGGCGTTACACTCGTCCCCCCCTGGTGCCAACGTCCCCGTTGGCCTCGGACTTCAGGGAGTCGGCCCCCTGCCGCTGGGACCTAGATTTCAGGATCGTTCACTGGGTTCGAGCTGGTAACCACACTTCAGTTCTCACCATAGGTGGAAAGTGTGGACCAGCCGGGACTCGAACCCTAGGCTCTGAAACCAGTATAACACCTCGCTACCCACTGGGTCAAAACGAGGGTGTTATTTGGCGCAGCGGAGTGCCCTTAACACAGCCCACAGGCGTTACATGAACCATCCGTCGCGCGTGTCGTCCGCGACGGCTTAGGCTTCAGACTTCAGAGTCGCTTCTTAGAATTATCAAACATGTTGAACCATCCGTCGCGCGTGTCGTCGGCGACGGCGTGGACTCTCAACGTGGTCAGCTCGGTGGCCATAATTCTCGTCAACAAGCAAGTCATGACCGGATACTCCTTCGTCTACGGTCAGTAGCATCACTGTTATTAGTCACCGTCATTAGTGCTCATTCATTCAGGCCCGTCGTTCGCGTTTGCTTTCCGCCGCCACGCACCCTTCCAGACTTACCTCCTACGCCCCCCCTCCTCCCACTCCTCCTGCCTCGTTCCCCCACCGCCCTCCATTTCTCCCTTCTCCCCCCCCATCCCAGCCACCACGCTGAGCGGCCTGCATCTCTCCTTCGCCACTCTCGCCGGGCTGCTCTGCCTCTGTCTCGCACGCTTCCTCCCTCCCTCCTCCCCCTCCCCTTCCCTTTCCTCCCCCGCACCCCTCTCCCCCTCCGCCTCTCTGATCCCCCCTTCCGCCGCGCCTCCCCCTGCCCCGGTCCCCACGCTGCCCGCGTGGGAGGTGGGGCGCTTCACGCTGCTGTCCAACGTGTGTGTCGTCACCACCAACTTCGCCCTCCTCGCCAACTCCGTGGGGTTCTACCAGGTGCGCAACACCCGCAATACCCTCACTGATATGTCCTTTGAGGCACCTTGAAGGGAGGTGGGTCACTTCGTGCCGCTCCCTAATGCGTGTGTCGTCACCACCAGCTTCGCCCTCCTCGCCAATGGTGTCGGCTTCTACCAGGTGCACGCCACACGCACTCAAGCTACTATGCCTTTTTGAGGCCCCTTAACAGTAACACGCCCACTTAATCTACTGTACCTTCACCGATGTATGCAGTGCAATGAAGCAGATTCACCGGCTCATCATTGACTGAACGACCCTTTCACCCCCCTCCACTGGCCACCAGATCAGCCGTCTGGCGATCATCCCTTTAACCTGCGCGTTTGAGGCGCTGCTACACGGCAAGGCCTACTCGCCCCCCACGCTGGCAGCGGTGCTGGTGGTGCTGGTGGGAGTGGGTGTGTGCACGGTCACTGACGTCACCGTCAGCGCGTTCGGACTCGTCACCGCCGCTGCTGGTGCTGTCTCCACATCCCTGCAACAGATTGTGAGTGTAGGTACAGAAAATGATAGGCGTTTCTGATTAGAGCAGTGGTAAGAGAGCTTGTGGGAGAAGAGAGCGGTGGGATGGCAGCAGCTCTCTGAGCTCTGGCTGACTGCTGGCTAGTGGGACAAGTCAAAGGTCACATGCCTGTCGCTGTTGCTCATTGTGCATTGGCTAGTTTGCTTTCTTTTCCTTCCATACGCATTTCACCCTTCTGCCGTCCCTGCTGTCTCTGTCTTTCTCCCTGCCCTCCCACCCCCTCCCCACCATGCAGTCAGTGGGAGAGTTGCAACAGCGCTATGCCCTGGGCTCATTCGACCTGCTCATTCAGACCGCTCCCCTGCAAGCAAAGTGACTTTTGTTAAGACCTCAAAGTCACTTCTCTCCCTGCCATCCCTCCCATTGCTCCACCCTTTCCCTATGGTGCAGTCAGTGGGCGAGTTACAGCAGCGCTATGCCCTGGGCTCCTTCGACCTGCTCATTCAGACCGCCCCTCTGCAAGCAGCCTCGCTGCTGCTGCTGGGACCCGCTGTAGACTACCTCCTTACAGGCTACAGCGTCATTCACTACACCCTGACTGCTGATGCCACTGTAGGTGCTACAACCTGTCTTAAATCAAAGTGTATTCCCCAGTAGGCAGCACGTATGAGCTCGATTTCCATCCAGATTCAGTTTTCACACTAAGCTTCCTAACCTACTGCTGTAGATCGCCCACTAAGGCCCAGCTACCTTCTCACCTTTCCCCGTCATCCCTCTCTTCCCCCCTCTTCCTCCGCACACCACACCACCAGGCCTGGATTCTCCTCTCCTGCATGCGCGCCCACCTCACCACAGCCAGTGTCTACCTCTGAGCTGGTTTTTGAGCGCCTGAGTAATCCTTGCTCCCCCATCCCCCACTGCACACCACCACCACCAGGCGTGGATTCTCCTCTCCTGCATCCTCGCCCTCCTCACCACAGTCAGCGTCTACCTCTGCATAGGAAAGTTCTCCGCGGTTTCATTCCAGGTCCTAGGCCACATGAAGACCGTAGCCATACTCCTTCTAGGCTGGGCGGTCTTTAAAGACCCCCTTAGTCTTAAGACGCTCCTAGGGATGCTCCTGGCTGTGGCTGGGATGGTACTGTATAGTTGGGCTGTGGAGAGGGAGAGGAGGGCGAGGGAAGGTGAGGGAAAGGATGAAGAGGAGGGCGTTGGAGGGACAAGTGATGGGGTTGCAGCAGCAGGGGTGATAGCACCAGGGGCAACAGCAGCAGGGGCTGTTGGTGAAAGTGTAGATGCAGCAAGTTTAAACGAGACTACACCTCTCCTACAAGCGGGACAGGGCAGTGAATATGGTTCTGGCATAAACACTGGTGGCCTGACTATGAGCAGTGGTGGTAGGAGCAATATAGCTAGTGTAGGATAATAGTGTTGTACCAGCAGCTCTCAGTGTACAAAAGCTTCTCTTAGTACATCGCTAGTCAATTTTCAATCAGGACAGAGCAAACCGACATGCCCTTATCGGGTACAGTAACCCCTCTTTCCCACATCCTGGCAGCAATGCCCTTCGCAGACTTGTCCACCGCATGCAAATTCTTCGTGTTCAACCAAAACCACCTGGCTTATGATTGAAATATGGCTTGGTTCATATTTCAACGGTGCATACGGTAGCGTTGTGCTACAATCAATCATGGCAGCCAACACCTCAGCCAGTTTGTCCGCATCTGCCATAGCTCTGTTGGTCTTGCTTTCCAGATTTCAACACATTATTATAAGAATGGTTTAGTGTACTGTAACAATTGTTGTACAGTAACCCCTCGCTCCCACATCACAGCAGCCAGCACCTCGGCCAGTTTGTCCACATCTGCCATGGCTCGGTGGGCCAGGTCCGGGTGGGCAAAGGGCGTGGAGCAGCGGAAGTGCTTTGAGAAGAGGAATCCCAGCGCCTTGCTTGCTGGCTTGCGATCCGTGTCTGTCAGGGAGATGGGAGAGAGAGGCCATGTAAGAGATGGTAGGGGAGTGGGGGAAGCAGTGCAAAGGAAGGGGTGAAGAAGGGGCGTGGAGCAGCGAAGGCGTGTTGAGAAAAGGAATTTCAGCCCCTTGCTCGCTGGCTTGCGGTGCGAGTCTCTCCGAAGAGAAGTGGGAGAGATATGCAAGAAGGAAGCAGCGCACCTTTGAACAGCCTCTGCACGAGGCGCATGGAGTCGAGGGAGTGTCGGCCGGGCAGCACTGGGATGTTACCGCGCTGCGGCTCAAAACACACCTTAAAGCGCACCTTTGAAGAGCCTTTGGACGAGGCGCATGGAGTCGAGGGAGTGCCAGCCGGGCGGCACAGCAATCCCCACCCGCTGCAGCTCGTTACGCAGCAGAGGGAAGTCAAACGACCAGCCATTATGCGCCACGAGCACCACCGGAGGGAGCAGGGGGGCAGCAGAGGAGACAGCACTCATCTCTGTACTCATAATCCCCATGCGCATCCCTGCACCCCCCTCGGTGTTGACGTAGACGCCAGTGGTAGCACTGCTGTGTACGGAGACTGCTGCCTGTTCTGCCTGCGCCGCCCGCCTAGCCTCCACAAAGTCCACCAGCAGCCGCCCGGCTTCTCGCCAGCTGAGGCGATTCGATTCGTGTGACGAGGGAGAAACAAAGTCAGGAGCGAGGGAGATGTGGGGCGCAGAGAGAATGGAGGAATGAATGAGTGACAGTAAGGGTCGTTTGAGACGCCTCATAAGGTCTTTCGCGGCACCTCTGAGAATATGTACAGGTGGATGAGTGAGAGTCAAGGTTTGGAGATGGGTGTGAGTGAGCGCCCCTGAATGCACCTGACTGACACTGCATTACTCACTGCAGAAGGCAGGCATGGACCTCCCAGTCACCACTGACGTAGGGGCGGGCGGGTGGGCATGCTCATGCTCATGCTCATGCTCATGCTCATGCGGAGGCCAGGCAAGGGAGCTCCCGACACTCACAAGGGGCACTCACTGGGGCACGGACGGGCGGTTGACCATGCGCATGCTGATTCATGCACTGCCTGCGCATCCGGAGAGCGCTCAGCACTCAAAGGGGGACGACTCACTGGGGAACGGAGGGGCAGTTGACCATGCGCATGCTGATTCCATGAACCCTCTCCGCGTCGGCAGAAATGACCCGCGGGAACGGGTTCACCAGCGTGTGCAGCGCTGCCCCCCGGCCCCCCGCCACGTCCCTCAGCGCCAGCTCCACTATGCGGTTCTGCGTGGTGCCCTGCCCGGTCGTCTCAAAGTCCAGCAGAATCACCACTGGCTGCGGGCCGTCCTCGTTATAAGCATCCTCGGCAGCTTGCTCTGGCTCCCCGGGGTCTTTCTCCTTGTCGTGTTTTGGCTTCCCTCGTCGCCGTTGTCTTGGTCGCGCCGCTGCCGCCGCTGCCCCTGCTGCTGCTTCTGATTCCTCTGCTTTTGCCACTACTTCTACGGTTGAGTTTTTTCTTGATACTGCCACTCTCCCTACAGTCACCCTCTTTGTTATCACCGTTTCCTCTGCCGCTCTCCACGCTCTCACACCCACTTGTATCACATTCCCTTCTCTCACATTCCCTTCTTTCACACTCCCTTTCTTCCCTCTCCCTTTTCTTACAATCCCTCCTCTCGCACTCCCTCTCGCACTCACTACAGTCACACCTGGCTTTATCCCTGCAGGTACATGAATCCCCATCCGCATGCTCCGCCGCAGCCCGCCAACATCCGTTACAGTCACACCATGCGGCGTCCCAACAGCCGTAACGCCGTTTAAAGCCCCGATTGCGAGAAACGGCTGAAAGAGGCACGCGAGGGCGACAGGGAGGCGGAATCGCCTGAGAGAGGTGGCTCGCTCAGCCCACCCGTCGGGGAGAGGTCGCTCCTCTGGCAAGCACCGTCGGGGAGAGGTCGCTAGCTCAGGCCGATTATTGAGTCGACTCCAAAGCTCACGCGAGTGTAAACAGCGGAGGGAGGGGCAGAGCGGGGAGCGGAGCAGGGGACGCGGCGACGGAGGGGAATGGGGAGTGAGCGGCGGAGGGAAAGGAAGAGCGCGCGGTAGGAGGCGCGAATGGCGGAAGGGACGGCGGAGAGAATACGCGAGGAGCATTCGATTGGGTCTGGGGGGGATCACGGGCAGGGAGCAACGGAAATGCGGTGACTTGTGCGTCGACTCTCGGAGCGGCGGAATCGCGGATGAAAAGCGGCGACGGTGCGACGTGCGACGGTTGTCGGCCTAGGTCGACGCGACACCGACGGGAGCGTCGCACAGCCTGTCGCTCGGGGAGAAGCTACGCTGGTTGCGGTCGTCCGTTGCGAGCTCTGGGAGCAGATCAGGACATGGCTTGTGTTTGATCAATGCGGCGCGATGCACTGCTGCGGCTGGAGTATACACAGAGTGGATGGGGCGAATGTGCGTCGCAATCAGCAACGGTTGATGGTTCGTTATTATGGGGTGGGTTTGTTGCGACTGGAGCATGTATGGGATGAGCCAAGTGCAGCTTGTGTTATCAGCAGCAGTTCATGCCGTAGTGTTACACTTGTTGTTTCCATTCCAGGTTACAATGAACTGAAAGTGTAAGAGATGCTATAGGAATTCTGTAGATGGATCTGAAGCGCGACAATCTTTCAATGGATACTGGTGCGCGTCTGCAGAAGAAAATTTCTGCATAGCTAACAGCAGGTTTGGCATTGGTGGGAACACTCCTGTAATTAGTGCCAGCGGCTTTTGAGTTAAGGACAAAAGAGTCTTAACGGCGAGAGGTGCTGGCAGCAGTTCTGCGCTTGGATGATGCCCGCTGCTCCTCCTCCCTCTCCTCCTTCCTTGTCTGCCCAGCACATGCAGCAACACAGAGCAAGAGAAGCATAGACACAGCATGACATGGCACAGCACAAGACAGCACGGCACGACACAGCATAGCATGAGAGATGATGAGCTGATGAGAGGGGTGGGAGTGAGCAAGTGAGGGTGCTTCAGCAATAAGCACTGGACTAAGGCAGCTCAGGCGACACGACACGTCATGCTGATGAGGAGGGCGGCCTGAGATGACTGGATGGCATGGCATGCACACTCTAGTCAGCGACTAATATGGAGTTTGAAGAGGATGAGCACGAAGACAGCGACAAAGTCAAGCATCAGCTCGAGCGCATCAGCCACGTGGTGGCATTGGCGGGACGGGATGGGGTGTGTGTGGTATACTACCGCATCCAGGCAGTGACCAGGTGTGGTGGAAGTGTGGCGGATGGCACACAGGTTGCAGACGCAGACTCACCAGGATGAAGAGGATGCGCACGAAGACAGCGACAAAGCCTGACAGGAGCTCGGGGCGTCCACCACGTGGTCGCAATGACCCTGCTTCTCCCCCTCTCCCACGTCGTCCCCGTGGCAGGTGCAGCATAGAATGTGGTGCCGATGGGGTGTGGCGCGGTGTGGTGTGGTTAACAAAGGTGGTTGGTTACAGACATACCAGGATGAAGAGGATGCGCACGAAGACGGCGACAAAGTCCAAAAGAAGCTCGAGGGCGTCCACCACGTGGTCGCACTGGCCCTGCCTCGCCCTCTCCAGCAGCACCTGCGTGTCGTAGACGATATAGCCAGCGAATACCAGCAGGCCTCCGTACAGCTGGTGGGGTGAAAGGGAGAGGTGGGTGAAAGGAGTGAGAGAGAGTAGCACGCAGCCGCACCGCCCTCTCCAGCACCACCTGTGTGTCGTATATGATGTAGCCCGACGGGCTCACGGGCAACTGGCGCAATGGTTTCACAGGCGACTGGAGCTGCTGGCTTCACGGCGGCCACCTCCACTCAACCACCCCCACCTGTCCCACACCCCTTTCACACCCCCTGCTGCACCCCTAGTTTCACTCCCACGACACCCCCCTACCACCACTCCTTCGGCTCCCACACACCCACCCCCCTCAGCGGCAGCTGCAGCAGTGGGAGACGGAGGAGGAGGAGGAGCAGGGGAAGACGCACACACCCGCCACCCCCATACCCGCCACCCCCACACTCGCCACCCCCAAACCCTAAAACGGGCAGCACGGGGCAGGAGCGCGGGCAGCAGCTCGGGGGACGGCGCGCGGCCCCCAGGGCGCTGCGACGGGGCAGCGGGGGGCCGCGCGCGGCTCCCCAGGGCGCCGCGACGGGGCAGCGGGGGGTCGCGCGCGGCTCCTTAGGGCGTCGCGACGGGGCAGCAGGGGCCGCGCGCGGCTCCCCAGGGCGCCGTGACGGGATAGCAGGGGCCGCGCACGGCTCCCCAGGGCACCACGACGGGGCAGTGGGGGGCCGCGAGCGGCTCCCCAGGGCGTCGCGACGAGGCAGCGAGGGACGCGCGCAGGTTGCGGGGCGACGCGACGGGCTCCAGGGGGGGCGACGCGACCGTCGACGGGGGGGGGGGACGCGCGGGTCCCCGGGGGGACGCGTGAAGCAGGAAGCTGCCACGCGCCTCGGGGCGCACGGCGGGCAGAAAACCGCCATGCGCCCCGAGTGCGTGGCGGGAAGGAAAAACAGCGTCGCGCGCCACGGGGCGCACGACAGACAGGAAAGCAGCGGAAGCAGGTGGGCCCACAGGCCAAGAGCGTAACAGCTCTGTTACCATGTGAAGAATGAGGAATGATGAGGAGCCATAGCTAGGGTTTACCTAGCTAGGCAAGAGAGAAATGAGCAAAGGAGGGTTTGACTAGAAAGGAGGGAGGTACAAATAGCAAGCCCTAACAGGGTTATACTCACTATTGAGTACCCCACTACAGACTAGACAAGCATTATATTCTGACACAGGAGGCCTCCATACAGCTGGTGGGGTAAAAGAGACAGACGGGGAGAGGAGATGGGACGAGGATATTAGTGGAAAAAGCAGGCACACTGACTCTCTTCACCAGCATCTGTGTGTCGTATATGATCTATCTGGCGAACACCAGGAGGGCGTCGTACAGCTGTGCGAAAGAGGAGGTGGAAGAGGGTGTGGGAGAGGGGGTGGGAAAGGGGTTGAAAGAACGTGTGAGATATGTAGCAAGGGAGCGATTTCAGCAGGCACACCCGCCTTCTCCAGCAGCACCTGTGTGTCGTACATGATGTGGCCTGCGAACACCAGGAGACCCTGAACAGCTGGTGGGGTGAACGGGGCAGACAATGAGAGGGGCGTGGAAGAGGGAGTGAGGGAGGGGTTTGAGAAAACGTGCGAGATGATGCAGAAATGAAGCAGCTACAACGTGATTAGATTCGTAAGTCTGTGTATACCGGAGAGAGCACACACACACGTACCTCGAACTGAACGACACATCGAAACTGCCGAAGAAGATAGAGGCGAAGCGCTGGGAGGGCATGGTGGAAACAGCAGAGGAGGGGAAGCCCCGCGGGTAGAGGTACTCTTGTCACACTCTACAGAGACACTGAATCGGCACACAGAAACATCATTACTCACAGACGTACCTCGATCTGGAAAACAGCGTTAGAGCCGCCAAAGAAGATTGTTAGCGAGGCGCAGGGCGAGCATGGTGGAGACGGCAGAGGCGAGGAAGCCCCCCAGGTAGAGGTACTCCCTGCGCTTAGCCAGCAGCGCCACTCCTGAGAAGCACAGGAAGATGGCTGCTGTTGCGACGAATGCTGTGACTAGCAGACTGGGAGGTGAGGGGAGAGTGAGAGGAGAGTGATGCCGAAGAGCGCAAATGCAGAGATGGAGAGCAGGGGAGTGAAACGACGAGCATGTAGGCAGGACGGCGAGGGTGGGAGATGAGGAGGGACAAAGGGAGGAGGACGAGATGGGGGTTGGTGTAGAATGGGCAGAGAGAAATCGAGAAAAGAAAAACCGCGCGTTACCAGGCGGTTAACCTACTATTGTGCTTTCCACGGTTGTACTGGGTTAGGCTAATCAATGGGTGGTTCTGCGCTTGACATACATGCGGTTAATGCTCGCATCTTCTTCCACAGCGCCAGGTGCGGACACCCTCGGGACAGCAGCAGCAGCAGGGGAGTCAACGAGACAGTAGTTGTCAGTCAGCTGCTGGCAGCGGTCTCAGTGCCACTGCTGGATCAGACATGGGTGGATGGGATGCTGCCCCCCCGCCTCCCACAGCATATGGTGGCTGGGACTCTGGGCCCTCCACTTCCAATCACCCTCATCCCTTCTCTCCCGCTGCCGCTGCTGCTGCAGCAGCAGCAGCATCAGCCACTGTTGGTGCGAGTGTGTCGACTGGATCTTGCAGCGGTGATCGGTCCATGGGAAGCAGTGTTGGCGACGGTGCTGGTGCTGGCACTGGTGCTGGTGCTGTTACCGGTGCTGATGCTGGTGTTGGTGCTTCGGATTGGGGGTCGTCGAGCAGCAACGTAGATAGCTACGGTGGCTGGGGTCCTGCTTCTGCATCTCCTGCCCCAGATCGCCCCCCTCCTCCTCCAACTGCCTCAGCAGCACCACCCGCAGCAGCACCCGCAGCAGCAGCAGCAGCGCCGGTTTTGGTGCAGGAAGGGCAGTACCAGCCGCCACCGGTTGCCACTGCTTCGTCTGCCCCTATCCCCATGCCCTCTCCCCGCGCTGCTGCAGACACGGCCCCCTCTGCTCCTCCCCTCTCGCCCACTCTTGCCGCATCGCCTCTTGCTTACCCTTCCATTGACACCACCCCGGTTTTGGTGGACTACGGACTTCCAGCATCAGCAGTGGCAGGCGCAGAAAGCGCTGCAGGAGCGGCAGCAGCGCCAGCAGCGTCGCCCAAGGTGGAGCTACACCCGTCGTTACTAGTGTTTAACACTTGGTTGGGAAAGTAAGATCCTGATTGGTTGACGAGTGACGAGTTTTTTGACGAGCGGGGGAAATACATGCGCGAAGTTCCAAAGTGTTGAGGCCAACACAAGAGCTCAGGGGCAGGTTTGGGTCACATCCGAACCTCTTGCGCTTGACATACATGCTTGATTCGTGCGACAACCTGGTCGCAGGTTTGGGAGTTTGGGCGATCGTGTTGTCGCCGTGCAGGTGTGTTTTCCAAACCTACCTGGGTGCACGATCGCATGATTGGTTTGGCACATCCCTGCGCATACCGCCAAGCAAGTTTGTAGGTTCCCAACCAATCGTTTCAACCTGGGCCAACCTTCAGTGGAGTTGTGCGACAGTTTGAGGGTTACCGGATACCAAGCGTTTAACACTTGGTTGAAACACTAGTAAATATGAGAAACGTTAAACAATTGGTTGTAAAACTCTCCTACCCAGGGTGACCTAAGGCTACCATATCCGGAGACCTACCAGGGGATGATTTGAATAACAGCATCGACGAGTGGGCCGATGGAGCAGCCGTGCGAGAAGGCGATGGCGAGAAGCAGGCGAAAGCGAAACGACTAGCGAAAGATTCGCGAGGACCCCGCAACGCGTGGGAAGTGAGAGACGGGGAAAAGGTGGGAAAGGGTGTTACGAGACGGGAAGACAAAGAAAGGAGTTTTTGAAGAAAAAAACGGTTGGCTACACATCGGAAAATCTTCGTCGCTTTGCTTGCATTGCGGGGGTCGTCAGAACATCGCCTAAACAATATACTAACTTGGTATGCCTACGGACACGACGAAAAGTTAGAGCTAGTAAAGGAGGAAGAAAAATAGCGGAAGAGGAGACTCGCAGATGAGGAGAGGAGGAGGCGGAGAGGGGGCGGACCTCGTTAGCGGGAACGGCGGAAGTGGCGTTGAGCCAAAGCTCTCCCGCGATAGATGCTATCGACGAGAGCGCGCCGCCGAGCCCCCACAGCACGTGCGCGTACGCGCCTAGCGACGCGACGACCAGCGTCAGCGAGAGCGTCAGGTAGACTTTCTGCAGATGTGACTGTATCGAGGGGGTGAGGGCGGAGAAGTTCTTCAATGCGTCGAAGTTGAGAAAGGGGACGAGCCCCGCGATGCTGTAGCCGCCATGCCGGAGGTATGGCAGATGATGGCACGCGATTCAAGGAGCGGTGAAAGAAGCAAGCGGCGCAGCGAGAAGGATGATACTGGTATCTTCAAGCTACGTTACTAGTTTCTGGAGGAGTATGCGAGGGAATAAGGCTGTGCTGGATAGATCTGTTCGCACAGGCAAGCGTAGGAATTTGTACGCGCTGCTGTGCTGATGAGCTTGGAGATATTTTTTTCTCGGGGTTTCGAGTCCAACATTCTCGTGTCCAACATTCTCGAGTCCAACATTCACGAGTCCAACAATCTCGTGTCCAACATTCTCGTGTCCAACATTCTCGTGTCCAACATTCTCGTGTCCAACATTTTCGAGTGTCCAACATTCTCGAGTGTCCAACATTCTCGAGTCCAACATTCTCGAGTCCAACATTCTCGAGTCCAACATTCTCGTGTCCAACATTCTCGTGTCCAACATTCTCGAGTCCAACATTCTCGAGTCCAACATAGCATTCTCGTGTCCAACATTCTCGAGTCCAACATTCTCGTGACCAACATTCTCGTGTCCAACATTCTCGTGTCCAACATTCTCGTGTCCAACATTCTAGTGTCCAACATTCTAGTGTCCAACATTCTCGAGTCCAACATTCTCGAGTGTCCAACATTCTTTTGTCCAACATTCTCGTGTCCAACATTCTCGTGTCCAACATTCTCGAGTCCAACATTCTCGAGTCCAACATTCTCGAGTCCAACATTCTCGAGTGTCCAACATTTTCTCGTGTCCAACATTATCGTGTCCAACATTCTCGGGTCCAACATTCTCGAGTCCAACATTCTCGTGTCCAATATTCTCGAGACCAACAATCTCGAGTCCAACATTCTCGAGTCCAACATTCTCGAGTTCAACATTCTCGAGTCCAACATTCTCGAGTCCAACATTCTCGAGTCCAACATTCTCGAGTCCAATATTCCCGAGTGTCCAACATTCTCGAGTGTCCAATATTCTCGTGTCCAATATTCTCGTGTCCAACATTCTCGAGTCCAATATTCTCGAGTGTCCAACATTCTCGAGTGTCCAATATTCTCGTGCCCAATATTCTCGTGTCCAACATTCTCGTGTCCAACATTCTCGAGTCCAACATTCTCGAGTCCAACATTCTCGTGTCCAACATTCTCGTGTCCAACATTTTCGAGTGTCCAACATTCTTGAGTGTCCAACATTGTCGAGTCCAACATTCTCGAATCCAACATTCTCAAGTCCAACATTCTCGTGTCCAACATTCTCGTGTGTCCAACATTCTCGTGTCCCACATTCTCGAGTCCAACATTCCCGAGTCCAACATTCTCGAGTCCAACATTATCGAGTGTCCAACATTCTCGGGTCCAGCATTCTCGAGTCCAGCATTCTCGAGTGTCCAACATTCTCGAGTCCAACATTCTCGAGTCCAACATTCTTGTGTCCAACATTCTCGTGTCCAACATTCTCGAGTCCAACATTCTCGAGTCCAACATTCTCGAGTCCAACATTCTCGAGTCCAATATTCCCGAGTGTCCAACATTCTCGTGTGTCCAATATTCTCGTGTCCAATATTCTCGTGTCCAACATTCTCGAGTCCAATAATCTCGAGTGTCCAACATTCTCGAGTGTCCAATATTCTCGTGCCCAATATTCTCGTGTCCAACATTCTCGTGTCCAATATTATCGAGTCCAACATTCTCGAGTCCAACATTCTCGTGTCAAACATTCTCATGTGTCCAACATTCTCGTGTCCAACATTCTCGTGTCCAACATTCCCGAGTCCAACATTCTCGAGTCCAACATTATCGAGTGTCCAACATTCTCGGGTCCAGCATTCTCGAGTCCAACATTCTCGAGTGTCCAACATTCTCGAGTCCAACATTCTCGAGTCCAACATTCTCGTATCCAACATTTTCGTGTCCAACATTCTCGTGTCCAACATTCTCGAGTCCAACATTCTCGTGTCCAATTTTTTCGAGTCCAACATTCTCGAGTCCAACATTCTCGAGTGTCCAACATTCTCGTGTCCAACATTCTCGAGTCCAACATTCTCAAGACCAACATTCTCGAGTGTCCAACATTCTCGTGTCCAACATTCTCGAGTCCAACATTCTCAAGACCAACATTCTCGTGTCCAACATTCTCGTGTCCAACATTTTCGAGTCCAACATTCTAGTGTCCAACATTCTCGTGTCCAACATTTTCGAGTCCAACATTCTAGTGTGTCCAACATTCTCGTGTCCAACATTCTCGTGTCCAACATTCTCGTGTCCAACATTCTCGTGTCCAACACTCTCGTGTCCAACATTCTCGTGTCCAACATTTTCGAGTATCCAACATTCTCGAGTGTCCAACTTTTTTGAGTCCAACATTCTCGAGTCCAACATTCTCGAGTAAAGCATTCTCGTGTCCAACATTCTCGTGTCCAACATTCTCGTGTCCAACATTCTCGAGTCAAACATTCTCGAGTCCAACATTCTCGTGTCCAACATTCTCGTGTCCAACATTCTCGAGTCAAACATTCTCGAGTCCAACATTCTCGAGTCCAACATTCTCGAGTCCAACATTCTCGAGTCCAACATTCTCGAGTCCAACATTCTCGAGTGTCCAACATCCTCGGGTCCAGCATTCTCGAGTCCAACATTCTCGAGTCCAACATTCTCGAGTCCAACATTCTCAAGTCCAACATTATCGTGTCCAACATTCTCGTGTGTCCAACATTCTCGTGACCAACATTTTCGAGTCCAACATTCTCGTGTCCAACATTCTCTTGTCCAACATTCTCGAGTCCAACATTCTCGTGTCCAACATTCTCATATGTCCAACATTCTCGTGTCCAACATTCTCGTGTCCAACATTCTCGTGTCCAACATTCTCGAGTCCAACATTCTCGAGTCCAACATTCTCGAGTCCAACATTCTCGAGTCCAACATTTTCGAGTCCAACATTCTCGAGTCCAACATTCTCGAGTCCAACATTCTCGAGTCCAACATTCTCGAGTGTCCAACATTCTGGAGTCCAACATTCTCGAGTGTCCAACATTCTCGAGTCCAACATTCTCGTGTCCAACATTCTCGTGTCCAACATTCTCGATTCCAACATTCTCGAGTCCAACATTCTCGAGTCCATCATTCTAGAGTCCAACATTCCCGAGTGTCCAACATTCTGGAGTCCAACATTCTCGAGTGTCCAACATTCTCGAGTCCAACATTCTCGTGTCCAACATTCTCGTGTCCAACATTCTCGAGTCCAACATTCTCGAGTCCAACATTCTCGAGTCCAACATTCTCGAGTCCAACATTTTCGAGTCCAACATTCTCGAGTCCAACATTCTCGAGTCCAACATTCTCGAGTCCAACATTCTCGAGTGTCCAACATTCTGGAGTCCAACATTCTCGAGTGTCCAACATTCTCGAGTCCAACATTCTCGTGTCCAACATTCTCGTGTCCAACATTCTCGATTCCAACATTCTCGAGTCCAACATTCTCGAGTCCATCATTCTAGAGTCCAACATTTCCGAGTGTCCAACATTCTGGAGTCCAACATTCTCGAGTGTCCAACATTCTCGAGTCCAACATTCTCGTGTCCAACATTCTCGTGTCCAACATTCTCGTGTCCAACATTCTCGAGTCCAACATTCTCGAGTCCAACATTCTCGAGTCCAACATTCTCGAGTCCAACATTTTCGAGTCCAACATTCTCGAGTCCAACATTCTCGAGTCCAACATTCTCGAGTCCAACATTCTCGAGTGTCCAACATTCTGGAGTCCAACATTCTCGAGTGTCCAACATTCTCGAGTCCAACATTCTCGTGTCCAACATTCTCGTGTCCAACATTCTCGATTCCAACATTCTCGAGTCCAACATTCTCGAGTCCATCATTCTAGAGTCCAACATTCCCGAGTGTCCAACATTCTGGAGTCCAACATTCTCGAGTGTCCAACATTCTCGAGTCCAACATTCTCGTGTCCAAAATTCTCGTGTCCAACATTCTCGAGTGTCCAACATTTTCGAGTTCAACATTCTCGAGTCCAACATTCTCGAGTCCAACATTCTCGAGTCCAACATTCTCGTGTCCAACATTCTCGTGTCCAATATTCTCGTGTCCAATATTCTCGTGTCCAACAATCTCGTGTCCAACATTCTCGAGTCCAACACTATCGTGTCCAACATTCTCGAGTCCAACATTCTCAAGTCCAACATTCTTGAGTGTCCAACATTCTCGTGTCCAACATTCTCGAGTCCAACATTCTCTCGTGTCCAACATTCTCTCGTGTCCAACATTCTCGTGTCCAACATTCTCGAGTCCAACATTCTCGTGTCCAACATTCTGGAGTCCAACATTCTCGAGTGTCCAACATTCTCGAGTCCAACATTCTCGTGTCCAACATTCTCGTGTCCAACATTCTCGATTCCAACATTCTCGAGTCCAACATTCTCGAGTCCATCATTCTAGAGTCCAACATTCCCGAGTGTCCAACATTCTGGAGTCCAACATTCTCGAGTGTCCAACATTCTCGAGTCCAACATTCTCGTGTCCAACATTCTTGTGTCCAAGATTCTCGAGTCCAACATTCTCGAGTCCAACATTTTCGAGTTTAACATTCTCGAGTCCAACATAACATTCTCGTGTTCAACATTCTCGAGTCCAACATTCTCGTGACCAACATTCTCGTGTCAAACATTCTCGTGTCCAACATTCTCGAGTCCAACATTCTAGAGAGCCCAACATTCTCATGTCCAACATTCTCGTGTCCAACATTCTCGTGTCCAACATTCTCGTGTCCAACATTCTCGTGTCCAACATTCTCGTGTCCAACATTCTCGTGTCCAACATTCTCGTGTCCAACATTCTCGTGTCCAACATTTTCAAGTGTCCAACATTCTCGAGTGTCCAACTTTCTCGAGTCCAACATTCTCGAGTGTCCAACTTTCTCGAGTCCAACATTCTCGAGTCCAACATTCTCGAGTCCAACATTCTCGAGTCCAACATTCGCAAGTCCAACATTCTCGTGTCCAACATTCTCGTGTGTCCAACATTCTCGTGTCCAACATTTTCTAGTCCAACATTCTCGTGTCCAACATTCTCGTGTCCAACATTCTCGAGTCCAACATTCGAGTGTCCAACATTCTCGAGTGTCCAACATTCTCGAGTACAACATTCTCGAGTCCAACATTCTCGAGTCCAACATTCTCGAGTCCAACATTCTCGAGTCCAACATTCTCAAGTCCAACATTATCGTGTCCAACATTCTCGTGTGTCCAACATTCTCGTGACCAACATTTTCGAGTCCAACATTCTCGTGTCCAACATTCTCGTGTCCAACATTCTCGAGTCCAACATTCTCGAGTCCAACATTCGCAAGTCCAACATTATCGTGTCCAACATTCTCGTGTGTCCAACATTATCGTGTCCAACATTCTCGTGTGTCCAACATTCTCGTGACCAACATTCTCGTGTCCAACATTCTCGAGTCCAACATTCGAGTGTCCAACATTCTCGAGTGTCCAACATTCTCGAGTCCAACATTCTCGAGTCCAACATTCTCGAGTCCAACATTCTCGAGTCCAACATTCTCGAGTCCAACATTCTCGAGTCCAACATTCTCAAGTCCAACATTATCGTGTCCAAGATTCTCGTGTGTCCAACATTCTCGTGTCCAACATTCTCGAGTCCAACATTCTCGTGTCCGAAATTCCCGTGTCCAACATTCTCGAGTGTCCAACTTTTTCGAGTCCAACATTCTCGAGTTCAACATTCTCGAGTCCAACATTCTAGAGTCCAACATTCTCGAGTCCAACATTCTCGAGTCCAACATTCTCGAGTCCAACATTCTCCAGTCCAACATTCTCAAGACCAACATTATCGTGTCGAACATTCTCGTGTGTCCAACATTCTCGTGTCCAACATTTTCGAGTCCAACATTCTCGTGTCCAACATTCTAGTGTCCAACATTCTCGAGTCCAACATTCTCGTGTCCAACATTCTCATGTGTCCAACATTCTCGTGTCCAACATTCTCGTGTTCAACATTCTCGATTCCAACATTCTCGAGTCAAACATTCTCGTGTCCAACATTCTCATGTTCAACATTCTCGTGTCGAACATTTTCGAGTGTCCAACATTCTCGAGTGTCCAACATTCTCGAGTCCAACATTCTCGAGTCCAACATTCTCGAGTCCAACATTCTCCAGTCCAACATTCTCAAGTCGAACATTATCGTGTCGAACATTCTCGTGTGTCCAACATTCTCGTGTCCAACATTTTCGAGTCCAACATTCTCGTGTCCAACATTCTCGTGTCCAACATTCTCGAGTCCAACATTCTCGTGTCCAACATTCTCATGTGTCCAACATTCTTGTGTCCAACATTCTCGTGTTCAACATTCTCGAGTCCAACATTCTCGAGTCTAACAATCTCGAGTGTCCAACATTCTCGTGTCCAACATTCTCGTGTCCAACATTCTCGCGTCCAATATTCTCAAGTCCAACATTCTCGAGTCCAACATTCTTGAGTGTCCAACATTCTCGAGTCCAACATTCTCGAGTCCAACATTCTCTCGTGTCCAACATTCTCGTGTCCAACATTCTCGTGTCCAACATTCTCGAGTCCAACATTCTCGTGTCCAAAATTCTCGTGTCCAACATTCTCGAGTGTCCAACATTTTCGAGTTCAACATTCTCGAGTCCAACATTCTCGAGTCCAACATTCTCGAGTCCAACATTCTCGTGTCCAACATTCTCGTGTCCAATATTCTCGTGTCCAATATTCTCGTGTCCAACAATCTCGTGTCCAACATTCTCGAGTCCAACACTATCGTGTCCAACATTCTCGAGTCCAACATTCTCAAGTCCAACATTCTTGAGTGTCCAACATTCTCGTGTCCAACATTCTCGAGTCCAACATTCTCTCGTGTCCAACATTCTCTCGTGTCCAACATTCTCGTGTCCAACATTCTCGAGTCCAACATTCTCGTGTCCAACATTCTGGAGTCCAACATTCTCGAGTGTCCAACATTCTCGAGTCCAACATTCTCGTGTCCAACATTCTCGTGTCCAACATTCTCGATTCCAACATTCTCGAGTCCAACATTCTCGAGTCCATCATTCTAGAGTCCAACATTCCCGAGTGTCCAACATTCTGGAGTCCAACATTCTCGAGTGTCCAACATTCTCGAGTCCAACATTCTCGTATCCAACATTCTTGTGTCCAAGATTCTCGAGTCCAACATTCTCGAGTCCAACATTTTCGAGTTTAACATTCTCGAGTCCAACATAACATTCTCGTGTTCAACATTCTCGAGTCCAACATTCTCGTGACCAACATTCTCGTGTCAAACATTCTCGTGTCCAACATTCTCGAGTCCAACATTCTAGAGAGCCCAACATTCTCATGTCCAACATTCTCGTGTCCAACATTCTCGTGTCCAACATTCTCGTGTCCAACATTCTCGTGTCCAACATTCTCGTGTCCAACATTCTCGTGTCCAACATTCTCGTGTCCAACATTCTCGTGTCCAACATTTTCAAGTGTCCAACATTCTCGAGTGTCCAACTTTCTCGAGTCCAACATTCTCGAGTGTCCAACTTTCTCGAGTCCAACATTCTCGAGTCCAATTCGAGTCCAACATCTCGAGTCCAACATTCTCGAGTCCAACATTCGCAAGTCCAACATTCTCGTGTCCAACATTCTCGTGTGTCCAACATTCTCGTGTCCAACATTTTCTAGTCCAACATTCTCGTGTCCAACATTCTCGTGTCCAACATTCTCGAGTCCAACATTCGAGTGTCCAACATTCTCGAGTGTCCAACATTCTCGAGTACAACATTCTCGAGTCCAACATTCTCGAGTCCAACATTCTCGAGTCCAACATTCTCGAGTCCAACATTCTCAAGTCCAACATTATCGTGTCCAACATTCTCGTGTGTCCAACATTCTCGTGACCAACATTTTCGAGTCCAACATTCTCGTGTCCAACATTCTCGTGTCCAACATTCTCGAGTCCAACATTCTCGAGTCCAACATTCGCAAGTCCAACATTATCGTGTCCAACATTCTCGTGTGTCCAACATTATCGTGTCCAACATTCTCGTGTGTCCAACATTCTCGTGACCAACATTCTCGTGTCCAACATTCTCGAGTCCAACATTCGAGTGTCCAACATTCTCGAGTGTCCAACATTCTCGAGTCCAACATTCTCGAGTCCAACATTCTCGAGTCCAACATTCTCGAGTCCAACATTCTCGAGTCCAACATTCTCGAGTCCAACATTCTCAAGTCCAACATTATCGTGTCCAAGATTCTCGTGTGTCCAACATTCTCGTGTCCAACATTCTCGAGTCCAACATTCTCGTGTCCGAAATTCCCGTGTCCAACATTCTCGAGTGTCCAACTTTTTCGAGTCCAACATTCTAGAGTCCAACATTCTCGAGTCCAACATTCTTGAGTCCAACATTCTCGAGTCCAACATTCTCCAGTCCAACATTCTCAAGACCAACATTATCGTGTCGAACATTCTCGTGTGTCCAACATTCTCGTGTCCAACATTTTCGAGTCCAACATTCTCGTGTCCAACATTCTAGTGTCCAACATTCTCGAGTCCAACATTCTCGTGTCCAACATTCTCATGTGTCCAACATTCTCGTGTCCAACATTCTCGTGTTCAACATTCTCGATTCCAACATTCTCGAGTCAAACATTCTCGTGTCCAACATTCTCATGTTCAACATTCTCGTGTCGAACATTTTCGAGTGTCCAACATTCTCGAGTGTCCAACATTCTCGAGTCCAACATTCTCGAGTCCAACATTCTCGAGTCCAACATTCTCCAGTCCAACATTCTCAAGTCGAACATTATCGTGTCGAACATTCTCGTGTGTCCAACATTCTCGTGTCCAACATTTTCGAGTCCAACATTCTCGTGTCCAACATTCTCGTGTCCAACATTCTCGAGTCCAACATTCTCGTGTCCAACATTCTCATGTGTCCAACATTCTTGTGTCCAACATTCTCGTGTTCAACATTCTCGAGTCCAACATTCTCGAGTCTAACAATCTCGAGTGTCCAACATTCTCGTGTCCAACATTCTCGTGTCCAACATTCTCGCGTCCAATATTCTCAAGTCCAACATTCTCGAGTCCAACATTCTTGAGTGTCCAACATTCTCGAGTCCAACATTCTCGAGTCCAACATTCTCTCGTGTCCAACATTCTCGTGTCCAACATTCTCGTGTCCAACATTCTCGAGTCCAACATTCTCGTGTCCAAAATTCTCGTGTCCAACATTCTCGAGTGTCCAACATTTTCGAGTTCAACATTCTCGAGTCCAACATTCTCGAGTCCAACATTCTCGAGTCCAACATTCTCGTGTCCAACATTCTCGTGTCCAATATTCTCGTGTCCAATATTCTCGTGTCCAACAATCTCGTGTCCAACATTCTCGAGTCCAACACTATCGTGTCCAACATTCTCGAGTCCAACATTCTCAAGTCCAACATTCTTGAGTGTCCAACATTCTCGTGTCCAACATTCTCGAGTCCAACATTCTCTCGTGTCCAACATTCTCTCGTGTCCAACATTCTCGTGTCCAACATTCTCGAGTCCAACATTCTCGAGTCCAACATTCTCGAGTCCAACATTCTCGAGTCCAACATTCTCGAGTCCAACATTCTCGAGTCCAACATTATCGAGTCCAACATTATCGTGTCCAACATTATCGTGTCCAACATTCTCGAGAGTCCAACATTCTGGTGTCCAACATTGTCGAGTCCAACATTTTCGAGTCCAACATTCTCGTGTCCAACAGTCTCAAGTCCAACATTCTCATGTCCAACATTCTCGTGTCCAATATTATCGAGTCCAACATTATCGAGTCCAACATTATCGAGTCCAACATTCTCGAGTCCAATATTCTCGAGTGTCCAACATTCTCGAGTGTCCAATATTCTCGTGTCTAATATTCTCGTGTCCAACATTCTCGTGTCCAACATTCTCGTGTCCAACATTTTCGAGTCCAACATTCTCGATTCCAACATTCTCGAGTCAAACATTCTCGTGTCCAACATTCTCGTGTTCAACATTCTCGTGTCTAACATTTTCGAGTGTCCAACATTCTCGAGTGTCCAACATTCTCGAGTCCAACATTCTCGAGTCCAACATTCTCGAGTCCAACATTCTCCAGTCCAACATTCTCAAGTCCAACATTCTTGAGTGTCCAACATTCTCGTGTCCAACATTCTCGAGTCCAACATTCTCTCGTGTCCAACATTCTCTCGTGTCCAACATTCTCGTGTCCAACATTCTCGAGTCCAACATTCTCGAGTCCAACATTCTCGAGTCCAACATTCTCGAGTCCAACATTCTCGAGTCCAACATTCTCGAGTCCAACATTATCGAGTCCAACATTATCGTGTCCAACATTATCGTGTCCAACATTCTCGAGAGTCCAACATTCTGGTGTCCAACATTGTCGAGTCCAACATTTTCGAGTCCAACATTCTCGTGTCCAACAGTCTCAAGTCCAACATTCTCATGTCCAACATTCTCGTGTCCAATATTATCGAGTCCAACATTATCGAGTCCAACATTATCGAGTCCAACATTCTCGAGTCCAATATTCTCGAGTGTCCAACATTCTCGAGTGTCCAATATTCTCGTGTCTAATATTCTCGTGTCCAACATTCTCGTGTCCAACATTCTCGTGTCCAACATTTTCGAGTCCAACATTCTCGATTCCAACATTCTCGAGTCAAACATTCTCGTGTCCAACATTCTCGTGTTCAACATTCTCGTGTCTAACATTTTCGAGTGTCCAACATTCTCGAGTGTCCAACATTCTCGAGTCCAACATTCTCGAGTCCAACATTCTCGAGTCCAACATTCTCCAGTCCAACATTCTCAAGTCCAACATTATCGTGTCCAACATTCTCGAGTCCAACATTCTCGTGTCCAACATTCTCATGTGTCCGACATTCTCGTGTCCAACATTCTCGTGTCCAACGTTCTCGAGTCCAACATTCTCGAGTCCAACATAGCATTCTCGTGTCCAACATTCTCGAGTCCAACATTCTCGTGACCAACATTCTCGTGTCCAACATTCTCGTGTCCAACATTCTCGTGTCCAACATTCTAGTGTCCAACATTCTAGTGTCCAACATTCTCGAGTCCAACATTCTCGAGTCCAACATTCTCGAGTGTCCAACATTCTTTTGTCCAACATTCTCGTGTCCAACATTCTCGTGTCCAACATTCTCGAGTCCAACATTCTCGAGTCCAACATTCTCGAGTCCAACATTCTCGAGTGTCCAACATTTTCTCGTGTCCAACATTATCGTGTCCAACATTCTCGGGTCCAACATTCTCGAGTCCAACATTCATGAGTGTCCAACATTCTCTCGTGTCCGACATTCTCGTGTCCAACATTCTCGTGTCCAACATTCTCGAGTCCAACATTCTCAAGTCCAACATTCTCGAGTCCAACATTCTCGAGTCCAACATTCTCGAGTCCAACATTATCGAGTCCAACATTATCGTGTCCAACATTCTCGAGAGTCCAACATTCTCGAGAGTCCAACATTCTTGTGTCCAACATTGTCGAGTCCAACATTTTCGAGTCCAACATTCTCGTGTCCAACATTATCAAGTTCAACATTCTCGTGTTCAACATTCTCGTGTCCAATATTATCGAGTCCAACATTATCGAGTCCAGCATTCTCGAGTCCAACATTCTCGAGTCCAATATTCTCGAGTGTCCAACATTCTCGAGTGTCCAATATTCTCGTGTCCAGTATTCTTGTGTCCAACATTCTCGTGTCCAACATTCTCGTGTCCAACATTTTCAAGTCCAACATTCTCGATTCCAACATTCTCTAGTCAAACATTCTCGTGTCCAACATTCTCATGTTCAACATTCTCGTGTCGAACATTCTCGAGTGTCCAACATTCTCGAGTCCAACATTCTCGAGTCCAACATTCTCGAGTCCAACATTCTCAAGTCCAACATTATCGTTTCGAACATTCTCGTGTGTCCAACATTCTCGTGTCCAGCATTTTCGAGTCCAGCATTCTCGTGTCCAACATTCTCGTGTCCAACATTCTCGAGTCCAACATTCTCGTGTCCAACATTCTCATGTGTCCAACATTCTCGTGTCCAACATTCTCGTGTTCAACATTCTCGATTCCAACATTCTCGAGTCAAACATTCTCGTGTCCAACATTCTCATGTTCAACATTCTCGTGTCGAATATTTTCGAGTGTCCAACATTCTCGAGTGTCCAACATTCTCGAGTCCAACATTCTCGAGTCCAACATTCTCGAGTCCAACATTCTCCAGTCCGACATTCTCAAGTCCAACATTATCGTGTCGAACATTCTCGTGTGTCCAACATTCTCGTGTCCAACATTTTCGAGTCCAACATTCTCGTGTCCAACATTCTCGTGTCCAACATTCTCGAGTCCAACATTCTCGTGTCCAACATTCTCATGTGTCAAACATTCTCGTGTCCAACATTCTCGTGTTTCATTCTCGAGTCCAACATTCTCGAGTATAACATTCTCGAGTGTCCAACATTCTCGTGTCCAACATTCTTGTGTCCAACATTCTCGTGTCCAACATTCTCGCGTCCAATATTCTCAAGTCCAACATTCTCGAGTCCAACATTCTTGAATGTCCAACATTCTCGAGTCCAACATTCTCGAGTCCAACATTCTCTCGTGTCCAACATTCTCGTGTCCAACATTCTCGTGTCCAACATTCTCGAGTCCAACATTCTCGTGTCCAAAATTCTCGTGTCCAACATTCTCGAGTGTCCAACATTTTCGAGTCCAACATTCTCGAGTTCAACATTCTCGAGTCCAACATTCTCGAGTCCAACATTTTCGAGTCCAACATTCTCGTGTCCAACATTCTCGTGTTCAATATTCTCGTGTCCAATATTCTCGTGTCCAACAATCTCGTGTCCAACATTCTCGAGTCCAACACTATCGTGTCCAACATTCTCGAGTCCAACATTCTCAAGTCCAACATTCTTGAGTGTCCAACATTCTCGTGTCCAACATTCTCGAGTCCAACATTCTTGAGTGTCCAACATTCTCTCGTGTCCAACATTCTCGTGTCCAACATTCTCGTGTCCAACATTCTCGAGTCCAACATTCTCGAGTCCAACATTCTCGAGTCCAACATTCTCGAGTCCAACATTCTCGAGTCCAACATTATCGAGTCCAACATTATCGTGTCCAACATTATCGTGTCCAACATTCTCGAGAGTCCAACATTCTGGTGTCCAACATTGTCGAGTCCAACATTTTCGAGTCCAACATTCTCGTGTCCAACAGTCTCAAGTCCAACATTCTCATGTCCAACATTCTCGTGTCCAATATTATCGAGTCCAACATGATCGAGTCCAACATTATCGAGTCCAACATTCTCGAGTCCAATATTCTCGAGTGTCCAACATTCTCGAGTGTCCAATATTCTCGTGTCCAATTTTCTCGTGTCCAACATTCTCGTGTCCAACATTCTCGTGTCCAACATTTTCGAGTCCAACATTCTCGATTCCAACATTCTCGAGTCAAACATTCTCGTGTTCAACATTCTCGTGTTCAACATTCTCGTGTCTAACATTTTCGAGTGTCCAACATTCTCGAGTGTCCAACATTCTCGAGTCCAACATTCTCGAGTCCAACATTCTCGAGTCCAACATTCTCCAGTCCAACATTCTCAAGTCCAACATTATCATGTCCAACATTCTCGAGTCCAACATTCTCGTGTCCAACATTCTCATGTGTCCGACATTCTCGTGTCCAACATTCTCGTGTCCAACATTCTCGAGTCCAACATTCTCGGGTCCAACATTCTCGAGTGTCCAACATTCTCGTGTCCAAGATTCTCGTGTCCAACATTCTCGTGTCCAACATTCTCGAGTCCAATATTCTCAAGTCCAACATTCTCGAGTCCAACATTCTTGAGTGTCCAACATTCTTGAGTGTCCAACATTCTCGTGTCCAACATTCTCGTGTCCAACATTCTCGAGTCCAACATTCTCGTGTCCAAAATTCTCGTGTCCAACATTCTCGAGTGTCCAACATTTTCGAGTCCAACATTCTCGATTTCATTATTCTCGAGTCCAACATTCTCGAGTCCAACATTCTCGAGTCCAACATTCTCGTGTCTAACATTCTCGTGTTCAATATTCTCGTGTCCAATATTCTCGTGTCCAACAATCTCGTGTTCAACATTCTCGAGTCCAACATTATCGTGTCCAACATTCTCGAGTCCAACATTCTCAAGTCCAACATTCTTGAGTGTCCAACATTCTCGTGTCCAACATTCTCGAGTCCAACATTCTTGAGTGTCCAACATTCTCTCGTGTCCAACATTCTCGTGTCCAACATTCTCGTGTCCAACATTCTCGAGTCCAACATTCTCGAGTCCAACATTCTCGAGTCCAACATTCTCGAGTCCTACATTCTCGAGTCCAACATTATCGAGTCCAACATTATCGTGTCCAGCATTATCGTGTCCAACATTCTCGAGAGTCCAACATTCTTGTGTCCAACATTGTCGAGTCCAACATTTTCGAGTCCAACATTCTCGAGTCCAACATTCTCAAGTCCAACATTCTCGTGACCAACATTCTCGTGTCCAACATTCTCGTGTCCAACATTCTCGAGTCCAACATTTTCGAGTCCAACATAACATTCTCGTGTCCAACATTCTCGAGTCCAACATTCTCGTGACCAACATTCTCGTGTCCAACATTCTCGTGTCCAACACTCTCGAGTCCAACATTCTAGAGTGTCCAACATTCTCGAGTCCAACATTCTCGTGTCCAACATTATCGAGTCCAACATTATCGAGTCCAACATTCTCGAGTCCAACATTCTCGAGTCCAATATTCTCGAGTGTCCAACATTCTCGAGTGTCCAATATTCTCGTGTCCAATATTCTCGTGTCCAACATTCTCGTGTCCAACATTCTCGTGTCCAACATTTTCGAGTCCAACATTCTCGATTCCAACATTCTCGAGTCAAACATTCTCGTGTCCAACATTCTCGTGTTCAACATTCTCGTGTCCAACGTTTTCGAGTGTCCAACATTCTCGAGTGTCCAACATTCTCGAGTCCAACATTCTCGAGTCCAACATTCTCGAGTCCAACATTCTCGACTCCAACATTCTCGAGTCCAACATTCTCAAGTCCAACATTATCGTGTCCAACATTCTCGTGTGTCCAACATTCTCGTGTCCAACATTTTCGAGTCCAACATTCTCGTGTCCAACATTCTCGTGTCCAACATTCTCGTGTCTGCGTGACCAGTGAGGACCACTGAACTCCGCCCTCCAAGCACGAGCTCCATGCCCGACGTACTGCACAAGTAGCGCAACACCCTCTTCGCTGCAGCCATGTGCTCTGGTCGGTGTCTCCCAGGAGCAACATAGCGTGCCAAGATGCTAAGAGGGTATGCCATGTCAGGTCGAGTGCAGGTCATCAGGTACATGAGGCAGCCAACAAGCCCTGGGTACGGGCCACTCGGCTCTACGGACTCATTCGAAGGCAGAGCTGAGAGCGAGTGGCGAGTAGACAGAGGAGTGGCCTGAGGCGAGGAGTACGTGAAGTCGAAGCGCTGAAGGACCTGCTGCACCATGTGTGACTGAGTCAGGGTAATGGTGCGCCGTGCTCTGTCCCGGGTGATCTGCAAGCCAAGATAGCTGCGCAGTTCACCCAGGTCTGTGCACGTGTGTCTCTTCTGCAGCTCGGACTTCACGTGGGCGAGTCCAGCAGTGTCAGCAGTAGCAAAGACCAAGTCGTCGACGTACACGAGGATGTAGAACGGCGGCAAAGAGATGTCGGTGTGCGTAGAAACAGCGACGGGTCGGCAGTAGAAGGAGCAAACCCAAGTGCCGCAAGTGTAGTCCTCAGTGTGTCGTGCCACTCACGGGGCGCCTGGCGGAGACCGTAGACTGGCCGCCGGAGGCTCCACTGGGTACCAGGAGGAAACGACCCAGTGAAGCCAGGTGGGCGGCGCAGCCAGATCTCCTCGTGCAGGCTGCCCTGTAGGAAAGCAGTGCTGAAGTCAAGAGACTGAAGCTCGTAGTCGCGCTGAGCGGCTATGTGCAGCAGCACCCGAAGAGTGGTCATCTTCGGGGTGGGAGAGAAGGTCTGAAAGTAGTCAACTCCCTGCCGCTGACTGAAGCCTCGAGCCACGTAACGCGCCTTGAAGACAGGCGGAGAACCCGGCGGCTGCTTCACCCTGAAAATCCACATGGCACTGACGATGTTCGCCCCAGGTGGGGGAACCTCGTCGACATAGGTGTCTGTGGACTTCCAGGAAGCCATCTCTGCGTCCATGGCTGACTGCCACTGAGAGGAGTAGGGACCCTCTATCGCCTCTGCGTAAGAGCGCGGGGTCGGGATGTCTGGTGCATCCGGGTCTCTCTCAGGGGCAACTAGCATGGACACGAGATGAGGTAAAGCAGCAGCAAAGCACTGGAACTCCTCCTGCCTGTCCTCAAGGACGTCCGTGCTAAGAGCACACTCACCCCCGACGGACGGAGGACAGACAGACTCAGACTCAGCAACAAGACTAGCGGCGTAGTCTAGACGTCAGTGAGCAGCGAAGTCGACAAGCTCAGCAACTAAGGCAGACGCAGTAGTGGACTCAAAAAAAGGGTCAGTGACAACAGTAGCCAGGAGACGCGTGACAGTAGGACTGGCAGCACGAAGGGAGTCAGACGTCGGGTCAGCAAGAGCAGGAAGAGAGGACTCAGGAGGAGACGGCAAAGGGACACGCAGTGGAGCAGTGGAAGGACGCAGTGCCATCTGGTGTGTGCCCAGGACCGCAGGAGGGCGCTGACGTGGAACACGACGACTAGTGCGAGCAGCACGAACAGGCGACGCAGGACGCGACTCAGGCTCACGACGCTCAGCAAGACCTCCAGTAGGACCAGTGTAGGGAGAAGGAGCAGGCAGTGGGGAGGCTAGCTGTAACTGTGACTCGGACTGGACAGGCGGTGGACACTCTAAGGAAGGAGCAGGACCAGAAGAAGGCGGAAGACCAAGAACCTACTCAAGGAGCGGAACGAAGTACGGCCGCGGCCGCGCAGCGCCTCCAGAACCAGCAGGGACAGCACCAGCACCCCCAGCGCCAGCTCCAACTCCAGCAGCACCACCAGCTCCAGCAGCACCTCCAGCAGCTCCAGAACCTCCAGCAGCTCCAGCTCCAGCGGGACCACCGGAAGACGCAGCAGCTCCGGTTCCAGTACCCCCAGCAGCACCTACTCCAGCAGCACCGCCAGCTCCAGATCCGCTAGTAGCTCCAGCACCAGCAGCACCACCAGGCCCAGCAGCTCTAGTACCTCCAGTACGAGCACCTCCGGGACCCGTGGCTCCAGCACCCCCAGCAACAGTAGAACCTCCAGTACCGGCAGCACCACCAGCTCCAGCAGCACGGCTCCAGCGCCGAGAAAACCACTCGCGCAACTCCTGTGGAGAGGGTAGCTCCCGCCGGGACGAAGCACACAAAGGACCTCCAGGCCCAGCACCGCCAGACTCCACACGAGCAGGCCCAGCTCCCGCAGGCTCCGCACCCCAAGACTCAGCAACTCCAGGCTCAGCACCCCCAGACTCAGGAACTCCAGGCTCAGCACCCCCAGACTCAGGAACTCCAGGCTCAGCACCCCCAGACTCAGCACCCCCAGGCTCCGCACGCTCAGGCTCAGCACCCCCAGACCCGGCACCCGCAGGCTCAGCACCCCTAGCAGCACCAGAGTCAACAGCTACCTCGACAGGCTCGAGTGCGTCTACCTGAGACACACCTGAGGGGGCAGGACCCTGAGGGGGGAGGGGGTCTACCGGGGGGGGGACCTGGCGCGAGGAAGAGCGGCGGGGGGGGGGAGGGGGGCAGCGCGGTAGGGAAAGAGACGGTAGTACGGAACCGACTCGTCAAACGTGACGTCCTGGGAGGACAGAACACGGCGCGAGGTGGGGTGGTAAAACTGCCAACCAGGCGCGTCAGGGGGGAAGCCAAGGAAGACGCAGGGAATAGCACGGGAGGACAGCTTGTCCGCAGACAAGTCGCGGACGAAAGCTCGAGATCCCCAGACACGGAACGCAGACGCATCGCCAACCTTCCCCATCCACCGCAGAGTAAGGGAGGTCTCCGGCATGGAGACCCGGGGCTGAAGGTTGATCTGATGCACCGCGTACTGAACCGCGAACGGCCACAGAAAATGGGGAGCAGCCGCATGGATCATGGACGTACGAGCGACGTCCATGACCATGCCAATGCGGCGCTCAGCAATCCCATTTTGCTGTGGAGAGGCCGGAAGCGTGAACGTCTGGCGGATGCCCTCCGCACGACAGAAGGCTCGCAGAAGGTCGGAGGAAAACTCTCCACCTCGGTCGGAGTGCAGACGCAGAACAGGAAAGTCCGAGCCGAAACTCTCTCTGAGCTGGAGACGGGCAGCGCGGATCCAGTCGATCAACACCTCAGTGACCTCACCCTTGCGGCGCAAGGGGAAGACTGAGGTGTAACGTGCAAAGTCGTCAACCACCAGCAGGAAGTAACGCTCGTGACCCTGTCCACGGACGCGGGCTGGGCCCCACACGTCCATGTGGAGAGTCTGCAGCGGAGCCTCTGTCGGAGGAAACTCGGAGGAGTGAGGAGTGGCGCGTTGCCGCCCCTCGACGCAGGGAACGCAGGTAGGGGCAGGCCCCGGAGGAAGGGGAGGTAGGGACCGGGGGAGACCAGAGACAAGGACACGGGAGGCCATGCCTCGGAGACGAGGCAGGGAGGGGTGACCAAGGCGGTGATGCCAGAGGAGGGTCTGGTGGGACAGGAGGCGACAAGAGCAGGGGGCAGACTCAGGACCAGACCGAGACGCTGCAGCAAACACCTGACCCGACGCAGCTACCTGACCAGACGCAGCAACCGGAGGAGACTCGGTAGTCAGTGTGTACAGGCTCGACCCCGGCTGACGGGTAAACGTGGCCAAGTGTCGGCCCGTCCGAGCACACGTGCAGTGGGTCACTCGCTGACTCGCAGGAGTGAACTGGTCAACCCCTCCATCCTGTAGGTCAGCACCACTCACCAAGTTCGTAGAGAACGAGTGGAGGTAAAGACCTGACAGGGAGCCAGAGGGGGCCGCCGGAGACAGTAGGACAGTGGAGTAGTGGGCAAGTACAGGACCCCCAGAGGGGTCTGCCAGGGAGATTGCAACCGGCCGACTATTGGCGTGAGTGTGGTGCGGTCTCGAAAGAAGGAGCGGGAAGCACCCGAGTCAAGGGTGAAGGTGTGTAAGACCGCAGCAGGCGCAGTACCAGAGAGAGCAGACTCACCAGCACCTGGAGCAGCAGCCTCACGAGCACCTAGAGCAGCAGCCTCACCAGCACCTGGAGCAGGAGACGCACCAGCACCTAGAGCAGCAGCCTCACCAGTACCTAGAGCAGGAGACTGGATACCGGGGTCAGGCGGCACACACAGGTAACAGGCACCCTCAGCACTAGTGGGCAATGCATACATGGCAGTGAGGATAGCATCATAGTCAAGAGCATAGATATCTACCATCTGCCTAAGCAGCTCCACCCAGTCGGGGAGCTCAGCCGCGTCGCCAAACTCTGTACGCCAGGCGTCGCTCAGACGGGCGAAGCAGCGGGACTCTGTGTGACCAAACGTCGCGCAAGGCTGACCAGTCCGAGCACCAGTGCGAATGATGTACGGGCAGCGAGCAGTACCCCGTGACCCTCCACGCTGAGCGTACCACTCACGAAGCTGCTGGGGCGAAAGGACCGCGCGCAGACGACGCTGCAGCTGCACCTGGCCACTATAAGAAGCTCCCGAACTACTCACTCCAGGACGACTCCCACTATGGCCACCCCGACAACCCCAACTAGCGTACCACTCACGAAGTTGCTGGGGCGTGAGGGACTCACGTGGACGTCGCTGGAGCTGCATCTGGCCACCGCCAGGAGCAGCAGTAGCAGTAGTAGCAGCGCGCCCACCCCTACAACCCCAACTAGCGTACCACTCACGAAGCTGTTGGGGCGTGAGGGACTCACGCGGACGGCGCTGGAGCTGCATCTGGCCACGCCAGGAGCAGCAGTAGTAGTAGAAAGAGCAGTAGCAGCAGGAGCAGCAGTAACAGCAGTACGGGCAGGGCAGTGCTCACCAGTGGCGAGAAGGGCAGGCGTACGACGGTGGCAACGGCGAGGCCGCAACCACTGCAGGGCGAGGGCTCCGCGGCAGCTGCAGGGGCGGCTGCTCCAGGGGCCAGGGGCGGCTGCTGCAGGGGCGGCTGCTCCAGGGGCCAGGGGCGGCTGCTGTAGGGGCGGCTGCTCCAGGGGCCAGGGGCGGCAGCAGAGGTCCAGGGGCGGCTGCTGCAGGGGCAGCTGCTGCAGGGGCGGCTGCTGCAGGGGCGGCTGCTCCAGGGGCCAGGGGCGGCTGCTGCAAGGGCGGATGCCCCAGGGGCCAGGGGCGGCTGCTCCAGTGGCCAGGGGCAGCTGCTGCAGGGGCGGCTGCTCCAGGGGTCAGGGGCGGCTGCTCCAGGGGCCAGGGGCGGCTGCTGCAGGGGCGGCTGCTCCAGGGGTCAGGGGCGGCTGCTGCAGGGGCGGCTGCTCCTGGGGTCAGGGGCGGCTGCTGCAAGGGCGGCTGCTGCAGGTCGGGCGCGGGTTAGGGCAGGGCACCGCGGCGGACAGGGGCGACGCCGCGCGGGTCCCGCAGGGGCGTCGTGACGAGCGGTGGCGACGCCCGGGTCCCGTTGGGGCGTCGCGACGCGCGGGAGCCGCGCCTCGCGGGTCCCGCAGGGGCGTCGCGACGAGGCGGGGGCGACGCGCGGGTCCCGCTGAGGCGTCGCGACGAGGCAGGGGCGACACCCGCGGGGCCGCGACTGGCGACGGGGCGGGGCCGCTACGGGTAACGGGGCGGGGCCGCGAAGGGGCCGCTAAGGGGCCGCGAAGGGGCCGCGAAGGGGCCTCGAAGGGGCCGCTAAGGGGCCGTGAAGGGGCCGCGAAGGGGCCGCTAAGGGGCCGCGAAGGGGCTGCGAAGGGGCCGCAAAGGGGGGCCGCGACGGGCCTCAGGAGCAGGGCAGGCCGCTAAGGGGCTACGAAAGGGTAGGGCAGGTCAGAGCGCGAAGCGCGCTTCGGGCAGGTTAGGAAAAAAAAAAATTAATGGTGGGCCCTTAGGAAGAAACGGTCCCACTAGGGAACCCGCTCTATACCATGTGAAGAAAGAGGAATGAATGAACTAGGAAAGTGTGTGATACAAATGTGAAACCCTAGAAGTGAGTACCCCTTAGTGTCTACCCCGCAACAGCCTTCATAGGCTAGGTCATGTATGTCTGACACTGGTGTACACTTCATGTTGTTTCCAGTCCAGGTCAAGATTTTTGGGCTTAAGAAATTCTGTAGATGGTGTCAAAACAGACACACTTTCAATGAATACCATTGCGGCACGTCTACAGAAACTCAATTTCCTTCAGCAAGATTGCTTGAAAATCCTTGCTCACTCTACATAGCTAACAGCTGGTTTGGCATTGGTGTGGGGTCACTCCCATCATGTGTCAGCACTGTTGAGTCAAGGACGAACGAGTCTAACGGCGAGAGGTGCTGGCAGCACATGCAGCAACACAGAGCAAGCGACGCACATGGCACAGCACAGCACAAGACAGTGGTGAGAGAGTCAACGGCGAGAGGTGCTGGCAGCAGTCCTGCGCTTGGATGATGCCCGCTGCTCCTCCTCCCTCTCCTCCTTCCTCGTCTGCCCAGCACATGTAGCAGCACAGTGCAAGCAAAGGATAGACAAAGCACGACATGGCACAGCACAAGACAGCACGGCACGGCACAGCATAGCATGAGAGATGATGAGCTGATGAGAGGGGTGGGAGTGAGCAAGTGAGGGTGCTTCAGCAATAAGCACTGGACTAAGGCAGCTCAGGCGACACGACACGTCATGCTGATGAGAAGGGCGGCCTGAGATGACAGGATGGCATGGCATGCACACTCTAGGCAGCGACTGACATGGAGTTTGAAGAGGATGCGCACGGAAACAGCGACAAAGTCAAGCATCAGCTCGAGCGCATCAGCCATGTGGTGGCTGTGGCGGGACGGGATGGGGTGTGTGTGGTATACTACCGCATCCAGGCAGTGACCAGGTGTGGTGGAAGTGTGGTGGATGGCACACAGGTTGCAGACGCAGACTCACCAGGATGAAGAGGATGCGCACGAAGACAGCGACAAAGCCCGACAGCAGCTCGAGGGCATCAGCCACGTGGTCGCAGTGACCCTGCTTCTCCCCCTCTCCCACGTCGTCCCCATGGCAGTGCAGCAAGTGTGGTGTGGATGGGGTGTGGTGTGGTGTGGTTAACACAGGTGGTTGGTTACAGTCTTACCAGAATGAAGAGGATGCGCACGAAGACAGCGACAAAGTCGAGCAGCAGCTCGAGAGCGTCCACCACGTGGTCGCAGTGGCCCTGCCTCGCTCTCTCCAGCAGCACCTGCGTGTCGTATATGATGTATCCTGAGAAGACCAGCAGGCCTCCATACAGCTGGTGGGGTAAAAGAGACAGACGGGGAGAGGAGATGGGACGAGGATATTAGTGGAGAAAGCAGGCACACTGGCTCTCTTCACCAGCACCTGTGTGTCGTATATGATGTATCTGGCAAACACCAGGAGGCACTTTTGAGAATTCTCAAAAGTGATTCCCAAATTGTCGTAAATGATGTATTTGGCCAGCACCAGGAGGCCGCCGCACAGCTGTGCAAAAGAGGAGGTGGAAGAGGGTATGGGAGAAGCAGTGAGATGGAGTGGCAAGGGAGCGGATTGAGGGAGCAGCCACACTGGCCCTCAGCAACACCTGCGTGCCATGAATGCATGCGAACACCAACAGCCCCCCGCACAGGGCGACGTCCCAGCCCAGGTGTGCTCAGAACTAGAGGAAAGGGCTCGTTACACAATAACCTCGACCTGAAAGATAGCATCAGAGGCGCCGAAGACGAAGGAGGCGAGGCGCAGGGCGAGCATGGCGGAGAGGGCGGAGGGGAGTGGCAAGGCACAGGCAACGAATTCAGAGAGCAGAGACCACATTGCACTCACACACGCAACTGACACACGTACCTCAATCTGGAAAACAGCATTGGAGCCACCGAAGAAGATAGAGGTGAGGCGCAGGGCGAGCATGGTGGATACGGCAGAGGAGAGGAAGCCCCCCAGGTACAGGTACTCCCTGCGCCGTGCGAGCAGCGCCACACCTCACTCACACACACACCTCACACACACACCTCACACACACACCTCGATCTGAAAGACAGCGTTAGAGCCGCCAAAGAAGATGGAAGCAAGGCGCAGGGCGAGCATGGTGGAGACGGCAGAGGCAAGGAATCCTCCCAGGTAAAGGTACTCCCTGCGCTTAGCCAGCAGCGCCGCCCCTGAGAAGCACAGGAAGATGGCTGCTGTTGCGACGAATGCTGTGACTAGCAGACTGGGGGGGAAGGAGGGACAAGAAGAGAGGGAGGCAGGGGGGGTTGTGAGAGGGGGTGAGGGTGAGAGGTCGGGAGTAGGCAGAGCTGAGTGACTGAGTACAGGGAGAGAAAGCCCCCCAAGTACAGGTACTCCGAGCAGCGCTGCCCCTGAGAAGCACAGGAAGATGGCTGCTGGTGCAATGCTGCTACTAGCATACTGGACGGGGAGGGAGGCAGGGAGGGGGGGACGGGGTGGGAGAGAGAGGTTAGGAGCAGGAATGACAAGCATGGGTGATGTGCGGCGGAGAGTGCACGGGTGGGAGAATGCGAGGGTGGGAGGGGGACGGGGGAGACGATGCGAGGAGGACGAGAGAGTGGGAGGAGAGCGATGCCGGAGAGCGCAAATGGAGAGATGGAGAGCAAAGGAGTGAAACGAAGAGCATGCAGGCAGCGCGGAAGGAGACAGAGGGAGGAGGACGAGATGGGGGCTGGGGTGGAACGGGCAGACAGAAAACGAGAGAAGAAAACCGCGCGTACGGTTGACCTAACTACTTCATTCACAGTTGTCCTGGGCTAGCCTAACAAGTGGGTGATCCTCCGCTTGACAAGCCTGAAGTTAACCTAAAGCTCTCCTACCCATGGTTGACCTAAGGCTGCCATAACCGGGGACCTACCCGGGGTTGACCTCTTAAGGATGCCATATCCGGGGACCTACCCGGGGTTGATTTGAATAACAGCATCGACGAGCGGGCCGATGGAGCAGCCGTGCGAGAAGGCGATGGCGAGAAGCAGGCGAAAGCGAAACGACTGGCGAAAGATTCGCGAGGACGCGGCAACGCGTGGGAAGGGAGAGACGGGGAAAAAGTGGGAAATGGTTTTACGAGAAGGTAAGACGAAGAACAGGGTTTCTGAAGAGAAAAACGGTCGTCTACACATCGAAAGGCTTCGCCGCTTCGCTTACATTGCGGAGGTCATGAGAACATCGCCTAAAAAATATACTAAACGTACGCCTACGGACGCGAACGAATGTTAGAACTGCTGGCACACAGCTTTGGAGGAAGAATACTAGCGAAAGAGGAGACTCGCAGACGAGGAGAGGAGGAGGCGGAGAGGAGAGCACCTCGTTAGCGGGTACGGCGGGCGTGGCGTTGAGCCAGAGCACGCCCGCGATCGACGCTATCGACTAGTAGAGCTAGTATTATACAGCAAAGGAGGGAGAATACTAGCGGACGAGGATATTATCAGGCCGCGAGGAGGCGCACCTCGTTAGCGGGAACGGCGGGCGTGGCGTTGAGCCAAAGCACGCCCGCGATCGACGCTATCGACGAGAGCGCGCCGCCGAGCCCCCACAGCACGTGCGCGTACGCGCCTAGCGACGCGACGACCAGCGTCAGCGCGAGCGTCAGGTAGACCTTCTGCAGATGTGACTGTATCGAGGGGGTTAGCGCGGAGAAGTTCTTCAACGCGTCGAAGTTGAATGACTGCGAGTCGCCGAAGCGAGAGAAAGGGGACGAGCCCCGCGATGCTGTAGCCGCCATGACGGAGGTATGGCAGATGATGGCACGCGATGCAAGGAGCGGTGAAAGAAGCAAGCGGTGCAGCGAGAAGGATGATACTGGTATCTTCAAGCTTCGTTACTAGTTTCTGGAGCAGTATGCGAGGGAATAATGCTGTGCTGGATATATCTGTTCGCACAGGCACGAGCGGGAATTTGTACGCGCTGCTGTGCTGATGAGCTTGGAGATATTTATTTCTTGGGGTTCCAGCAATGCAATGCGAAGTGCTCGGCGGTTGTTTTGGTGAACGGCTCGGTACGGTGCAGGCAGCGATGGGTCTAGATCGGCTTGATAAATTTGTGCAGATGACTCGCTGCGTGCTTCTCACGAGAAGGACGAGAATCTGGCTGCTATCTGGAACTTTCAAGAAAGTGCTAGAGTGGGCGAAACGATGCGCTGGAATAACCATGGGGCAAGTGTTACATTCTAAGAGAATGGATCAACATAGTAAGAGTGCCTCTAACTTGCATTTGAATGAAAACACGACTAACACTGTGGTTTTACCAGAAAAGTTTGACAGTCATTATCACTCTCGCGCAACCCGCCTCATCTTGGCAACCAGGCGAGCAGTGGTGGCATCCAGCGACCCCCCAGCACCGCTCTCCTGTGCGATAAACTCCGACAGGCTCGCCTTGGGCGTGGCAAAGCACGCTTGGAAGGTCGCAATAGCAGGCGATGCAGCCACATACAGCACCGACAATACACTGCATAGATACTCTATGTCTGCTGCTAGCTGCTGTGCCCCCCGGTCTGACACCTCGGGAATCGCTCGAATCTGCTCCACGAATAGCGACGTCGCGCCGTCAGCGACCTTTGTCATCCACTCCCGGACGAAATACGCCCCCGCATCCTCCTCCCCTGCTGCGGTCGGTGTCGCGGATTCCCCGCCTGCCGACGCGCTGCTTGCCGAGGCTTGCAGGAGCAGGCTCGGGGCTGCTTCGGAGGCAGCGACGGCGAGAGGCTCGAGTTGCTGGGGGAGATTGAGGAGGTATTCTCCCACGGCTGTGATGTAGGGTAGAGCGTACGCGTTGAAGGCTGGTAGGTCAAACACATTCTCCTCCTCGCCCAATGCCCAGTCCGGCATGGAAGAGACCCCTGCCAATTGCCGCCGTACCTGCAAGGTGGGGGCGCGAGAGGCACGGGGATGGATATAAGAAAAGGGGGAACGAGGCAAGCGAGGAAGTAGGTGATGAGACGAGTGCAGGGAGGAGTGTTGCAGCAACAGGGAAGAACACAATTGTCGAGAGGAAGGAAATCGAGGAAAGGGAAGAAAATGAAGCGTGCATAGAAAGTGAGGGAAATAGGGAGATTGTGGGTAGCAGGGAGAGTGAGGGTAGCGGGGCGAGTGAGGGGAATGGGGAGAGTGAGCGAGTGAGCGAGAGCGCAGAGGGACGATCGCATCCTTTGCGGTCATTGGACGATGTGCTCATAGGAGAGCCAATGAGCATTGAGCACATCGTGCACCAGCAATGAGGGAGGAGAGAGCGAGGGAAGGAAGGAGGGAGTGGAGGGTGAGGAGAGAAAGTGGGGGGCGAGCAAAGAAGGCGAGGACAGAGAGTGGGGTAAGGGGGGGAGGAGAGTTGGTGATGGGAAATGAGCACGAGGCGGGGATGGTCGCACCTTGGCAATGAGCACGTCGTACACCAACGATGACACTGCTTCCTGGAAGCTTCTCACTCGCTGCGCCGTGCGCGGGAGCGCATGGATGCGCGGGTCCCTGAGCTCGTCCAGCAGCCTGATGAGGGCAGGTGCACATATGGAGGAAGGGGGGAACGGGGGGAGGGCAAGAGAGGGCAAGCAACAGTTATGGAGCCAGGCCCGAATGACCACGTGGTCATTTTCGTGCTGTATTGAAAGCACATTCAAGCCTTGCACTGCTTTCACCACATGGCCCACCATCCCTTCACCCCATCACGCTGCACCTGGCGAGGCGCTGAGCCTTGTCGGGATATTCCGCCAGTCTCAGCACCGCCACATCCACCTCACTCCCCTCTGCTCCCCCTCCAGCTCCCACTCCGCCTCCCCCTGCGCCTCCCCCTCCCCCTGCGCCACCAACCGACCCCACCCGCTTCACCTCCCCTCCCGCGCCCTCCCCTCCCCCTTCCCCTCCGCCATCCCCCCCAGCATCCAGCCCCAAGCGGGGGGAGAGCTGGGTGAGGGCGCTGCGGAGGGAGGCTTCAAACACTGCCACGCGCACCGCCACACTCTCTGCCACCATCAGCAGTTGCAGCGCTCCCTGCACCACTGCCCACTCCTCCTCCTCCTCCACTCCCCCTGCTCCCCCTGCTCCGTACCCCGCCGGGTCCGGTAGACTGGCCAACGGATCGTCTGAGAATGGATTGGTTCGGTCTGAGCCTGGGCCAGAGGCTCGGGTTGGAGCGGAAGGAGTGGTGGAGGAAGGAAGGGCAGGAGGTGGGGGAGGGGAGAGGCCGCAGATGGGGGGGAGGGATTGGAGGCAGGAGGAGAGGCGGGAGAGGAAGAGGAGGATGGAGTGGTCGAGTGCGGTGAGGAGCGCTGCTGCCTCTGAGCCCCCTGTGAAGGCGAGACAGCGCTCCACTGCTGCCTCCAGTGCTGCCATGGCTGCTGGGATGGCCGCCTGGTGAGGGGGGTGAATGAAGAGTGGAGGAAAGATGTAGAGGACAGGAGAGCGAGAGGTGATGGGAAGATTAAGCATGCAGAATGGGATGGGTGGTAGAGGTGGTACAGGAAAGAGGAGCGTGGTAGCAAAATACGAAAAGGCCAGCTCCAGACCACCTCCCAGGAACATATTAGTCATACTGAGAACTCCAAAAGATTCCAAGAGATTATTCCAGCACACTGACATGCACCGCACAGCACCACCTCTCACCTCCATGCGCCGAACAGCATCTGCCAGCACGAGCCCGCGCTGCCCCACTTGCTTCACTGCGCTGCCCGGCCTGAGATCTATGCCGCCCAGATCCGCCGCCAGCTGTGCGCGCTCATAGTCCCCGTAGCGCTGCTTGAACGGCTCTAAGGGCCGGAACACCGCCCACACCACTGCTCCCACACTCACCGGCCCCTCTCCCTCCTGCTCCCCCTCCTCCTCCCTGCCCCTTCTCTTGCTGCCCTTCTCCCCTCCGCCTGCCGCTCCTCCTCCTGCCCCTCCTCCTCCTCCTGCTGCTGCTGCGGCGGCGGCTCCTTGTGTGTTTTTCTCAGAGGAAGATGGCTTAGTGGCATCGGCAGTGGCGGAGGAAGGAAGGGAGGCGAGGAGGCGGGAGAGGTTGCGCGCAAAGGTGGTGGTGGTGGCGTGTAGGGCGAGTAGCAGGGCCAGGCGCGTAGAAGGTCTGGACTGGGATGCTGCAGACAGAGGCGAGAAGGCAGAGCAGAAGATGAAAAAAAGGAGGGCAACGGGAGTGGTTCAGAGGAGAGGATGCATCCTCTCCTGACCGTTGGAGGGCAAAGGTGGTGGTGGTGGCGTGCAGGGCGAGCAGGATGGCCAGACGGGTGGATGGTCGCCACTGGGACGCTGCAGGGCGAGGGAGGGAAGGCAGGTAGCAGAGGGCAGGGCACAGCCTCCCTCTTTCCCCCTCCTTGCCTTCATCCTCCCCCACCAGCCAACTTACCTGCTTCACCCGCATCAGCAGCAGCAGCGGAGAGAGCGGCGAGGGCAGCATCAGACACAGCGGCATCGACGCGCAGAGTGAAGCTGGAGGCAAACCCGCCCCACGTGGCCGTGAGCAGGTGGTATGGCACAACCCCCCCACCCCCTCGCTTCATGCTTTCCCACCCCCACCCTGCCTACCTGCATCAGCAGCAGCAAGAGCAGACAGCGCAGCGTCAGACACAGCAGCATCGACGCGCACAGTGAAGCTGGAGGCGAGCCCGCCCCACGTGGCCGTGAGCAGACGCAGCAGCAGAGGCGAGGCGTGGTGGGGGAAGGCTGCCACGCACCAACGAGCCTCCTGCTCCACTGCGAGTAGCATCTCGTCGTACCAGCGCGGTAACCACTCGGGGAACTGTAACGCTGCTGCCAATGGGCCTGAGGTGAGAGGGGGAGTGGCAATGGAGGGAGGGGGGAAGGTGGGTGGAGAGGGGGGGAAGGAGCGGAATGGATGAGAGTATGGGTGTGGGGGGCAGAGAAGACGTTGTGAGTATTGAAGAGAGGAACGGGGGGGGGTGAAGGGGTGCCCCTGCGCCTGAGCTTGCGCTTACTTCTACAACCCTGATTCAAGCATCTTTGGCCTGCCTACCCTTCCACCCCTCCACCCCCCGGCCCGCACCACGGTAGTGACCTCGAACTGCTGTGTGGGTGGGCAGCAGCCCTTCCACCCCTCTTTTACTTGACAAACCCTTCCGCCTCTCTGCCCACCTGCGCCAGGAGCAACAGCAGTGACCTCAAATTGCTCCCACAGGCGTGTGAGCGGACGGCAGCTCCCACCTCACAACCTTAACTAAAGCATGTCTGCCATCTCAACCCCTCTACCATGCCAGCGCTGCTGCCCTTCCATCCCTCAGCCTGCCCACCTGCGCCCGGTGCCACAGCAGTGACCTCAAACTGCTCCCACAGGCGTGTGAGCGGGCGGCAGCGCACGAGGCAGAAGAGAGCTTCCACCGTGTGCTGCCGCCCGATGGCTGCCAGGATGCCTGTCAGCGAGCGACACGCGTCCAACTGAGGAGGTGGAGGGGAGGAAGGGGGGGGGAAGAAGGATTAAGGGAGAGAGGGGTGCTTGGGTTGATTGAAGAGCACGAGGCAGAAGAGAGCCTCCACCGTGTGCTGCCGGCCAATCGCTGCAAGAATGCCTGTCAGCAAGCGACACGCGTCCAACTGGCATAGGAGAGAGTGGTGGACGGAAGAGAAAGGTGGTTGAGTTGGGGACTAACAGGGCTAACAGGGCTAACACGAGGCACAAGAGCGCCGCCTATGCTGCCGCCCTATGCTGCTGCCAGGATGCCTGTAAGTGAGCGACACGCGTCCAACTGGTGCGGGTAGGTGCGGTGAATGGAAGAGAAAGGTGCTTGAGTTGGGGGCTAACAGGGCACCGCACGAGGGGTGCAGGTTGGAGGTGCAGGTTGGAGGTGCAGGTTGGAGGTGCAGGTTTGAGGTGCAGGTTTGAGGTGCAGGTTTGAGGTGCGGGTTTGCGGTGCAGGTTTGAGGTGCAGGTTTGAGGTGCGGGTTTGCGGTGCAGGTTTGAGGTGCAGGTTTGAGGTGCAGGTTTGAGGTGCAGGTTTGAGGTGCAGGTTTGAGGTGCAGGTTGGAGGTGCAAGTTTGAGGTGCAGGTTTGAGGTGCAGGTTTGAGGTGCGGGTTTGCGGTGCAGGTTGGAGGTGCAGGTTGGAGGTGCAGGTTTGAGGTGCAGGTTTGAGGTGCAGGTTTGAGGTGCAGGTTTGAGGTGCAGGTTGGAGGTGCAGGTTGGAGGTGCAGGTTTGAGGTGCAGATTTGAGGTGCAGGTTTGAGGTGCAGGTTTGAGGCGCAGGTTTGAGGTGCAGGTTTGAGGTGCAGGTTGGAGGTGCAGGTTGGAGGTGCAGGTTGGAGGTGCAGGTTGGAGGTGCAGGTTTGAGGTGCAGGTTTGAGGTGCAGGTTTGAGGTGCAGGTTTGAGGTGCAGGTTTGAGGTGCAGGTTTGAGGTGCAGGTTTGAGGTGCAGGTTTGAGGTGCAGGTTGGAGGAGCAGGTTTGCGGTGCAGGTTGGAGGTGCAGGTTGGAGGTGCAAGTTGGAGGTGCAGGTTGGAGGTGCAAGTTGGAGGTGCAAGTTGGAGGTTGGAGGTGCAGGTTGGAGGTGCAGGTTTGAGGTGCAGGTTTGAGGTGCAGGTTGGAGGTGCAGGTTTGAGGTGCAGGTTGGAGGTGCAAGTTTGAGGTGCAGGTTTGAGGTGGAGGTTTGAGGTGCGGGTTTGCGGTGCAGGTTGGAGGTGCAGGTTGGAGGTGCAGGTTTGCGGTGCAGGTTTGAGGTGCAGGTTTGAGGTGCAGGTTTGAGGTGCAGGTTTGAGGTGCAGGTTGGAGGTGCAGGTTGGAGGTGCAGGTTGGAGGTGCAGGTTGGAGGTGCAGGTTGGAGGTGCAGGTTGGAGGTGCAGGTTTGAGGTGCAGGTTTGAGGTGCAGGTTTGAGGTGCAGGTTTGAGGTGCGGGTTTGCGGTGCAGGTTGGAGGTGCAGGTTGGAGGTGCAGGTTTGAGGTGCAGGTTTGAGGTGCAGGTTTGAGGTGCAGGTTGGAGGTGCAGGTTGGAGGTGCAGGTTGGAGGTGCAGGTTGGAGGTGCAGGTTTGAGGTGCAGGTTTGAGGTGCAGGTTTGAGGTGCGGGTTTGCGGTGCAGGTTGGAGGTGCAGGTTGGAGGTGCAGGTTTGAGGTGCAGGTTGGAGGTGCAGGTTTGAGGTGCAGGTTGGAGGTGCAGGTTTGAGGCGCAGGTTTGAGGTGCAGGTTTGAGGTGCAGGTTGGAGGTGCAGGTTTGAGGTGCAGGTTGGAGGTGCAAGTTTGATGTGCAGGTTTGAGGTGCAGGTTTGAGGTGCAGGTTTGAGGTGCAGGTTTGAGGTGCAGGTTGGAGGTGCAGGTTTGAGGTGCAGGTTGGAGGTGCAGGTTTGAGGCGCAGGTTTGAGGTGCAGGTTTGAGGTGCAGGTTGGAGGTGCAGGTTTGAGGTGCAGGTTGGAGGTGCAAGTTTGAGGTGCAGGTTTGAGGTGCAGGTTTGAGGTGCGGGTTTGCGGTGCAGGTTGGAGGTGCAGGTTGGAGGTGCAGGTTTGCGGTGCAGGTTTGAGGTGCAGGTTTGAGGTGCAGATTTGAGGTGCAGGTTTGAGGTGCAGGTTGGAGGTGCAGGTTTGAGGTGCAGGTTTGAGGTGCAGGTTTGACGTGCAGGTTTGAGGTGCAGGTTGGAGGTGCAGGTTTGCGGTGCAAGTTGGAGGTGCAGGTTGGAGGTGCAAGTTGGAGGTGCAAGTTGGAGGTTGGAGGTGCAGGTTTGAGGTGCAGGTTTGAGGTGCAGGTTGGAGGTGCAGGTTTGAGGTGCAGGTTGGAGGTGCAGGTTTGAGGCGCAGGTTTGAGGTGCAGGTTTGAGGTGCAGGTTGGAGGTGCAGGTTGGAGGTGCAGGTTTGAGGTGCAGGTTTGAGGTGCAGGTTTGAGGTGCAGGTTGGAGGTGCAGGTTGGAGGTGCAGGTTTGAGGTGCAGGTTTGAGGTGCAGGTTTGAGGTGCAGGTTTGAGGCGCAGGTTTGAGGTGCAGGTTTGAGGTGCAGGTTGGAGGTGCAGGTTGGAGGTGCAGGTTGGAGGTGCAGGTTGGAGGTGCAGGTTGGAGGTGCAGGTTGGAGGTGAAGGTTTGAGGTGCAGGTTGGAGGTGCAGGTTGGAGGTGCAGGTTTGAGGTGCAGGTTTGAGGTGCAGGTTTGAGGTGCAGGTTGGAGGTGCAGGTTGGAGGTGCAGGTTGGAGGTGCAGGTTGGAGGTGCAGGTTTGAGGTGCAGGTTTGAGGTGCAGGTTTGAGGTGCGGGTTTGCGGTGCAGGTTGGAGGTGCAGGTTGGAGGTGCAGGTTTGAGGTGCAGGTTGGAGGTGCAGGTTTGAGGTGCAGGTTGGAGGTGCAGGTTTGAGGTGCAGGTTTGAGGTGCAGGTTTGAGGTGCAGGTTGGAGGTGCAGGTTTGAGGTGCAGGTTGGAGGTGCAAGTTTGATGTGCAGGTTTGAGGTGCAGGTTTGAGGTGCAGGTTTGAGGTGCAGGTTTGAGGTGCAGGTTGGAGGTGCAGGTTGGAGGTGCAGGTTGGAGGTGCAGGTTTGAGGCGCAGGTTTGAGGTGCAGGTTTGAGGTGCAGGTTGGAGGTGCAGGTTGGAGGTGCAGGTTGGAGGTGAAGGTTTGAGGTGCAGGTTGGAGGTGCAGGTTGGAGGTGCAGGTTGGAGGTGCAGGTTTGAGGTGCAGGTTTGAGGTGCAGGTTTGAGGTGCAGGTTGGAGGTGCAGGTTGGAGGTGCAGGTTTGCGGTGCAGGTTTGAGGTGCAGGTTTGAGGTGCAGGTTTGAGGTGCAGGTTTGAGGTGCAGGTTTGAGGTGCAGGTTGGAGGTGCAAGTTTGAGGTGCAGGTTTGAGGTGCAGGTTTGAGGTGCGGGTTTGCGGTGCAGGTTGGAGGTGCAGGTTGGAGGTGCAGGTTTGCGGTGCAGGTTTGAGGTGCAGGTTTGAGGTGCAGGTTTGAGGTGCAGGTTTGAGGTGCAGGTTGGAGGTGCAGGTTTGAGGTGCAGGTTTGAGGTGCAGGTTTGAGGTGCAGGTTTGACGCGCAGGTTTGAGGTGCAGGTTTGAGGTGCAGGTTGGAGGTGCAGGTTGGAGGTGCAGGTTTGAGGTGCAGGTTTGAGGTGCAGGTTTGAGGTGCAGGTTGGAGGTGCAGGTTGGAGGTGCAGGTTGGAGGTGCAGGTTGGAGGTGCAGGTTTGAGGTGCAGGTTGGAGGTGCAGGTTGGAGGTGCAGGTTTGAGGTGCAGGTTTGAGGTGCAGGTTTGAGGTGCAGGTTGGAGGTGCAGGTTTGAGGTGCAGGTTTGAGGTGCAGTTTTTAGGTGCAGGTTTGAGGTGCAGGTTTGAGGTGCAGGTTTGAGGTGCAGGTTGGAGGTGCAGGTTTGCGGTGCAGGTTTGAGGTGCAGGTTTGAGGTGCAGGTTTGAGGTGCAGGTTTGAGGTGCAGGTTTGAGGTGCAGGTTTGAGGTGCAGGTTGGAGGTGCAAGTTTGAGGTGCAGGTTTGAGGTGCAGGTTTGAGGTGCGGGTTGGAGGTGCAAGTTTGAGGTGCAGGTTTGAGGTGCAGGTTTGAGGTGCGGGTTTGCGGTGCAGGTTTGAGGTGCAGGTTGGAGGTGCAGGTTGGAGGTGCAGGTTTGAGGTGCAGGTTTGAGGTGCAGGTTTGAGGTGCAGGTTTGAGGTGCAGGTTTGAGGCACAGGTTTGAGGTGCAGGTTTGAGGTGCAGGTTGGAGGTGCAGGTTGGAGGTGCAGGTTGGAGGTGCAGGTTGGAGGTGCAGGTTTGAGGTGCAGGTTTGAGGTGCAGGTTGGAGGTGCAGGTTGGAGGTGCAGGTTGGAGGTGCAGGTTGGAGGTGCAGGTTTGAGGTGCAGGTTTGAGGTGCAGGTTTGAGGTGCAGGTTGGAGGTGCAGGTTGGAGGTGCAGGTTTGCGGTGCAGGTTTGAGGTGCAGGTTTGAGGTGCAGGTTTGAGGTGCAGGTTTGAGGTGCAGGTTTGAGGTGCAGGTTTGAGGTGCAGGTTTGAGGTGCAGGTTGGAGGTGCAAGTTGGAGGTGCAGGTTGGAGGTGCAAGTTGGAGGTGCAAGTTGGAGGTTGGAGGTGCAGGTTTGAGGTGCAGGTTTGAGGTGCAGGTTTGAGGTGCAGGTTGGAGGTGCAGGTTTGAGGTGCAGGTTGGAGGTGCAAGTTTGAGGTGCAGGTTTGAGGTGCAGGTTTGAGGTGCGGGTTTGCGGTGCAGGTTGGAGGTGCAGGTTGGAGGTGCAGGTTTGCGGTGCAGGTTTGAGGTGCAGGTTGGAGGTGCAGGTTTGAGGTGCAGGTTTGAGGTGCAGGTTTGAGGTGCCGGTTTGAGGTGCAGGTTTGAGGTGCAGGTTTGAGGTGCAGGTTTGAGGTGCAGGTTTGAGGTGCAGGTTTGAGGTGCAGGTTGGAGGTGCAGGTTTGAGGTGCAGGTTTGAGGTGCAGGTTTGAGGTGCCGGTTTGAGGTGCAGGTTTGAGGTGCAGGTTTGAGGTGCAGGTTGGAGGTGCAGGTTGGAGGTGCAGGTTGGAGGTGCAGGTTGGAGGTGCAGGTTTGAGGTGCAGGTTTGAGGTGCAGGTTTGAGGTGCAGGTTGGAGGTGCAGGTTTGAGGTGCAGGTTGGAGGTGCAGGTTTTAGGTGCAGGTTTGAGGTGCAGGTTTGAGGTGCAGGTTTGAGGTGCAGGTTGGAGGTGCAAGTTTGAGGTGCAGGTTTGAGGTGCAGGTTTGAGGTGCGGGTTTGCGGTGCAGGTTGGAGGTGCAGGTTGGAGGTGCAGGTTTGAGGTGCAGGTTTGAGGTGCAGGTTTGAGGTGCAGGTTTGAGGTGCAGGTTTGAGGTGCAGGTTTGAGGTGCAGGTTTGAGGTGCAGGTTTGAGGTGCAGGTTGGAGGTGCAGGTTTGAGGTGCAGGTTTGAGGTGCAGGTTGGAGGTGCAGGTTTGAGGTGCAGGTTTGAGGTGCAGGTTTGAGGTGCAGGTTGGAGGTGCAGGTTTGAGGTGCAGGTTTGAGGTGCAGGTTGGAGGTGCAGGTTTGAGGTGCAGGTTTGAGGTGCAGGTTGGAGGTGCAGGTTTGAGGTGCAGGTTTGAGGTGCAGGTTGGAGGTGCAGGTTTGAGGTGCAGGTTTGAGGTGCAGGTTGGAGGTGCAGAAGAGAGCCTCCACTGTGAGCTGTCGGCCTATGGCCGCCAGGATGGCCGTCAACGAGCGACACGCACGGCACGACATGGCACGACATGGCACCACAGGGTACTAAATGGCACTCCATGGTATCCCATGGTACCGCACCGCACTGCACTACATCCCATGGTGGCCATGGCTGTGAGCGAGTCACACGCCTCCATCTGGCGTGGGGCCACGTACGATAGGGCAGAGGCTGAGCTGGGAGCGGCAGGCGGGGCGACGACGGGCGTGCCATTGCAGAGAAAATAAGGGTTGAGGGTACAAGGGAGGGGTCGCAGTTGGATTCTTTGTGCTTCAGGAGTGGCAGAACGGAGGGGTACGAATTTTATAGGGAGTGAAAGAGGGACGGATAGGGATGAGTGAGCCTTTCAAGGTGCTTCAAGCGTGGAGTGCGCGGGCCTTAGCAGTGCTCATAGTGATACCCATCATCCATTTCCGGGGATCACCCCACCTTGCTGTGTGTGAGCGCGTCTGACAGCCGCGGCTGCACCATCTGCTCCAACCGATCCTCCAGCGATTGAAGCTGCCTCTTGTTCGCTGCAAACTCCGGCGCCTGATGGACAGACGATTGAGAGGGGGATAGGGGAAGTGCCGAAGCGGTAGGCGCAGACGTGAGAGAGACAATGGCGGGGAGGACGAGAGAGGAGGGATGCGCAAGGCGAGCGGACGCATTGGACATGGGGCGTGGGGCACGGGCATGGGGTATGCAGCAGAGGTGATGGGACATGGGGTACGGGGTGTTACAGGCCACAGGGACAGAAGCGGAGGCAGGTGCAATGGGGACTCACATCGCCCACCACCTCCAGGCAGCGCCGCATGTTGGCCAGTGTCTCAGCGACACGTGGCAGGTCGCCACTGGCGAACACCTGCTCCACTGACGCGCTCAGCTGTGCCAAGCCTGCCGCGTACTGTGGTGGCAGAGGGATGAGGGGTGAGAAAAAGAAAAGAGAGGGAAGGGCAGGGGGGAGTGGAGAGGGTAAGGGGAGTGGGAGAAGAGGAAGCGGGAAATGGAGAGGGGGAAGGAGAATGGTGAAGGGGAGGGGGAGGGGAAGGGGGGAAAGGCAAGGCAACCGTGAGTGAGGGAAGAGGGGGATGATGGTAGGGACGATGGAGAGGGAATGGAGGTGGGGGGGGAGAAAGGGCCTGCTGCTCACCTGGAGCGTGTCTCTCGCCGCCTCCATCTGCTGCTCACCTGGAGCGTGTCTCTCGTTTCTGAGTCGACTCAAAATCAGACTCACCTGGAGCGTGTCTCTCGTTTCTGAGTCGACTCAAAATCAGACTCACCTGGAGCGTGTCTCTCGCCGCCTCCATCTGCTGCTTCACTGCATCCACCTTCGCCAGCACCGCCACGGATGCTGCTGACGTAGCCTCCACCTGATCCAGCTCAGCACAAGGAAAGACACGTACACACATGGGCACAAATTATATATATTCACATGCATGTATACTCGTGTATAGATCCCCACACAGCCCTGCAAACTCCCTCTCCCCCCCCCACTTCCTCCTCCAACCCCCTCTCTTACCCCCCTCTCCTACACTTCCTCCCCCTTCCCCCCTGATTCCCCCCCAACTTGCCTGCCGTTCCCCTCCTGCTCACACTACCCCCATCCCTCCCATCTCCTCCCCCCACCGGCTGCGGCGCTGCAGGATGCTGGCCGCAGTGCCTTTAAGATATTGCCCTCCCTGACCGCCCCTGCTCCTGCCTGTCCCACTTTCACCCCGTCCCCCCCCTCCCCTCCACTTCCCTCCCCCCCCCACCACCTCCTTTCCCCTTACCCCCACGCACCTGCTGCAGGCGCTGCAGGATGCTGGCAACAGTGCCTTTGAGCGACACGGCGTCGTCGCGCACGCGCTTCGTCTCCCTCACGGCGCGCGGCACTCTCAGCAGCGCGCCCGCGCTCTGCTCCTCCAACGCGCCGCCCATGTCCTCTGCACGCGTGTAGCACACGCACAGCACACACGCAGCACACACGCAGCATATAGACGTGTGAACTAGTTGGTAGCAATGACGAAGCATGGGACCTACTCCCTCACAGCACGCGGCACCCTCAGAAGCGCGCCCGAAATTCCATGACCATTGCCAGGACAATCGTACCCGATAAGAGCTGCAGCTTCATTTCAATGTCCGCGAGAAACTTCTCCGGAGGTTCCTCCGGCGGGAGCGCGGCGCACGCATCGTTGACCCACGCCTTGGGGTCGAAATGCTCGTCCGCGAACGCGTTCAGATCCACCAGCATCGCGACCACACTGCGACTGCGAAGTCCGTTTCACTCGCAGGGCCCGCCGAGAAAACGAGTTTGGTTTCAGCGGAAGTTCGTTTCTCTCGCAGCAAGAAAAGCACGGGCCGATAATGCCGATCAGTCACGAGCATCCGACAGGATTATACACGTATATGTATAGACATGTATAGGTTCTGTCATCTGTGGTCGACGATCTGCTTATCATCAGCGCGCCATGTTCACGTGAGGCATGAATCTGTGCTCGAGTGTTCATTCACCCTTCTTCCAGAGATGACTACTTTTAAGGGTCTCCGCTATCTCTACATGTCCTATAACCATCCTAAGTTTAGAACAAAGATATTTCAGAGATGGGAGATGAGAGGCAGGAGAAAAGAATTCGGGAATGGAGACAGAGATGGGAGATGGGAGTTTTGGGAGAAAAGATGGAGAAGGGATTGCCATCAGTTTCTCCCCATTTTAGACCCCTCTTTGTAGTTAACTATTAATATACTGAAAAAATAATTTAGCAAAGATTTTTTGGAGAATTATATTTAAAATATCGATGAAACAGCATGATATGCACATATTATACAGAAATAGTTAAATGGTTGCTCAACCTAGAAGTCCCATAAGGTGTTGCAGATTCTCAACATCAATAAAATCGATAATCAGTATCTGATAAGGAAGATATAGTGCAGCACCCGCCAACAGAGCCCACCAACCAACCTCGTTTGTACTGTGCAATCCTGCTCAATCACAATCCTTCCTCCTCCCCACATGGCTGCAGCAGCACTCGTGGAGTGGACTCATCATGGTCCGTCCTTGCTGGTGGCCTACTGGACTGATCTCTTACTCACTGCTGCTGCTGCTGCTGCTGCCTACTCAGTTCTCTGTCCATCCGTACGCACGCAGGCACCACCTGCTCTGAGGAGCACTGCTGCTTGTCTGCTGCTTGCTCTTGCATTGCTCCCAGCCTTATCAACACACTTCACTCTGCAGTCGTTTTTTTAACCAGGCATTTTACTGCAGTGAGCGAAAGGGAATGGAGGTAGAAACTGCTCGTTTCAAAATGGGCAGCTCTGGTGTCTTGTCGTCGTAATCCGAGGCTTCCCCCGCGTTGATAGGTCGACTCATCAGGACGCGCTTCCTCGCTCGCGCGCTAGGCTCATTCCCCTTCGGGGGCTGCACAACTCAACGGAGTAGCGTTCGAGCGAGCACGTAGTATCCCATTTGTCGGACGCGGCGCGTCTCGCGATTTTGTACATCTTATGAACAATGCCAGCCGCAGAGGGATAAACCGCACGGCGCGCATTGTCCACAGCACGTGGGGATGTATTGAGGCATGCGCTGAGGTCGGCCGGTCGCCGTAATGTAGGCATGTGATGCATCGAATCCGTTAAATGGAGTGGTAACCAGGTCGTTTCGTTCGTCGCATTGCAGTTTCAAGTCGCACACTGTCGCCCGCTCGACGCATTTTCGTTCCGAGTCGTCGCGGGACCGCTGCACGCGCAGACAGGAAAACCCCATGCGAGTCGCATTGATAGCTACATCCGCGAAGCTTTTCGCTGAAGGTCGCGCCGTGCGATGGCGTTTCGCCCGCCATCGTCGCACGGCCAGGGGCACGGCGGCGAGGTGAGGGGGCTTGGGGGGCGCGCGGAGAAGCCGGGCGGCGAGGGGAAGGTGCTCGGGCGCGCGGAGAAGTCGGGCGGAGAGGGGCGCAGCCATGGGCGCGCGGAGAAGCCGCCGACGAGCATGAAGGACGGCAGCTGGATCTCCGCGGACGCGCGCCAGCAGCAGCACGGCGCACCATGGAACGCGCAGGTGAGCGCTGCGCACCACGGCGCGCCTCGCGCCTCGCATTGAAAAGCCCTGAAGCTTCCCATGCCCCCACCTACCCCTCCCTTCTTCCCCCTACCTGATTCCTCTCCTATTCCGCCCTTCCTCCCGCCATCGCTTTGCCTTCGCCTCCGCGATGCATCACATTCCCGCGCCTCTCTCCCTAACCTCCCTCCCCCGCGCCTTTCGTCTCCGCGCCTCTCTCCGCCACTCGTTCCCCCCCATGCAGGCGGGGCGGGCACGACGCCTGAAGCCGCGCGCGTGGCGAGCTGCGTTCGACGCGGAGGGGCGTCTCGTGCGCATGCCAGCCGTTCTGCGCGCTGTGCTGGACGGGGTGAGAATGGGGGGAAGCAGGGTGAGCGGGCGGGACAGTAGGAAGGCAAGGGCATCCCCCGTCTCGTGCGCATGCCCGCCGTGCTGCGCGCCATGCTGGACGGGGTGAGAGCGGGGGAGGGAGAGCGTGGGGGGAGCGGGCGGGACAGTAGGAAAGGCAAGGGGTGGGGGGGATCTGTCGGAAGGGCGTCCCCGTCTCGTGCGCAGCAGCAAGCAGCCAGTGCCAATGCCAACTGCTGTTTCCTTCCTACATGCTCTCCTCCTTTCTCTGTGCCTGGTGCGTGTTTGGGTGGTGCTTGCGTGGCGTGTGTCTGGCGTGTGCCTGGCGTGTGCCTGGTGCGTGCCTGGCATGTGTGTGGCACGTGCATGTGTGCGTGTTGCATACAGGGGGTGGATCGGTCGATACGAGGGGAGGTGTGGGAGTTCCTGCTGGGGTGCTTCTCTCTCGACTCCACCGCTGAAGAGCGCAACTACGTGCGCGCCGCCCGCCGGTGAGTCGCTGCCGCCCGCCAGTGAGTGCATGCTGCCCCACTCGCACACACTTGCACTCACTTGCACACAGTTATGAGACGTCACAAAACCCACATGGACACACCATGTCCCCCTCTACCTCTCTCCTGCAGCACCCCATACACCCAAGTGAAGACTCCTCCTTCCCTCCCTTTACCACTTCCTCCCTGCTGCCAAACCCTAATCAGGGAGCGGTATGAGCAGCTGGTGCAGCAGTGCGCGCGCATGCATGGACGGGTGGGCACGGGGCAGCCGTCACACACCTAAGCGAACACTCCCCTTTCCCTCCCTTTCCCACTTCCTCCCTGCTGCCAAACCCTAATCAGGGAGCGGTATGAGCAGCTGGTGCAGCAGTGCGCGCGCATGCATGGATGGGTGGGCACGGGGCAGCCGTCACACACCTAAGCGAACACTCCCCTTTCCCTCCCTTTCCCACGTCCTCCCTGCTGCTAAACCCCAATCAGGGAGCGGTATGAGCAGCTGGTGCAGCAGTGCGCGCGCATGCACGGGCGGGTGGGCACGGGGCAGCCATCACACACCTAAGCGAACACTCCCCTTTCCCTCCCTTTCCCACGTCCTCCCTGCTGCTAAACCCCAATCAGGGAGCGGTATGAGCAGTTGGTGCAGCAGTGTGCGCGCATGCATGGGCGGGTGGGCACGGGGCAGCTGGCCTTCCCCGTGGGTTCGCGCATCATGGACGTCCGCATCCTCACCGCCCGCTCCTCTGAGCCTCCTACCGCCGCCGCCGCCGCTGCGGATTCTACCGCTCCTGCTGCTGCCACTGCCGCCGCCGCTGCTGCTGGTGGTGCTGGCAGTGGTATGGATGGCGGTGGGAGGGGCGGCATTGGTAGGGACGGCAGGGGCGCAGAGGAGGGCAGCTTCAGGCAGAGCAGCGTTACAACAACGATGGTGACAGTGGCTGCTGGTGCCACCACCACCACTACCACCACCACCACCACTACCACAACCACCACGACCATCAGCAGCAGCAGCACGGGCATTCCAGCTAGCAGCATTAGCAGACCGGGTAGTGGCAGCAGCAGCGGCAGAATTTCCACTCCCTCCACCCCGGCCATCAGCAGCAGCAGCGGCGTTACCAACTCCCTCACCAGCACCCCCACTCCCACCACCACCAGCAACAGCGGCGGCACCGGCACCAGCAGCAGCATCGTGCTGCCGCGGCCACGCAGCGGCTCCTCAAGCTCTGCAGCAGACAAGTTCCCGCGCCAGTTCTCCGATAAGAGCGCCGGGAGTGGCAGCAACCCAACGTTTCGCATGGAACAGCTGATGGAGGAGGGCGGGCCGCGGCTGCACTCGTCGTCCTTCTCCTTCCCCCTCGACCTGCTTGACCTTGAAGACCCGAGGGCACTGCTTGGTGGTGGGGGGGGGGAGGAGGACGAGGAGGAGGATGATGAGGAGGATGATGAGGAGGGGGATGGGGAGGAGGAGGGGGAGGATGGGGAAGGGGGGGATGGGGAGAAGGAAAGGGAAGGGGGTGTGGGCATGGGACACGAAAAGAGGAAGGCGAAGGGGAGGAAAGGGGCGGAGGGCGGAGGATGGGGAGGGGGAGGTGAGGGGGCGGGAGGGAAGGAGAGGAAGGGGGGAATGGAAGAGATGAGGGCAAAGTGGGCGCGGGAGAGGCAGAGGCGGTATGAGAGGGTGGACCACTCACACCCCCCACATGCCAGGGCCAGCGGTGGCGGTGGCGGGAGAGGAGGGGGAGCAGGGAGGACTGGAGAAGGGTTTGGAGGAGCAGGGGCAGGAGGAGGAGGAGGAGGAGGAGGAGCAGTGGGAATGCGGGATGGCAGCAGCAGGTCTCAGCGCACACGCAGCACCGATGTGGGGCTGCTGACGGGGCGAGCAGTAGGAGCGGTGGGTGCAAACGCGCCTCTCACGCGCGCCCGCAGTGCTCGCACAGACGACCCCCTCCCTGCTCCCCCTGTTGCTGCGCCTTGTGCTGCTACTGTGGAGGGCTCGCAGTCAGGCAGCACAGGCACAGGCAGAACGCCAGGGGAATGTGACAGCTTAGCCGGTGCTGATGTCACAGGCGGTGGTGCTGATGGTGCTGGAAATGCAGATGGTGCAGCGGGGGCAGATGCAGCGGTGTGGCAAGCAGCAGCAGCAGGTGGCGAGGAGGGGGAGGGGAGCTGCCCGGACGATGGGGTGGGTGGGGAGGGGCAGCGGCGCAAAGGCAAGAAGAAATGGACCAGACTGCTGCCGGGCAAGGGGAAGGAAGGGAGGGAAGGGAAGGAGGGCAGGGAGGGCAAGGAGGGCAAGGAGGTAAAGGAGGGGAGAGAGGGGAGGGAGGGCAAGGAGGGGAGGGAGGGCAAAGAGGGAAAGGGACGGCTGCTGACAGGGGTTGGATCCGTTAGTGGCAACGCCCTGCTGGACCCAGACGTCCTCGTTATAGAGCAAGGAGGCGAGGTGGAGGAAGAGGAGGAGGGTGGGGGGCTAGGTGCAGAGGAGGAGGGTTCTGCCACAGGAGGAGGCGGAGGGGAAGGGGGGATGGGCGGGGGAGCAGGGGGAGAGGGCAAGGGGCCGTGGCAGAGGGGAGTGAAGAGTGTGAAGAAAGCACATAAGAAGCTGCGGGGGTACTTGGGTGCAGGGGAGAGCGCAGGGGGGGAGGAGGGGCATGTGGAAAGTGGGGACGGGGGTGAGGGGGGCGAGCGGGGGGCGAGGGCGGGCGGAGCAGTGCGGGAGGGGGCGGGTGCGGGGGGTGTGGGGGGTGGAGGGGGTGTGGGTGTGGGGAGAGCGGGAGTGGGAATGGGAGCGGGAGGGGGAGGGCTGGGGGGGCTGGGAGGGGGGATGGGGGGGATTCAGAGGGGGTTGATGGCGGGGGGAAACCGGCTGAAGAAGGTGCTGAGTGCTGACTGGGGGGGTGTGTCTGTAGACGATCTCCTTGCTTCCATCCGCAACCCCACCCACTCCTCTGCCACCCCCGCCAGCAATCCCACCACTACCACTGCTAACACTGCAAGCACTGCCACTGCCACTACCAACGCTGCGAGCACTGGCAGTAGTGGCAGCGGCGGCGGCAGTGGCAGCATTGCAAACGCATCTGGGATTCCAAAGGGGAATAGAATGGGGAGTGTTGGGGATGGTAGCAGTGCGAGCAGTGGAGGTGGTGGCGGTGGTGGTGGTGGTGGGTGGGGAGAGCGGCGGCGGGGAAAGGACGGGGGGACAAGTGAATTGGGGAGTGTTTCGGAGAGAGTAGAAGGGGAGGGGGAGGAAGGAGAGAGGGAAGAAAGGGAAAGAGAGGAGGGGCAGAGGGAGGAGGGGGAGTGGCAAGTGGTGGGGGCAGCAGAGTGGGATGGGCGCGGGGCAGGTGCAGGGGAGAGTGGGGTGCATGAGGGCAGGAAGCAGCGAGTTGGGGGGTCGGAACGGAGAGAGGCTGGGTGGGAGGTAGAGGAGGAAAACGAGAAAGAGGAGGGAGAGGATGGCTGGGGGCTTGGATTCGTGGGGGGAGGGGGAAGCTTCCGTGAAGGTGCAGCAGGAGGAGGGGCAGCAGCAGCGGCAGAGGGTGGTGAAGCAGAGAGGAGAGGAAAGCTAGGGGCTGGGACGAGGAGAGAGGAGGAGGGACGTGGGGGCGCTGTGCGGGTGGCAGAGGAAGAAGAGGAGGAGGAGGTGGAGGAGGGGGAAGAGGAAGGGCCCTGTGCTGCAGGCAGAACACTGAGTGCTGAGGTTGAAGGGGGGCGGAGGAGAGGAGTAGCAGCAGGAGGACGAGGGGAGAGAGGGGGAGGAGGAGGAGGAGGGGTGGAGAAAACTGGGCTGTTTGTGGGCAGCGCGAGGAGCGAGTGGAGCGAGAGGAGCGAAAAGAGCGAGGGGAGCGATGGGGCAGGCGGGGGGGAGAAGCGGGGGGGCAGCATCCTGCAGGCGTATGTGAGGCAGCGGTCGTTCAACGGCCGCAACCCCACGGCGGAGCAGGTGTGGTCGTGGATCCTGGGCCACGATGATGATGCCGACGCTGGTGGGGATGGTGGGGATGGAGGAGATGGAGATGGGGGAGGTGATGGGGACGGGGGGTGCGGTGACGGTGGTGCTGGTGGGGGTAATGGCGATGGGGGAGGCGATGGGGGCGCGGGGGAGGGTGGTGCGGGGGAGGGGGCGGGAAGGAAGGAGGGGGAAGGCGGGGAGGGGAAGGAGGGGGAGGAGGAAGAGGAGGGGGGCGATGCGCGGCTGACGGTTGATCCAGTGGTGGCAGAGCAACTGGGGGTGACTCCTGAGAGGGTGGCGGAGTGGCTGTGGACGCTGCATAAGATATGTGAGTTTCAAACAAGGTGCACTCGTTAGTTGCCTTCTGTAAGCCCTCAACCCCAAAGCTCTGCTGCCTAAACGCATTCCCAGCAATGGATGTGGAGCGCGCGGACCGCCACATGGCCTTCACTGCATGGTAGATCCACAAACACTTCCTTTTCTCCCGTTTCTCCCCTCCTCTCCCCCCTTTCTGCTCCCTCCTCCCCTCAGCGGTGGACGTGAAATGCACATACCGGCAAATGGCCGCCCTTGTACGCAGCACATAGGAACCCTAATGCTCTCCTTATGCCAGCTGGTCTTCAACCCTCCCCTCACTCTTCCCAACCTGCGCTCTCCCTCCTCCCCTCCAGTACGTGGATCGCAGCAACCTGGCGGCCACGAGTGACATCCACCGCCAGTGAGAGAGTTAGTTACCGATGTAGCTGCTGCCTCCCCTCGCCTATGCCCTCTTCTCTCCCCTTCCCTCTCCCCTTGCAGCGGTGGACGTGGAGCGCACTGACAGGCACATGGCGTTCTACGCGGATCGCAGCAACCAATGTAGTTGCTGCATCCCCTCTCCTATGCCTTCTCCTCCGCCCTGCTCCCTTGTTCCCCTCCTCCCCTCTCTCTCCCCTTGCAGCGGTGGACGTGGAGCGCACTGACAGGCACATGGCGTTCTACGCGGATCGCAGCAACCAATGTAGTTGCTGCATCCCCTCTCCTATGCCTTCTCCTCCGCCCTGCTCCCTTGTTCCCCTCCTCCCCTCTCTCTCCCCTTGCAGCGGTGGACGTGGAGCGCACAGATAGGCACATGGCGTTCTACGCGGATCGCAGCAACCTGGCGGCCATGAGCGACATTCTGGCCGTGCATGCTTGGATCGACCCTGCTACTGGCTTCTGCCAAGGTATGGAGCCGGCTGGTACGGCGTGAAAGCACATTGAAATATCAGCTGTGACCTGGCAGCCATGAGCGACATTCTGGCCGTGCACGTGTGGATCGATCCTGCCACTGGCTTCTGCCAAGGTATGCCATTTGCTTAAGGTATAGGCTGTGAAAGCACAAGGTGGGCTGCGGTGCCACATGGTGTGCCTCCCTGCACATGCCCTTGCTTGCATCTCCCATGTGCCATCGCACCACCATGTGCCATCGCACCACCATGTGCCATCGCACCACCATGTGCCATCGCACCACCATGTGCCATCGCACCACCATGTGCCATGCCATCGCACCATGTGCCATGCCATCGCACCATGTGCCATGCCATCGCACCATGTGCCATGCCATCGCACCATGTGCCGTGCCATCGCACCATGTGCCGTGCCATCGCACCATGTGCCATGCCATCGCACCATGTGCCATGCCATCGCACCATGTGCCATGCCATCGCACCATGTGCCATGCCATCGCACCATGTGCCATGCCATCGCACCATGTGCCATGCCATCGCACGTGTGGCACTGAACGCACATCTCACCTGCTGCCCCTCCACCGTGCATGCGTGCAGGCATGTGCGACCTGCTATCGCCCTTCATCATCCTCTTCCCGCACCCCGCCGACGCCTTATCCATCCCACCATGTACCATCTTTCACCTACTGCCCCTCCTCCGTGCAGGCATGTGCGACCTGCTATCGCCCTTCATCATCCTCTTCCCGCACCCCGCCGACGCCTTCTGGTGCTTCGAAAGCCTCTTCTCCAGAATCGTGAGTCACTCTCTTCCCCTTTGTCTCTGCTCCCTCAACCTTCCCCTTCTCTCATCTGCTCACATCCCCTCACTTTGCGGATGAGTGCATTTGTTCTGGTACCGGTTTCCCGGTTTACCGGTATCCCGGTTTCCCGGTTTCCCTGTTTCCCGGTTTCCCGGTATCCCGGTTTCCCGGTTTCCCGGTTTCCCGGTTTCCCGGTATCCCGGTTTCCCGGTTTCCCCGTACCCCGGTATCCCAGTATCCCAGTTTCCCAGTTTGGTATCCCGGTTTCCCGGTTTCCCGGTATCCCGGTTTCCCGGTTTCCCGGTTTCCCGGTATCCCGGTATCCCGGTTTCCCGGTTTCCCGTTTTTCCTGTTTCCCACTATCCCGGTATCCCGGTTTCCCGGTTTCCCGGTTTCCCTGTTTCCCGATTTCCCGGTATCCCCTTATCCCGGTATCCCGGTATCCCGGTATTCCGGTATCCCGGTTTCCCGGTTTCCCGGTTTCCCGGTATCCCGGTTTCCCGGTTTCCCGGTTTCCCGGTCTCCCGGTCTCCCGGTATCCCGGTCTCCCGGTATCCCGGTTTCCCGGTTTCCCGGTTTCCTTTCCCGGTTTCCCGGTTTCCCGGTATCCCGGTTTCCCGGTTTCCCGGTTTCCCGGTATCCCGCTATCCCGCTATCCCGGTTTCCCAGTTTGGTATCCCGGTTTCCCGGTATCCCGGTTTCCCGGTTTCCCGGTTTCCCGGTATCCCGGTATCCCGGTTTCCCGGTTTCCCGGTTTCCCGTTTTTCCTGTTTCCCGGTATCCCGGTATCCCGGTTTCCCGGTTTCCCGGTTTCCCGGTTTCCCTGTTTCCCGATTTCCCGGTATCTTGGTATCCCGGTATCCCGGTATCCCGGTATCCCGGTTTCCCGGTTTCCCGGTATCCCGGTATCCCGGTATCCCGGTTTCCCAGTTTGGTATCCCAGTTTCCCGGTTTCCCGGTATCCCGGTTTCCCGTTTTCCCGGTATCACGGTATCCCGGTTTCCCGGTTTCCCGGTTTCCCGTTTTTCCTGTTTCCCGGTATCCCGGTATCCCGGTTTCCCGGTTTCCCGGCTTCCCGGTTTCCCGGTTTCCCGGTTTCCCGATTTCCCGGTATCTTGGTATCCCGGTATCCCAGTATCCCGGTATCCCGGTTTCCCAGTTTCCCGGTATCCCGGTATCCTGGTTTCCCGGTTTCCCGGTTTCCCGGTCTCCCGGTCTCCCGGTATCCCGGTTTCCCGGTATCCCGGTTTCCCGGTTTCCCGGTTTCCCGGTTTCCTTTCCCGGTTTCCCGGTTTCCCGGTATCCCGGTTTCCCGGTTTCCCGGTATCCCGGTATCCCGGTTTCCCAGTTTGGTATCCCGGTTTCCCGGTTTCCCGGTATCCCGGTTTCCCGGTTTCCCGGTTTCCCGGTATCCCGGTATCCCGGTTTCCCGGTTTCCCGTTTTTCCTGTTTCCCGGTTGCCCGGTTTCCCGGATTCCCGGTTCCCGGTTTCCCGGTTTCCCGGTTTCCAGGTATCCCGGTATCCCGGTATCCCCTTATCCCGGTATCCCGGTATCCCGGTATCCCGGTTTCGGTTTTTCCCGGTCTCCCGGTATCCCGGTTTCCCGGTTTCCCGGTATCCCGGTATCCCGGTATCCCCTTATCCCGGTTTCCCGGTTTCCCGGTTTCCCGGTATCCCGGTTTCCCGGTTTCCCGGTGTCCCGGTATCCCGGTATCCCGATTTCTCAGTTGGGTATTCCGGTTTCCCGGTTTCCCGGTATCCCGGTTTCCCGGTTTCCCGTTTTCCTGGTATCCCGGTATCCCGGTTTCCCGGTTTCCCCTTTTCCCGTTATTCCTGTTTCCCGGTATCCCGGTTTCCCGGTTTCCCGGTTTCCCGGATTCCCGGTATCCCGGTTTCCCGGTTTCCCGGTTTCCCGGTATCCCGATTTCCCGGTTTCCCGGTATCCCGGTTTCCCGGTTTCCCGGTTTCCTTTCGCGGTTTCCCGGTTTCCCGGTATCCCGGTTTCCCGGTTTCCCGGTTTCCCGGTATCCCGGTTTCCCGGTATCCCGGTTTCCCGGTTTCCCGGTATCCCGGTATCCCGGTATCCCGGTTTCCCAGTTTGGTATCCCGGTTTCCCGGTTTCCTGGTATCCCGGTTTCCCGGTTTCCCGGTTTCCCGGTATCCCGGTATCCCGGTTTCCCGGTTTCCCAGTTTCCCGTTTTTCCTGTTTCCCGGTATCCCGGTATCCCGGTATCCCGGTTTCCCGGTTTCCCGGCTTCCCGGTTTCCCGGTTTCCCGGTTTCCCGATTTCCCGGTATCTTGGTATCCCGGTATCCCGGTATCCCGGTTTCCCAGTTTCCCGGTATCCTGGTATCCCGGTTTCCCGGTTTCCCGGTTTCCCGGTCTCCCGGTCTCCCGGTATCCCGGTTTCCCGGTATCCCGGTTTCCCGGTTTCCCGGTTTCCCGGTTTCCCGGTTTCCTTTCCCGGTTTCCCGGTTTCTCGGTATCCCGGTTTCCCGGTTTCCCGGTATCCCGGTATCCCGGTTTCCCAGTTTGATATCCCGGTTTCCCGGTTTCCTGGTATCCCGGTTTCCCGGTTTCCCGGTTTCCCGGTATCCCGGTATCCCGGTTTCCCGGTTTCCCGTTTTTCCTGTTTCCCGGTTGCCCGGTTTCCCGGTTTCCCGGTTCCCGGTTTCCCGGTTTCCCGGTTTCCAGGTATCCCGGTATCCCGGTATCCCCTTATCCCGGTATCCCGGTATCCCGGTATCCCAGTTTCGGTGTTTCCCGGTCTCCCGGTATCCCGGTTTCCCGGTTTCCCGGTATCCCGGTATCCCGGTATCCCGTTATCCCGGTTTCCCGGTTTCCCGGTTTCCCGGTATCCCGGTTTCCCGGTTTCCCGGTGTCCGGGTATCCCGGTATCCCGGTTTCTCAGTTTGGTATTCCGGTTTCCCGGTTTCCCGGTATCCCGGTTTCCCGGTTTCCCGTTTTCCTGGTATCCCGGTATCCCGGTTTCCCGGTTTCCCCTTTTCCCGTTATTCCTGTTTCCCGGTATCCCGGTTTCCCGGTTTCCCGCTTCCCGGTTTCTTGGTATCCCGGTATCCCGGTTTCCCGGTTTCCCGGTTTCCCGGTCTCCCGGTATCCCGGTTTCCCGGTTTCCCGGTATCCCGGTTTCCTGGTCTCCCGGTTTCCTGGTTTCCCGGTCTCCCGGTTTCCCGGTTTCCCGGTTTCCCGGTATCCCGGTTTCCCGGTTTCCCGGTATCCCGGTTTCCCGGTTTCCCGGTTTCCCGGTAGCTTTGCTCAACTTGCAATTATTACACTCTCTCGTCCTTCACTCACTTCCCCTCCCCCTCCCTTCCCACTCCCTTTTCCTCTACCAGCGCCACAACTTCCTGACAGAAGGCCTTGTGGGCATCCTGCGGCAGCTGGCGGTGCTGAGGAACGTGGTGGCGCTGGTGGACCCCGAGCTGGCCTTCGCCTTCCCCTGCCCCCTCCCCACCCCCACTCCCTTCCTCTGCCTCCCTCCCCCTCGCAGCGCCACAACTTTCTCACAGAAGGCCCGGTGGGCATACTGCGGCAGCTAGCTGTCCTACGAGACGTGGTGGCGCTGGTGGACCCTGAGCTGGCCTCGCACCTGGAGGAGCTGGGCGCCGACAACTTCATGTTCGCCTTTCGCATGCTGCTCGTGCTCTTTAGGAGAGAACTTCCCTTGTTGGATGTCATCGTTATGTGGGAGGTGGGTGCAAGGGAAGGTGGAGGGGGGTTGGATAGAAGGTGGGTTACAGGGGAGGTGAGTAGTGTCTCTCTCGCGCCTACAACTTCATGTTCGCCTTTCGCATGCTGCTCATGCTCTTTAGGAGAGAACTTCCCTTGTTGGATGTCATCGTTATGTGGGAGGTGGGTGCAAGGGAAGGTGGAGGGGGGTTGGATAGAAGGTGGGTTACAGGGGAGGTGAGTAGTGTCTCTCTCGCGCCTACAACTTCGTGTTCGCCTTTCGCATGCTGCTCGTGCTCTTTAGGAGAGAACTTCCCTTGTTGGATGTCATCGTTATGTGGGAGGTGGGTGCAAGGGAAGGTGGAGGGGGGTTGGATAGAAGGTGGGTTACAGGGGAGGTGAGTAGTGTCTCTCTCGCGCCTACAACTTCATGTTCGCCTTTCGCATGCTGCTCGTGCTCTTTAGGAGAGAACTTCCCTTGTTGGATGTCATCGTTATGTGGGAGGTGGGTGCAAGGGAAGGTGGAGGGGGGTTGGATAGAAGGTGGGTTACAGGGGAGGTGAGTAGTGTCTCTCTCGCGCCTACAACTTCATGTTCGCCTTTCGCATGCTGCTCGTGCTCTTTAGGAGAGAACTTCCCTTGTTGGATGTCATCGTTATGTGGGAGGTGGGTGCAAGGGAAGGTGGAGGGGGGTTGGATAGAAGGTGGGTTACAGGGGAGGTGAGTAGTGTCTCTCTCGCGCCTACAACTTCATGTTCGCCTTTCGCATGCTGCTCGTGCTCTTTAGGAGAGAACTTCCCTTGTTGGATGTCATCGTTATGTGGGAGGTGGGTGCAAGGGAAGGTGGAGGGGGGTTGGATAGAAGGTGGGTTACAGGGGAGGTGAGTAGTGTCTCTCTCGCGCCTACAACTTCGTGTTCGCCTTTCGCATGCTGCTCGTGCTCTTTAGGAGAGAACTTCCCTTGTTGGATGTCATCGTTATGTGGGAGGTGGGTGCAAGGGAAGGTGGAGGGGGGTTGGATAGAAGGTGGGTTACAGGGGAGGTGAGTAGTGTCTCTCTCGCGCCTACAACTTCATGTTCGCCTTTCGCATGCTGCTCGTGCTCTTTAGGAGAGAACTTCCCTTGTTGGATGTCATCGTTATGTGGGAGGTGGGTACAAGGGAAGGTGGAGGGGGGTTGGATAGAAGGTGGGTTACAGGGGAGGTGAGTAGTGTCTCTCTCGCGCCTACAACTTCATGTTCGCCTTTCGCATGCTGCTCGTGCTCTTTAGGAGAGAACTTCCCTTGTTGGATGTCATCGTTATGTGGGAGGTGGGTGCAAGGGAAGGTGGAGGGGGGTTGGATAGAAGGTGGGTTACAGGGGAGGTGAGTAGTGTCTCTCTCGCGCCTACAACTTCATGTTCGCCTTTCGCATGCTGCTCGTGCTCTTTAGGAGAGAACTTCCCTTGTTGGATGTCATCGTTATGTGGGAGGTGGGTGCAAGGGAAGGTGGAGGGGGGTTGGATAGAAGGTGGGTTACAGGGGAGGTGAGTAGTGTCTCTCTCGCGCCTACAACTTCATGTTCGCCTTTCGCATGCTGCTCGTGCTCTTTAGGAGAGAACTTCCCTTGTTGGATGTCATCGTTATGTGGGAGGTGGGTGCAAGGGAAGGTGGAGGGGGGTTGGATAGAAGGTGGGTTACAGGGGAGGTGAGTAGTGTCTCTCTCGCGCCTACAACTTCATGTTCGCCTTTCGCATGCTGCTCGTGCTCTTTAGGAGAGAACTTCCCTTGTTGGATGTCATCGTTATGTGGGAGGTGGGTGCAAGGGAAGGTGGAGGGGGGTTGGATAGAAGGTGGGTTACAGGGGAGGTGAGTAGTGTCTCTCTCGCGCCTACAACTTCATGTTCGCCTTTCGCATGCTGCTCGTGCTCTTTAGGAGAGAACTTCCCTTGTTGGATGTCATCGTTATGTGGGAGGTGGGTGCAAGGGAAGGTGGAGGGGGGTTGGATAGAAGGTGGGTTACAGGGGAGGTGAGTAGTGTCTCTCTCGCGCCTACAACTTCATGTTCGCCTTTCGCATGCTGCTCGTGCTCTTTAGGAGAGAACTTCCCTTGTTGGATGTCATCGTTATGTGGGAGGTGGGTGCAAGGGAAGGTGGAGGGGGGTTGGATAGAAGGTGGGTTACAGGGGAGGTGAGTAGTGTCTCTCTCGCGCCTACAACTTCATGTTCGCCTTTCGCATGCTGCTCGTGCTCTTTAGGAGAGAACTTCCCTTGTTGGATGTCATCGTTATGTGGGAGGTGGGTGCAAGGGAAGGTGGAGGGGGGTTGGATAGAAGGTGGGTTACAGGGGAGGTGAGTAGTGTCTCTCTCGCGCCTACAACTTCATGTTCGCCTTTCGCATGCTGCTCGTGCTCTTTAGGAGAGAACTTCCCTTGTTGGATGTCATCGTTATGTGGGAGGTGGGTGCAAGGGAAGGTGGAGGGGGGTTGGATAGAAGGTGGGTTACAGGGGAGGTGAGTAGTGTCTCTCTCGCGCCTACAACTTCATGTTCGCCTTTCGCATGCTGCTCGTGCTCTTTAGGAGAGAACTTCCCTTGTTGGATGTCATCGTTATGTGGGAGGTGGGTGCAAGGGAAGGTGGAGGGGGGTTGGATAGAAGGTGGGTTACAGGGGAGGTGAGTAGTGTCTCTCTCGCGCCTACAACTTCATGTTCGCCTTTCGCATGCTGCTCGTGCTCTTTAGGAGAGAACTTCCCTTGTTGGATGTCATCGTTATGTGGGAGGTGGGTACAAGGGAAGGTGGAGGGGGGTTGGATAGAAGGTGGGTTACAGGGGAGGTGAGTAGTGTCTCTCTCGCGCCTACAACTTCATGTTCGCCTTTCGCATGCTGCTCGTGCTCTTTAGGAGAGAACTTCCCTTGTTGGATGTCATCGTTATGTGGGAGGTGGGTGCAAGGGAAGGTGGAGGGGGGTTGGATAGAAGGTGGGTTACAGGGGAGGTGAGTAGTGTCTCTCTCGCGCCTACAACTTCGTGTTCGCCTTTCGCATGCTGCTCGTGCTCTTTAGGAGAGAACTTCCCTTGTTGGATGTCATCGTTATGTGGGAGGTGGGTGCAAGGGAAGGTGGAGGGGGGTTGGATAGAAGGTGGGTTACAGGGGAGGTGAGTAGTGTCTCTCTCGCGCCTACAACTTCGTGTTCGCCTTTCGCATGCTGCTCGTGCTCTTTAGGAGAGAACTTCCCTTGTTGGATGTCATCGTTATGTGGGAGGTGGGTGCAAGGGAAGGTGGAGGGGGGTTGGATAGAAGGTGGGTTACAGGGGAGGTGAGTAGTGTCTCTCTCGCGCCTACAACTTCATGTTCGCCTTTCGCATGCTGCTCGTGCTCTTTAGGAGAGAACTTCCCTTGTTGGATGTCATCGTTATGTGGGAGGTGGGTGCAAGGGAAGGTGGAGGGGGGTTGGATAGAAGGTGGGTTACAGGGGAGTTGAGTAGTGTCTCTCTCGCGCCTACAACTTCGTGTTCGCCTTTCGCATGCTGCTCGTGCTCTTTAGGAGAGAACTTCCCTTGTTGGATGTCATCGTTATGTGGGAGGTGGGTGCAAGGGAAGGTGGAGGGGGGTTGGATAGAAGGTGGGTTACAGGGGAGGTGAGTAGTGTCTCTCTCGCGCCTACAACTTCATGTTCGCCTTTCGCATGCTGCTCGTGCTCTTTAGGAGAGAACTTCCCTTGTTGGATGTCATCGTTATGTGGGAGGTGGGTGCAAGGGAAGGTGGAGGGGGGTTGGATAGAAGGTGGGTTACAGGGGAGGTGAGTAGTGTCTCTCTCGCGCCTACAACTTCGTGTTCGCCTTTCGCATGCTGCTCGTGCTCTTTAGGAGAGAACTTCCCTTGTTGGATGTCATCGTTATGTGGGAGGTGGGTGCAAGGGAAGGTGGAGGGGGGTTGGATAGAAGGTGGGTTACAGGGGAGGTGAGTAGTGTCTCTCTCGCGCCTACAACTTCATGTTCGCCTTTCGCATGCTGCTCGTGCTCTTTAGGAGAGAACTTCCCTTGTTGGATGTCATCGTTATGTGGGAGGTGGGTGCAAGGGAAGGTGGAGGGGGGTTGGATAGAAGGTGGGTTACAGGGGAGGTGAGTAGTGTCTCTCTCGCGCCTACAACTTCATGTTCGCCTTTCGCATGCTGCTCGTGCTCTTTAGGAGATAGCTGCCGCTGCTGGATGTGATCGTCATGTGGGAGGTTCGTTCACACGTGTTGTGTTTCAGGTTGTATGCGGATTTGGGTTCCCTTGATTTCCTTGACTCCCTCTTGCTTTCGCTCCCTCCCTGCCTGCGCTCCCGTGTCCCATCTCCAAACTCCCCTCCCTTCAGATGATGTGGGCAGCGGACTACGATCCGCGCATGGCAGCAGTGCTGCTGCACCATCCCCCGAAGGCCTCTGCCTGGCAGCCGAATCAGTTGTTGAGGGGCCTCAGAAAGACTCCTCAACCCCAGTTGCCCCCTGTCCGCTGTCCCCTGTCCCCTGTCTGTCACCCATGTTCCCCACCCCCCCAGATGATGTGGGCGGCAGACTACGATCCGCGCATGGCAGCAGTGCTGCTGCACCACCCCCCCGAAGGCCTCTCCCTGGCAGCGGAACCCCTCGCCTGGTCCGCCGGCCTGCCCCCTCTCCAACCCCCCTCCACCGCCCCCAACTCCTCCCCCACACACCCTGCACACTCCGCACATTCCTCCCTCCCCCCGACCCATCCCGACCCCTCCCCCTTCCCCGCCATGCCCCCCATCCCCCCGTCCCTCCCCCCGGTGCTTGCCCTGGGGCTGGGGAAGAGGTCTGGGCGCAAGGGGGGGAGCATGGGGGGGGGCATGGGGGGAGTGGGGGGAGCGGAGGGGGCAGGGGGAAGGGGGATGTCGCGGTGGGGGGAGGCGAGGGTGGGGGATGAGGACCTAGCAGTGTTCTGTGTGGCGGCCATTTTGAGAGCCAACAGGAAGAGGCTGTTGCAGGTGGAGGGCTCAGACGAAGCCATCAAGGTGCGCCCCGCACTCTGCTCTCACAGTCACCTCTCTGCTCTCACAGTCACCTCTCTGCTCTCACAGTCACCTCTCTGCTCGCCCTCATGCACGTCCCTCTCTGCTCGCCCTCATGCACGTCCCTCTCTGCTCGCCCTCATGCACGTCCCTCTCTGCTCGCCCTCATGCACGTCCCTCTCTGCTCGCCCTCATGCACGTCCCTCTCTGCTCGCCCTCATGCACGACCCTCTCTGCTCGCCCTCATGCACGTCCCTCTCTGCTCGCCCTCATGCACGTCCCTCTCTGCTCGCCCTCATGCACGTCCCTCTCTGCTCGCCCTCATGCACGTCCCTCTCTGCTCGCCCTCATGCACGTCCCTCTCTGCTCGCCCTCATGCACGACCCTCTCTGCTCGCCCTCATGCACGTCCCTCTCTGCTCGCCCTCATGCACGTCCCTCTCTGCTCGCCCTCATGCACGTCCCTCTCTGCTCGCCCTCATGCACGTCCCTCTCTGCTCGCCCTCATGCACGTCCCTCTCTGCTCGCCCTCATGCACGTCCCTCTCTGCTCGCCCTCATGCACGTCCCTCTCTGCTCGCCCTCATGCACGTCCCTCTCTGCTCGCCCTCATGCACGACCCTCTCTGCTCGCCCTCATGCACGTCCCTCTCTGCTCGCCCTCATGCACGTCCCTCTCTGCTCGCCCTCATGCACGTCCCTCTCTGCTCGCCCTCATGCACGTCCCTCTCTGCTCGCCCTCATGCACGTCCCTCTCTGCTCGCCCTCATGCACGACCCTCTCTGCTCGCCCTCATGCACGTCCCTCTCTGCTCGCCCTCATGCACGTCCCTCTCTGCTCGCCCTCATGCACGTCCCTCTCTGCTCGCCCTCATGCACGTCCCTCTCTGCTCGCCCTCATGCACGTCCCTCTCTGCTCGCCCTCATGCACGTCCCTCTCTGCTCGCCCTCATGCACGTCCCTCTCTGCTCGCCCTCATGCACGTCCCTCTCTGCTCGCCCTCATGCACGTCCCTCTCTGCTCGCCCTCATGCACGTCCCTCTCTGCTCGCCCTCATGCACGTCCCTCTCTGCTCGCCCTCATGCACGTCCCTCTCTGCTCGCCCTCATGCACGACCCTCTCTGCTCGCCCTCATGCACGTCCCTCTCTGCTCGCCCTCATGCACGTCCCTCTCTGCTCGCCCTCATGCACGTCCCTCTCTGCTCGCCCTCATGCACGTCCCTCTCTGCTCGCCCTCATGCACGTCCCTCTCTGCTCGCCCTCATGCACGACCCTCTCTGCTCGCCCTCATGCACGTCCCTCTCTGCTCGCCCTCATGCACGTCCCTCTCTGCTCGCCCTCATGCACGTCCCTCTCTGCTCGCCCTCATGCACGTCCCTCTCTGCTCGCCCTCATGCACGTCCCTCTCTGCTCGCCCTCATGCACGTCCCTCTCTGCTCGCCCTCATGCACGTCCCTCTCTGCTCGCCCTCATGCACGTCCCTCTCTGCTCGCCCTCATGCACGTCCCTCTCTGCTCGCCCTCATGCACGTCCCTCTCTGCTCGCCCTCATGCACGTCCCTCTCTGCTCGCCCTCATGCACGTCCCTCTCTGCTCGCCCTCATGCACGTCCCTCTCTGCTCGCCCTCATGCACGTCCCTCTCTGCTCGCCCTCATGCACGTCCCTCTCTGCTCGCCCTCATGCACGTCCCTCTCTGCTCGCCCTCATGCACGTCCCTCTCTGCTCGCCCTCATGCACGTCCCTCTCTACAACCCAAACTCCCGCCGCTCCCACTATGCTGCACCATCAACAATGCTCCACTGTCTGCCGTTGCTCTTCTCAGATGTTCACGATGTGGAGCTGGTGCTGGATTTGGCGTCGTGCCACACTGCACTCTCCGCGTATCAATGCTTCTGGGCGTTTTCCTCCTCTCTACTCCCCCCTGCTCCACCCTCGTCTTCTCCCCATCCCCCCACAACCCCCACTCCCCTTCCCTCCATAAATGTTCACGATGTGGAGCTGGTGTTGGATGTGGCATCGTGTGTGCACCCACACTCCACTCTCCCCTCACCACTCCATTTGGGTGTTTCCCTCTCTCCTACCCCACCTTTCCCCACATCATACCCCCTCTCTGCCAGATGTTCAACGATGTGGAGCTGGTGTTGGATGTGGCATCGTGTGTGCACCCACACTCCACTCTCCCCTCACCACTCCATTTGGGTGTTTCCCTCTCTCCTACCCCACCTTTCCCCACATCATACCCCCTCTCTGCCAGATGTTCAACGATGTGGAGCTGGTGTTGGATGTGGCATCGTGTGTGCACCCACACTCCACTCTCCCCTCACCACTTCATTTGGGTGTTTCCCTCTCTCCTACCCCACCTTTCCCCACATCATACCCCTCTCTGCCAGATGTTCAACGATGTGGAGCTGGTGTTGGATGTGGCATCGTGTGTGCACCCACACTCCACTCTCCCCTCACCACTCCATTTGGGTGTTTCCCTCTCTCCTACCCCACCTTTCCCCACATCATACCCCCTCTCTGCCAGATGTTCAACGATGTGGAGCTGGTGTTGGATGTGGCATCGTGTGTGCACCCACACTCCACTCTCCCCTCACCACTCCATTTGGGTGTTTCCCTCTCTCCTACCCCACCTTTCCCCACATCATACCCCCTCTCTGCCAGATGTTCAACGATGTGGAGCTGGTGTTGGATGTGGCATCGTGTGTGCACCCACACTCCACTCTCCCCTCACCACTCCATTTGGGTGTTTCCCTCTCTCCTACCCCACCTTTCCCCACATCATACCCCCTCTCTGCCAGATGTTCAACGATGTGGAGCTGGTGTTGGATGTGGCATCGTGTGTGCACCCACACTCCACTCTCCCCTCACCACTCCATTTGGGTGTTTCCCTCTCTCCTACCCCACCTTTCCCCACATCATACCCCCTCTCTGCCAGATGTTCAACGATGTGGAGTTGGTGTTGGATGTGGCATCGTGTGTGCACCTCGCCATCAAGATCCGAGCCAAGTACCGCAAGAAGGTGAGCTGCCATGGGTCATGTGCCACCTACCATACGTCATAGGCAATGTTCCATGTGCCATGTCCCATGTACCATTTACCATGTGCCATCTTGTCCCATGTACCATCATACCATGTGCCATCTTGCCCCATGTGCCATGTGCTATGGGTCGTGTGCCTTGGCGTACATGTAATGGTAACGCCCCCTCCAACCCCATTCCTCCCTCCTCTCCTCTCATGCCCCTGCAGTCTAATCGAGCCACTCGTGTGTTGCGGTAGCACACGCATCCCCGCGAGCCCCATTTATCCAACTGGACTCATCCAGCCTTTCCCCGACCAGCCACCAAGCCTTTCCTCGACCAACCACCGAGCCTTTCCCCTTACCAGTTCGCGGGGTACGCCTGGAGGCCATCCGCCTTGCCAGTTTGGAATGCATTCGATTTTTTGTTATGCCACGTAAGTGGCACAGTACAGTATGTTACAGTGCACTGCAGTGCAGCACACTATAGGTTGTTAGTGCAGCACAGCACAAGCCAGTTTCAGGGCATGATACCTACGTACGTAGTGTTTTGGTGTTAATGAATAGAAAATGTATTGGAATTCAAATATACAAGTGCAGCTTTGGAAAGTGTGCAGTGTAAAGCTGAAACAGGCAGTAACAAAAAGGAACTCCCAAACACGAGTTGATTGAAAGCACTGCAAGCAGAAATAAAAAGCAGGGGCCATGTGGGCAGGCAGGCAAGGATATTCACCACAGTGCTGCCACAAGAATCAGAAGCACCAACCAGCAGCACACCTGCCTAGCAGGCACTGCCAGCAATAGCTATCTACAGCAGGCAACCACCAGCTTCCAGCCTCTCACAACACAACACTGCATCCCACCACCCAGCCAGTCACTCCTTGCCCTTGCCCTTGCCCTTGCGCCCCTTGCCAGCAGCGGCAGCAGCCCCTCCAGACAGGAGTTAGGGATCCAACTGGTCCAGAGGCGTGCTGGCGAGCAGAAGAGCCGCGCTGCTAACCTCTCTCCCAGTCACAGCTTGCCCTTGCCCTTGCGGCCTTTACCACCTCCAGCAGCCCCAGCCAGGTATTTGGGGTCTAACTGGTCCAGAGGCGTGCTGGCGAGTAGGAAGAGCCGCGCTGCTCGCTCGCTCAGGGTGCCGCCACACTTGAGCCCCCTCTGCTGCAGCTCCCTTTTTAGTCGCTCCAACCCCAACGGCTGCCGCATGGCGAAAAGACAGAGAGTGGGGGGAGGGGAGGTGGAGGGTGGGAAGGTGGGAGGGGAGGAGGGTGAACACGATGGGCGTGAAGAGGTGGGAGAGTAAGGGTGGGGCAGTGTACAGGGAGGGGAGGGGAGGGGAGGGAAGGGGCTGGGTAAGAATGAGACAGGCATGGCATGGGGCGTAAGGCAGAAGCACACGTGGAGCACACAGGTGGACCCAGCACTCACCTCCAGGTCAGTGGCCGAGTGGAACAGTGAGAGGTCGATGGGACCCTCCGCTGCTGCTGCTGCTGCTGTCTGCTGCGTCTGCAGCGGTGGGGGCGGCTGCTGTTGCTGGTGTTGTTGGGACTCCTGCTTCTGCTGCTGCTGCTGCTGCTGCTGCTGCTGCTGCTGCTGCTGCTGCTGCTGCTGCTGCTGCTGCTGCTGCTGCTCTTGCACTTTTTGCTGCGGCTGCACCTGCTGCGGCTGTGCCTGCGGCTCGTGATGGTGGAGTGCCGAGAAGTGGGCGGCAGGTGAGCGACTTGCATGGCAAGCTTCATCGCGCTCCTCATCAGACGAAGACGAGTGCAGTGGTGCCACTGCCTTGCCCGCACTGCCCGCACTCCCTGCACCCCCACTCCCCTCGCTCCCCTCCTTTGAACCACCTCCACTCTCCTCCTCCCCTCCCTTTTCTGTGCCCTGCTCTCCCTCCTCATGCTCCTCGTCTTCCTCCTCTTCGTCCTCCTCCTCTTCGTCCTCCTCCTCTTCGTCCTCCTCCTCTTTGTCCTCTTCCTCTTCCCCTTCCTCCTCATCCTCCTCCTCGTCGTCCTCCCCCTCCTCAATATCCTCCAGCATGCCTCTGCAATGCAGGGACAGGGACAGGGACAGGGGCAGGGACAGGGACAGGGGCAGGGACACGAACACGAACACGTGGAAAATTGAGTTACACGCATGGGCATGTGAGAGCGCATGGAACGACACACGTGCACGCACAGGAGATCGCAACGGACAAACCACCAAGGCACACGGAAGAGGAGAGCGGGGTTAGCAGGAGTGGAGTTCCAAACTCAAGCCGCATATCCTTCCATTCACACCCCCCTCCCCCTCCCTCCCGCCTTTTTTTCCTTGTAAACACCTATCCAACCCCCCATCTCCTGTTCCCCCCCGCATTCCTTCCCTCCCCACTCCATTCCCCCAGTCAAGAAACGTACAGAAGTTTCCCTCGCTTCGCCTGCTGCGCCCGCTCCGCCTCCTCCTCCCCCTCCTCCTCCGCGCTCAGCTTCCGCTTCCCCTTATCCAGACCGTGCCGCTCCATACCGCTCTTCACCGCATCAGCGACTCTCGCCATGGCGGCGTGGCTGGCCTTGCGCACCGTGCCCAAATCCACAACCTCCTCGCGCCGCTTTTTCTTCTCCTTCGCGAGTCGCTTCAAATAGTCCTGCGCCGTCTTTTCCAGCTGTCGTTCCCGCACCTCGTGCCGCCAATCCTTCAGTTTACGCTCGGCGTTGACGTGGCGGAGACGACGGCCACTCATATCGCGACACGCGTCGAAATTGCTCGTCTTTTTCTGCCCGGCTTTGGTGGCGGCGCCGCGCAGCAGCGACCCAAAGCCACCCTTTCCTCCGAGAACCCTCGCGATGATGTGGCACGAAGGGAAGAGTCCTGCCGCGTCAGCCGAGAGGAGCGACGTGTCAGAGATCTCCCGCGTCCCGGTGACGACGCGGAACGAGTCGCATCGGTCGCATCCATCGCACGCGTCGCAACTGCCGTCGCTTCTGTCGCTTAAGAGCGGCGGAAGAGCGCGGCGACTTCGCAACGCGGTCTTGAGGTCAGCGCCGGAAATCACGGCTCTATCGGTGTGGAGCAGCGTGGTGGCGCCATCGAGACCTCGAACGAACACCTGAAACGTCATCACCGTCCACCGCGCACCGGCTTCTGCCCGTCTGCCACTATCCCCTTGGTGTAACAGTTGGGCTGGGAGGGGAAGAAGAGGAGGATACGGAAAAGAGAAGGGGTTGTGTGAGGAATTGGAGATAAGGTCGCTGTAAACATGTCACCAACATCAAACGCGTGCTAAAACATCTAATAGGTTTGTTTCTACAGCTCCTCTAAAAAATGTCTCGTTTCAGGGGGCTAAGAAAATGCACTCACATCACATGAGTGGTTGATGAAACGAGCGAGGCCGCCGCTGCGAGTGGCATCCACCTGAGCAAGCACAGGATGGGGAGAGGGATCGGGAGGTGAATTAAAGGATCAGAGGATAAGTGTATGTGTTAAGTACAGAAGAAAAGGAAAGGAGGGCCGGGCAATTGGTATCAGAAGCAACAGTAAGTATCTCGATTCAATACCATGTGCCATTACATTCGATAGGTGCCTAGCTGCATATAAGGGTGGGCTAAGCTGCATATAAGGTTCTTAGAATGATTTGATACAATCAAGCAGTAAGCTTACAAGCAGCCCTGGAAACCCCAAAACCATGCCAAGTCCATCACACCATCAATCCAAAATGAAACAACAAAAGTACTACCTCTCCACCACTCACCACCACATCCCACACCACCCCTACCACTCACCACCACATTCTCGTCCACTCGAAACAGATAACTGCTGCCGATGACATCCGCCTCATACATCCTCTCTCGTAGCTCCGACACCTGGTGGGTGGATGTGTGGGTGGGTGTGTGGATGGGTGTGTGGGTGGGTGGGTATTGAAATGAAAAGGAAGTAAGTTTACCAAACAGTTGCATGATTGCAGTGCAGGTTGAATGGTGCTGCCTATGCCATCCGCCTCATACATCCTCTCTCGTAGCTCCGACACCTGATGGGTGGGAGCACGAATGTTGAGAAAAAAAGAGAGTGTGAGGTCACAGTCGCATAGTCAGCTGATGCCATCAGCTGCTGCTGCCAATGCCATCTGCCTCGTACCTCTTCTCTCGTAGCTCCGACACCTCATGGGTGTGTTGGTATTGAAATAAAAAAAGAGTGAGTTCACAGTACAGTTGCATGGATGCAGGTTGAAAGGTGCTGCCAATGCCATCCGCTTCGTACATCTGCTCTTGTGATTTCGACGCCTGGTGGGTGTGGTATGTGTGTGTGAGTGTGTGAATGAGCGTGATGTGATTTCGACGCCTCATTAGACGAACCTTCGGGATCGAAAATGCTGCTGCTAGCACTGGCTGCAGCACTACTGCTCCTCGAAAGCACTACGCGCTCCTGCGTTGCTCTAACTCTGGTACTCCAGCACCCATCGCATGATTTTCTGCTGGCCCAATATCCTTCTTGCTCGTGTGCTGATGCCCTGCTACACGCCTGGAAACGGTTGCTCGTCTGCACACCTGATCGCGTGTGCCTTGTTCTTGCTGCATACCACTGGCTCCTGCCCCTGTACACGCCACAGCAGCTCGTTTCCGCTGCTTATACTCCTCAAGCTGCGTCGAGATTTGGGAAAAGAGGGGACGGGAGGGTGAGAAGGAGAGAATGGACGATGCGGGACGAGCGGAGGACTTGAAACGTTAGGCGGAATGCGGGAAAACTGTGACAGGCGAGCTTGAAAAAAAAGGGGGGTTATAGAAGATTGACAAGGTCGGGAACAAGCTTGAAATCAGAAACGTGTAATACACTTGAATGAATGCGTTGCTTAACGTCAATACACTAGTCATGCGAACGCGGCCACATACCTTCCGCCTTCCCGCCTGCGCCAGCGCGTCCTTCTTTCTCTCCGACAGCTTAGGCGATGGCTCGCCAGTCGGGACCATGTCGCATGAAGGAAAGAAAGGCTATTTTTACGAAGAAAAAAAAGGTAATTTGCCTCTCCACTATGAGAATCGTTTCAGGGCAAAAGGCAGCAGAGAATTGCAGAAGACACTACGAATAAGAGACCGACGCGGCAAAGTGATAATGGTGGGTACGATCTAAACTGTCATGATAACTCAGATCAGAAAAAGGTACGAGTAAGGAGTAGGAATAAGATTCTCAATCTTCGCGTCGCCATAGTCCGCGAGGGTTAACAATCTGGATAAGAGTGAAAATATTGTTTTTCGTCAAAAGATTCAGCCTTCTCGATCGCCGTGTGATCGTTCAA